ATCGAACAATTGTCTCCGATTGTTGATATCAGCACAGATAATGCTACATTCAACAGCAAAGGGAAGATCGTGTTCCTTGGGAAACCTCCAAACTAGAGTATATAGGTTGACGATAATATAAACAGATAGAGAAACATAAATGTGGGGAAGGTTCAAACCAAGTCGTGCGAGACCTACCGCCAGATTGAGCATCGATTACAGTGTTTCTATTTTCAGTTCGTACCAAGTTCAAAGAAATTATTAATACTAGTGCGACAATTTAATTCATAGTAAAGGAGATTAATTGTTCATAGTAAATGGACTCAAAATGTTCACACCAGCGGAAATAATACTTTCAAACTAGCTGCCCTTTTTTGTTCATACCATATATCATACATTTTCAGTATGAACAAATAGAGGTCACGTAATATGAACATTTTTTGTGCACTAGTATCAAAAATATTGACCGCCTTAATATGAACTTTTCTTTGCAAAAAGTGCGAATAATTTTGACTCACTGATCTGAAAATTATGCTCACACTAGTGCGAAATAAAACTGCAACGACTGTATGTTTTTTTTTTCCTTTTTTTCTCCATTTATCATATGCCGAGGTACAGCAAATTGTAGTTTAATTCTCTTTGACTAATTTCTATTACGAAAAGATTCACACAGATCCTTATCCGTTCATTTCGTTTTTTTTTTTCTGTTTTCCCTGTGTTTTAGAATGTCGTTATTGATAACTTTAATGAAACTGTCATCACCATCATTTGGCACTGCTTTAGGCAGATTAGCATTAACCAATCAACATTTATTCACATCCAGATGTTCCTCCTCTTCTTCTTCGTCACAACAACTTCCGGATATCATTCCTTATAACCAAGGTACCAAATATACCCCAGATTATGCTAATTACGCAACCACTTCCCACGGCAAAGTTGTTTCCTATTTTCATGATATTGCGTTAGACCTCAACAAAGAAACCAAAGAGGCCAATATAGTTATAGAAATCCCACGTTGGACCAATGCCAAATTTGAAATCAATACTAAATTAGCAGGAAACCCCATTGTTCAAGATACAAAGAACGGGAAAGTACGATTTGTTAAGAACCTATTCCCCCACCATGGATATATCCACAACTATGGAGCATTCCCACAAACCTGGGAAGATCCAACCACTAAACACCATGGGTTGTTTGGTGACAATGACCCTGTTGATGTGTGTGAGGTTGGATCAAGGATTTTATCTACCGGAGACATTAAACGAGTTAAAATCCTAGGTTCTTTGGCCTTGATTGACGATGGTGAATTGGATTGGAAAGTGATTGTTGTGAATGTTGACGATCCTTTGGCAAAGCAAGTGAACGATATTTGCGACTTAGATGAGAAGTGTCCCGGCTTGTTGGATACCACTAGGCAATGGTTCAGAGACTATAAGTTGGCTGATGGAAAGCCACAGAACGAGTTTGCATTTAATGGCGAGTACAAGACTGCTGATGAAACCATTGAAATCATCCAGCAATGTCATGAAAGCTGGCAACAGTTGATCAATGGACAAATCAAGAGTGAGAAAACACCAAACATTACAAACACTAGTATCAAAGAGCTGCCTGGGTTTGTTTCTAACATTGATGTGCAATTACACACACCAGCCAAGACCAATGCCGTCATTCCAATAGATGTCGAGCAAAACTACTTCATAAAGACCGACTGAAACGCAATGTCTATTTTCTACAATATATATTAATGTATATAAATCTTAACACCGTTGATTAATTGAAATAATCTTTGAAATCTCTAATTTCGTCAACGACCGTTTGAACAAACTTATCAAACACGTCACCCCCTTGTTGGATGATATGCTGTTCTTCAATAGAACTTGGACTTATTTTAGAACTCAAATACTTTGGGTGTTTCAATAAGTTCTCAATACACACAATAAAGTCATCCCTTTTAGCATCAGAATCCAATCCTGGGCAAAACCCTTAAATCAGTAGAATCGTCTGTTGCAGTTGTGATGGTGAGACCTCCATGAGCTGCGTGAATGAGTTTTCTACTGATTTTTGATATATAGGATTACGAGGAAAAGATATGAACTAAGGAATTTCACAATCAGTACGAATACAAGCAATATTACTTAAAGAAAACACCACACTTCTATACGAACATAGAAAAATATCACTTTGTAGAAATGTATCCAGTCTTTGATTCAATATAATCGTTTTCTGTAGTTATATCTTTTTGAGAGATCGGTAATCCATCTATCTTCCAGCGTAATATGCTTGCTTTTTGGGCTGGTGTGTGATTTTATTTTTCTTGAATTGTTTGCTTATTGAGTTTGTGGCCAACTTACTAACCTTTTAAAAGTCTATTACATGAATATTTATATATATATTTACAGGATTTCCCTAAAATTTACCATTAAATTCAAATGACGATCAACTAACCATAAAACTGACATTTTTATAAAAGTCCAACATGGGATTTTCTCCAGTTTTAGTAGTGGTGATATCTGTATCTGCCCATTGCTCTAGGAACTCTCTATGTGACTCGACTCTTGGAGCTTTTCCCGTAACTTGTTTGTACATTTCACTGGCAATATCAAAATCTGTTGCAAACATTATATCAAAGTATCCTTGGAGAACCATATAAGTAGATACATCTATCATATCGTTTTTAAGCACAGTTTGAACGACTGGTCCGTTATAACATCCAGAAATCTTCTTTGGTAAGTAATGAAAATCGGATGATATTAACAGATGGTTAGGGAATTTGTATTTTAATATCTGGAAAAATTGCAACAATCTAGTAGGAATAAATTCACCAGGTGTGAGATTACTATCGTAAGGTAAAACCATATTTTTCAATTTTAACATTGCTGATGAATGCAATAATGGATGAACATCATCACTGACTAAACTTTTGAATGCAGATAATTTCCCACTGAATGTCGATGCTTGTTTCAAGACGGAGTGTTTCCCATTTTCTCTTAAACGTAAGTATGCATCTGAATAATGACTCAAATCTGGAGAGAAAAACTCATAGAAATCACCATGTTGATCAATCAATACTTTCCCTTCATAAGGCTGACCTGTAGCATTGTCATATCTGATTAAGTCATGCGAGAAATTATCAAACACTTCCAATGCAATAAAGAAGCAAGGATCGTTGACCACCTGTTTCCATTCAAATATAGATTTGTTGAAAATTTCCAATTTTGAAGAATCCAATCCTTGAGAAGTAAGTTTATTATCCAATGCTTGCTTCATTTGTTTGTTTGCCAACTGACTAGAAATTTCGATAATTTTATATTGAGTTCTTTCATAAATCTCTGGTTGATTCTTACGAATATAGTTTAAGATATCACACATAAGTGTACCGTTACCACCGCCCATTTCATAAATAATCAAATCATCATAAGGATAAACATTTAATTTGTAATTCATCAAGATGTATCTTGCTAAAGCTTCACCATAATACGGATGGAATAACTCGGTGGGTGTATGCCATAATTGCAATGATTTCCTATATCCCAGTTCCATTACTTGTCTATCTTGTTGTTGGATCAGATGTGCCATGGCAGCAAATTTAGATGATGTATTAGGGGCAGGTAATGACGCTGTTGGTTGTGGTGGTGGAACTGCATCCTGCTCGTATCTTTCATATGATTTACTCCAATTTTCCATAAACTCGTCAATATCTTCAATATTATTATAGTCAAATGGTTTTTCAGATTGATAAATCTCGACTTGTTGTGAGAAATACCCGTATTTGGGATGATACAATGAATCTTCAATGAAATCCCCTGTTGTCATTTTCACACGTTTGGGTCTATGATTAAATTTGGATAATTTCTGTGAATTTGCCATAGGATACGAATTGTAAACTGTATCGGGGGTTCCCTCGAATGGAAAGTTTGTAGCATATCTATAGATTGCTTGTATTGGGTTTAATGCTTTTGGAGAAGATGGTACTTTAAATGCAAAAGTATCAGGTCGTATGGAATATTCATGGTGAAAATCTGTCTTTTCAATGATCTTAGGTTTCCCTTTGAAGAGATATCGCTTGAAAATCATTCTAACTAGTGGGATGCTAATGCAGAGTTACTCTATAGAAAGTGAAACATCTAAATTTTGTATTTAGTGTTCGTGTCCTGGTCTCAAAAAAAAAAAAAAATTTACTGCCAAACAATAGGACAATGGTTCTAAAGCAATAAAGGTTTAGCAACAAAAAAAATGTGTGCGATTTAGAACGTTTAATAACCAATGCTTGGTTATATCATTAAAGATGTTACGAGTCAAGTACTAGTATACCACTTACTTAAACGGTTGCATCGTCTTTTGTCTAAAGTTAGTTCGCGTTGTATTTCCTTCCCTAGCAATAATGTGCATTGAATTGGGTATCTGTGCTCATCATTACGTTTTATCACCGGCAGAACCGTAATGTTCGTTGTCAGCAACATTTGAATCAAGCGGATTTGTCAGTAATAATGAAACATTACTCATGCATTTTCTTTAATGTATACCTGTGTAAGGTTGATATGAATCTGTGTAATCCGGAATATATGAAAAGGTGTGTAACAATAATTTGAATACAACACACACACACATTGATTACGAGTTCATGCCCATTACAAATTATCACAAGAAACCTTGTTGTTTTTATTTTTATTTTTGTTGAGATAATTAACTTGAACAATAGCAAACGTTAATTTATCCTTCGTCTCTAAAAATTAAAAATAAAATAAGGTTACCTAAGTTCAACACAGGTTGGATTTGCTTATGAATTTACATGTACAATTTGGTAATTGCAAATATTTATTAAGAAACCCTAACTCAATTCTTACCACGCACACACGACCGCTCTCACTGTTTCTTCCTTGGTGTATAAAAGGAAAAAATTGTTGGGTGAATTTTTTTTAGCATTTTTTTCCCTTTCTTTTTTTCTTCTTCTTTGATACGAATGCCTTCTATTCACTGCACCATTTATATCAATGAATGAAGTGGAGGGGAAAAGAATGCTAGAGTAAGTTATCGAAGAACTTCCTCATACTGAGTTTACTTATTTATTTTTTTTAAAAATTATAAAATAGCATTCTTGGATTCTGGTTGTTCGATACATTTTTTTTATTAAACAATTAAACTACGTGCACTCTTGACCAAAGAGCAATAGATTTTTTTTTTTCAATAATCACGAGATGAGTCGTGTATGAGCAAATTATTTGATATCCTGCATGTTACTCTTTTACGTAATTAATTTGTAACTAATAGCTAAAAACCTTTCTTAAACCAATAGAAAATTCAATTAGGAAATGGTAATACTTCAGAAGCAAAATCTAAAAGCACGATGGATTATCCTGACGGCAACCACCACCTGTGCCTGCTCCTAACTTCTGGGGAGGAATTTGTGTCGATCAATATTGGATAAATGAGAAGCATGAAAAAAAATTTTATTTTTTTTACTATTTCCTACTACGTCTAAGTTCTTTACTAATTCTAGAAATTAATTTGTCGTCCCCCTTTTTTTTCAGTAACTAGACAGGCCAATCTTCCTACTTAATGCATTTGCTTCTTTTAATTATTTTGAAATTCCATAAATCAACTGATTGTTCTGGAAGTACATCTTTAGCAATGATGTGGTATGTCTATGTGCGTTTTTTTTTTCCTCTCGATCTCTGGTCTCTCTCTCCCTTAATATTCCATGAACCTGAAATTGCGTTGAACTAAAAAAAAATATTATATTGTCTTGAATCTGATAAAGCTTTGTCGAAAAATATTGTAAGTATCGCCCTAATCTCGCCTCTAGATGTGTACTTAATTAATATTTTTCTTTGACAAAGGCATTGTTTGTTCTTAATATTAAGGCGGTTTAAATTTATTAAAAAATGAATTTTAGTTGCTAAAACTGATTCTGTTTCGAATATTATTATTATTGGTGTGGTCTAGTTCCTTCTTTTTAAGACATTAGCCTATTATTATCAATTACTTACTAGAATCCGCCTAGACTATAATTAGTATAATTAGATACAAGTAGATGTTATTCATTCATTATAGATGGGAATAATAATATTCTAAAAATAAACTAAAACAAAAAAAAAAAAATAAAACTCTATAAACCTGTAACAAATAAGATAACACTTTCTTTTTCTGTTAGTGTATTAATATGAACCCTCTAAAAATATATATAAAAAAAATCAAGTTTAAAAAAATGTAAAACTCCAAGTTGATGTAATAATAATAAAGATAAAAGAAACAAAAAAACAACTAAACCTGATAGTAACAATAAATATATATATAAAATAATACCCAATAAAAATACTCTTTAATCGTTAAATATAATAATAAAATTCATTAAAAACTTCGTAATAACAATAATAATAAAAAAAGGACGAACCATTATTCTTGATGTAATTGTAATCACTCCTAAAGATCAGTAAATGAGATACATCTGCTTTCTAAAACTTTCAAACTTGGACTAATGGTTGATTCTCTTTCATCTCCCAGCATTGAACTTTGCTTTGAATGGGTTGTGGTAGGTGTAGCTACGTTTGAATGCTTTTGGCCTCTTTTTGCAACTGGAATACCACCAACACTATGATCATTGCCCAATACTGAACAGGAAAACTCTCTATTCAATCGTTCTTCGATCTTCAATAATGAAGTATCGATCTGACATCTTGATGAATCCTGTTGTAATTGCAAATTATTCAAATCATGCTCAGAACACCAACCACTGGCTTGTAACTTCTCTTTGGTTTTCTGGAAAACATCATCTAAAACAGTTCTTTGCTGGATCAAGAATTGCAGGTAATTTAATAAATCGTCAACTGTGATCAATTCATCAACTGAATTGACTTGATTGGAATCAAAGTAACTTTGCTCAATTTTGGATAATGTCTTCTTACCATTGCTTAAATCATCACCGATGGTTATCACTGGAGATGCAACTGGTGGTGTTACTGGTGTGAAAATTGTTGTTCCTTGACTCAAAGCACGTGCACGTTCAATCTTAGATGAAAAAGAAGAATTAGTCGAGGTTGATGAAGATGCTGAATGCAGGGGTTGTTGCTGTGATTGATTTGTTTGGTTTGAAACAGAAGTCATTGGTTTTGCAACTTGAATTGGACTCAATATTGGACGCAAAGGAATTGGATTGAGTGGAGCACCAGAAGATATAGCGGTGGTATAATTGTTATTTATCATATTTGGTGGCAGGCTCAAAGGCGCAAACTTTGGTGCTGTTGGTGTGGAACATGAACTACTATTGTTGCTATTGTTGGAACTAAGTGACAATTTTCTGATACCATTCTTTAATCTCTTCAATGGACTTGTTCTTTCATTTGCAGTGGAAACTGTGCTCAGGTGGATTGCTGAAGTTGCTGGTGTTGATGTGGTGGACACAATATTAGTCGTGGTGCTTGAACTGGACAATGATTCCCCTGTTTTCCCCAACGAAGGAAACATTTGTAATGTGCTGTGCTGATCCAATAACAAACTTGGAGAATCCAAAGCATAATTTGAGAATGAAGATTTTGAGTGTACATACATGTCACTCACATTTATATTACTGTGATTTGAATCATTATCAGTGGATGTAGAGAGACTATCTTCATAATTGGTTGCAGTTGAAGAGAATGCTGGTGGTGTATTCAAGTCCTCGACTGCATCTGGCAAAGGAGGCAATAAACTTTCAGTGGTTGTGTTTGCCTTCGCATGATTAAGGCGTGGTGTATCAAAATTTGTGTGTGAGTTTTCATGTTCATGGTCTTCTTCTTCTTCAACTACTATTTGTTCTTCGGTACAGTCATTATTTATACTTGTAGTTGTTGATGGTGAGTTGTATAAAGAAGTTGATGATGATGGCTTTTGGGAAATGGTTTTGGATAAACTAACGACACTTGATTGTCGTGATGAAGATAAACTAGTACGTTTTTGCAGTAGTTGTTGTTTGAGTTGGTTACTTAGATTGGATATACTATTTTCAGTTTCTTCAAGAACTATTCCTAGTCCTCCATAATCACTCATTGGATGTGGGATATTTGTTTGAAATGTAAATGTATGTAAAAAAAAAAACAGGGTGATTCTTTTTCTGTGCTCCAAATCTTTTTTTTTTTCGAGCCAAGGTTGGGGGGAGGAGGACTGTTGATTTTCTGGGACAATCTCTTCCTTTATATAATTATCTTTTAATTTAATTTGGTTTAATTAAAAGATCTGAATTATTCTCTTTTCTTTTCCACTTTGAATATTAGGATATATATATATTTAATGATTTAATTTATTTCAATCGAGACCAATTATAGTATGATTTCTTTTTTTTTTTTTTCTCCAGTGATATAAATTTTTCAGTTTCTTTTTGACTCAACTCTCTCACTCTTTCTCTCGCTTGGTTGCTTCCTCTTAAGTTTAAAGTGAGCGATGATTTTTTTTTCTGTTTTTTTCTTTTTCCTTTAGTGTAAAAAGATGGGTGTGTACCGGTGACAAAAATTGATCACTACTTGTATAGTTCAAAAAACAAAAATAAAGAAAGTTGATTAACTATCTGTGGATTAGAATAGAAGAAAAATAACAGAAATATATATAAAAGAAAAGGGAAAAGGAGAAGAAAAGATCGAGCTTTAGAACAATTCTGGAGTAAAAAAAAAAGGGGGGGAGGGAGTCCTAACTGTTTTATATTATTTTGCGTTAACTGTGTGTATGTGTATATAGTCAATTAGGCCAATAATAAATGATACCCAAATTAAAATTTGTTTGTGTATATGTGTGTTGTGTAACAAGAGTAGTGTACAAGTTACAGGAAACAAACGAGAAATTAATTAGTGCCATACACCCAAAAAAAGGCCGTGCGTGCAGTATGGCAAAAGTGAAAAATCGTATTATTACACAAATAAAGCAATTAGATTTTTGGTTAGATGTGAACGACCTATTCCTGCATTCAAACCCCTAACTAGCAACCTTCTTACCAGGATTACACACAAAATTTTGTTATATATAATAAAATAAATTGCACCTAAAAAAAAAATCCCGCTTTCAAACTTTCAACATGTATGTGATTGTTTGATATTTAATAGTTCTTGCATACACATTAATTGCATTGTTTTATTTGAATACATAAAAAGTCAAAAGCCTCTTTTCAGCCATAAACACAAACAAACAAGATTAATAATAACAGACTTTGCCCATTCAACAGACTGGTAGCAAAATCACAGAGACAGAAGTGGAAGAAAAATAAATGTTATTTTTATTTAATCAAGAAAAAAAAAAGTACACCCTTTTCTGTTAAATCTATATTATGCATCCCTGGAAAATAAAAGAATAAACCAATAATAATACAGGTAATTATTTGTGAAGACCAATCAAGGGATGTTCTCTAGTATGAGTTTGTTTATTGATATTTAATAACCATCGTAGTATTGAAAATTCTAGTAAAGGAAATATCGAACAGATTATATATATCAATCTCATCCACTAAAGCCAATGCATAAACTAATAATATTCTGAACTTTTTAGACTACATGATGAGTTTTGCACCTGTTTTGAATAGACCGTTGTTAATAATTCATTTGGTTTTGGGAACATCCTATCTATATGATACGAACTCTATCTATCTATCGATCTATCTGTCTATCCGCGATATATCTTACATTGGATATTTTACAATAAGTAAAACCTAGAACTATATAAATGAGGTTAAAGTTATTCACAATTCAAAGTTGTCAGCAATACACAGATCAGACAACGGAAATATCACTCTAGTTCAAGATAAACTTTACCAATTTTGAAAAAAAAATAAACCTGTGGCACATCAAGAAAAAAGTTCTGTTATAACACTCTACTTTTCTTGTATATCAGTTGTCAATCCAAAGATGGGTAATAAGAATTATACCATGTCATGGTTTGTGAGAGATAATAAATGTAATGGTTAGAAGAGTTACTAATGCTAAATGGAGATCGCCTAGATTCTTCCAATTTCCTTGTTTTTTTTTTACAGTTTTGAGTATTTCATGTTGATGATCTACTTGAGGCGGTAGATGGACATTATTTCACTCGAATATAAAGAATGTTTAATCAATTCTCGCCTCATCAAAAATTTTTCATTCTCTCCAGTATGTTACGGTTGACCATATCTTCAATTGGTGACACAGTTTTTGTAAAATGACGTATGCTTAGTTTAGTTCTAAATACGAATTGGAAAATCAACAGTACCGTGTATACTTTACAACACCTTCTAAACTTTCTTCCCCTTTTATCATTTCTAGTGAGCTACTATTCATGCAGCACTTACTACAATCTCAATTTCAACAGGCTATATACAAGTAGCCGATTACAAATGAATAGTATAAAGGTTTTGGGGGGTCAGTTGCTTTCCCCTTTTATTATTTCTTCAACGGGATTAAAATTGCTATTTGGGCATTAAACCCGGCTAATGGTGTTGCAAATGTTGCCCTTTTTTTTTGCCGTTGGTCTAATTATTTCTTTTTTTTTTTTTTTGTCATTATTGGTTTCATGCTTAATCATCTCCATCTACACAGCCTAAAATTTTCAGCAAGGTAAATACTACCACTGTTTACCTAATCTGGATTTTAGAATGTTTACAGTGGTTATATACGTAGTGGTGATACTTTTACAGATATACAAGAAAAATAAAAAAGAAAAGAAAAAAGAAGTAGTAAAGAAAGTATATGATCACACGAGTGTAAATCACTATAGAACCGGAAATACAAACCACTCTAATTCCATCCAACCAAACTGATTTTTTTAGTCAGAAAACGGTGAGTGGATATCTATTTCCCACAGTTACAGTCTATTGTTTGAAGCAAAAATACAATAAAGTAAAGTTGATGGATGGACAACAAAGTGGGGCAAACTACTACTGAAAAAGTCTTTTGTGTTGGATTTATCAACCAACAACCATCGATATGTCTTACGACCTGTATTCAACCACCAACAAAAGCTGAAAGCCTTTAACTATGGAAATGTACACTTGCTAAAAGTTCTATGTTACACAAGTTCCCAGAGAACCAAAGTTCTATATTCAACTCTGTTTAATAAAGAGCTAGAACATTACTTTAGTGTTAAAAAAAAAATGAGCACATTTTGTGAAACAATATCAGATATAGAGTCTATTGTACCATCAAAAACCATTTTCAGTAATATTAATAACAACTATAAAATACACATGCTAGCAATGAAATAGGGGGAAGTAACGGAACCCTAGCAACAAGATACACTAGGTTTAAGGTTTTTTTTTTTCCTTCAATTTCAAAACTACGAACATCATGGTAAAATATTATTTTTGAAAAAACCAAGATTCAAGTTTACTTGCAAGATTAGACATCAACCCATTTACCATTATCAAACCCCAACTATGCCACTTATAGACGATAGACACGACCACTGGTTTGTTATTCATGTTGTCAGTTTAGCGTTGATTATGAAAGGTTATGAACTCAGACAATCGAACATTTATGGTCATACCGTAATCATTTGGGCAATTTACCACACAAAGTTTTCTTTTTTTTTCTTTTCAATATCCCTTTTAATATGTCTAGGTTCACTCAGTATTGCACTAAAACTCCATCAACACCAATAACAATCTATTCACACTGTAGTTACCTTTCTCTCATTACGGATTATTAGTTTTGTACTTTACCGATTATGATAACTCCATCAGATAAATTGAATGCATTAGCTGTCTAATAAATAAGGTGAGACAAAAACGAAAACTTTTTTTCCACAAGTGTGTACCCACGGATTTATTTCTGGCACTAAATCCAGTAGCTCGATGTGCACTTCCACCTAGAGACAAACAAATAAAAGAAAAATAATACTACTGTAAGTGGTCGGCGCGAAAAACTAATGCGATTGTTGGAACCAAATGGTCGACCTAGCTAAAAGCCTTAATGACATTACAGGATGCAAGAGTCAATTTGTCTGACTCTCTCTCTCTCTCTCTCTAAGTAATTTTGTTCCTTCTTATTCGTTTACGCACGTTATGCATGCATGTGTTTAGTTTTGTTACTTTCATAGAAAATATGCAGGATCCAACGAATCTTTATACTTAGTGGGAGAAAGAGAGTCTAGACACAGTTCCTAAAAATGAAAGGTTTTTATGAATTCTTTTGTTGTGAACAATTGTCCAATATGCACGACTCTTTAAATATTTATAAGATTTTGCATTGTTGGAAAATAATCAAAGAAAAAAAAAAACCTAACTTGGAGAGTGTGTCTCCTGAAATCATTTTGCTACCAAGTCTGAGCTATTCTTCCAATATTCATATTCTTTTCTAGCATTGCAACTAAAGCAACCATAAATCAAACTAAGGAAATTTGCACAGCGTCGAATCCGTATTCTATATACCAAAGCATTACGGCAAAAAAAAGTCAATAAAACAAATTTCAACTAGTAAGTATACTTATCATGTGTTACAGTAGTATTGATCCATATTTCCACTTCTTTTAAAAAAAATTTTTTACCAAAACTGAACCAATCGGAGCTATCTATTAATCTAATTAATTAATAAATTAATTGTTTTATTGTGACCTTACAGGTTGCTCGACATAAAAAATAGATGTTACCGTTTACATTGCATATAAAGTCGCATTTTACATGGAGTAATTATCATTGTTGTTTGTGATTAATTGTGAAAGGAGAAAAAGATTAAACAACTGATTAATAGTGCCCCCCCCTTTTTTTTTGTTATCCAATCTATGGAGCCGTTCCTATGATTGGGTATAATGATTAATAACAACCTCCGTTATCTAATGAAGGTTTCATTAATCAATTAATGTGTGAATTCCTCGTGTTGTATACGTTTCAAAAGTCGAAAAATAAAACTCAATTACTCGAATGTCTCAAACCTGAAATTGACTTTTAACATTATTAACCGACGTTAGAATAATTGTTGGGTTTTTTTTAATACTTGTCTTAAATATAATTTTCATTGTTGGCGGTTAGGTTTTCGCGGTATGATATCTAATAGTCCTAGTATTTCTTTTTGTATGCTATTCCAATTAAATTAACCCTTTATACTTGGTATAAAAGTGTAAGTTCCGGTATCGCTATTATCGTAGTTATTTATTAATTGTCGAATACAAACGAGGGAGGGCTCAAGTCAGGAAACAGAACAAAGTGGGGGGAGATGGACAACAATAACCCCATGATAATATAAGAACTAGAAAACAAATTTTAGAAGGAGAAATAGTCAAAAACGTTGTGGATGTTCAGAAAGAAATGGAAGAAGAAGGAAGAAAACCAATACCTTCTTTATTAATTTTGTGGATATGCTAATGCAGATCTTTTTATTTGTTACTACGCGGCACATATGTATAAATGAAACCATTCATTATTATATTCAACGCTAGAACTAGGTCATACAGCTTGGTTTTATGGTAAGAGTTTTAAAGATATCTGTACGTAGCCTCGTGGTTGAAGAAAAAGGAAGAAACGAATTCAAAATTTATTATCTGTTATCGTTGAAATGCGCTTTCTAGACGAATAGTATCAAAGATAAATTATAATAAAGAAAAAGAAATGAAATTAACTTACTCGTAATTTATTCTTTTCAGTAACGCACAACCCATATTCTGGTGGTTAAGTTCTCCCGTTCGTTTTATGTTCCTGTTTTATCGATTGTCTATTCAATTTTTGTTGGACGATTGTCATGTCATTTATTTTTTTTTTTCTTTAATTTTTGCAGTAATGGTAAACCTAATCGCAAATCAATTTATTTCTGTAATAATTCTGATCGCTCTTTTTCTCCTTTCGTTAAGTGATTCCCACGGATAGTAACGAAGTAGAAATTATAATTCAATTGGGCGAATCCAGGTTTTTCCCCAGATCTAGATCACCTTGGTTTGGTTTCAGGGCAACTGAATACATATGACAGTTTCAAAAAAGAATGGATTTCATTCTACACGTAGCAATAGAAAATTGCCTTCTTTATCCTTAACAAAAATGGGCATTTTATTTTTATTTATTATCATTATTATTAACAACTAGAATGAATACGACTATACACTTAAACTCATTGGATCTTTTGGATCTTAGATATTTGAAATTCCCAGAAGTTTGCCCTAATAGGATCATATTTATCCTTCAACAGTTTATAAACCTTGATGGAATCATCATACTTTTCTTGCGACTTATAAATCTTACCTAATGTTTCCAAAGCATAACTGCTTTCAACTTTACCTTGGTCCAAATCAACTAATTGCAAACAGAAATCTTCTAATTCTCTAAGTGGTGCATCGAATCTTTCATACATCCCTAATAAATAATTCCAAGAACTTGGATTCTGTGGGCATTTTACTATTCTCTCTTTAACAAATAGCAATTCATCATCAACGGTCTTATCTTCAGTAAGATGTTTCCTACTGAATAATAAAAAAAATCTATGACTCCATGCGCTATTATTCTTTAAATCTTGATCAATTAATTTCTCAATGAATTCCAATTCTTTTTCACTTTTATATAATTCAAATTTTTCCACAAGCCATTTTCTATATGACCAAACATGATGATTCTTAGGATCACTATCCAACATAGCTTCCATAATGGGGTATTCTCTATATGGTTCAAATTTTAACCCACTTTCCAATATATGATTTATAATTAATTGTCGATAATTCCAAATTTGATAATTCTTTTCATTATCTAAAGCAATTTGTTCACACCAATCTAACTCATCATTAAAATTTGTATTGGGAAGATTCTTCAAAATATTAAATCGATAGATCCAAATAGTATAATGTGAAGCCAATTGTTCAATTCCTAATTCAGTGATATATAAAGCCCTTTCTGAATACTCTTGTTGTTGCATAAGTGCTAATAAAATCCCCATGATTTTCTTGTAATCGTCATCATATAAAATCTGGCACAATTGAGGTTCCTCAGTGTTGATTTTAACTGGAGCAACGTCGGAATAGTCGTAATTAGGTTCTTCCATGATTTCTGATTGTTTAATAAATCTCTGTTTGAAATTCAGTTAAACTATCTGGCTATTTATAATGATATTTATTATTGTAAATAACTGGTTACAGTTTTAAATAAAACTCGTACTTCAGTTTAAATTTCCCCTTTGGTACGTCACAATGTTGAAAGTGAGAAAACGGAACAAGTGCACGACTATTTCACGTGAATATGTCGTTACATGATGTCGCACAAAATGTCGTAGAACCATCTCAGTCCCTACTATCCCGCTTTCTGATCTGCAAGAATGATTAAAAAAAATCAAAAAAAAAGATGTAGGGGTATAGCCGATACATGGAAGCTCCTAGAATTCCTTTGTACACTATACAATTGCTGAAGTTAATACGTTCTCACCCCTGAAATACTATACCTTCTAATTGAGAAAAGTATCCGTGGATTGTTGTATGAGATAGTAAGAGAAATCTATAAAAATCTTTTCCAATTTTAATATAATGTCTTCTGATGGTCAATTTCTTATAACTACAAGTTTACTTTGTTTTGTCATTTATTATCTACTATCGCTAATTTATCACAAGTCTCAAGTACCTATCTTAGTTGCAACATTTATATTTACAAATATGGTATCTCGTACAAGTATGTTTAGATCGATTGTTGAATCTGCTCAACAAGCATTGAAAAAACCAATTAATGATGTTCCAAAATCTTCTGGAACTAATTATGAAAAATTCTTAGCTTTGAATAATGTTCAAAAGAAAGAAATCTTGAGTGCTGTTGAATCTTTGAAGAATTATGAAATTAATTCTAAAGCTGTTAATGAAAGAAGAAGAGATTTGTTTAAATTGATGTCTTCCAAACAACAAAGAGCGTGTAACCAAGTAGGGTATTCTGATAAGTTGAAGAAAATTGATTCTGCAATTTCAGCAAATTATAAATTCATTAATGATGTTGCTAATTATACCATTGATAAATATGGAATTTCAACTAAAGATTTGGAATTGTTAGAAGGCACTAAGAAAAATAAAAGTGTCACCTCTTCTTCAAACTACAGAGTCATTGAAGCATTGGGTCATTATACTAGAGATTGGCAACCTGGTAATGTAGGTTTGGAATTGTTGCCTATTTATGAATACATATCACTGCAATTGGCAGCTATTATCCCAACTGAATCTCAAAAGGAAACATGTTTGGTTTTTCCTGGTTCTGGATTGGGTAGATTAGCTCATGCATTTGCTGGTTGGGAATTTGAATCTATTCATTCCATCGAATTTTCTGGATTAATGAATGCATTCGTTGATTTTAATTATGCAACACACTCTAAAAAGGGATCATATACTTTGTATCCTTATATTCATACATGTTCTGATTTTTATAGCACCGAATCTCAGTTGAGAACATTTGAATTTGAACCATTAGGTAGCAAACCTAAAAATTTGCATTTGTATCAAGGAGATTTTAGAAATTTTGAAATTCCAAATAGAAACTCGTACAAGAATATTGTTGTTGTCACTGCTTTTTTCATTGACACTGCTGAGAATTTAATGGATTATTTGGATAAAATTGAGAAATTGGTCTTACCAAACGGTAAAGTTGAACGTGGTTATTGGATAAATGTAGGTCCATTGAAATATGGAAGTGCTGCTCAAGTTGAATTAAACGCTGATGAATTGAAAGAATTAAGAAATAATTTGGGTTGGAAAGACTACAATTCGGTTTATACTATCTATGATAAATTATCCTTGGGTAATAAGACTGGACTTGTCGGTTATTTAACTGATAAGGAAAGTATGTGGCAAGGTTATTATGGACTTAATATGTTTACAAGTGAAAGAAAAGAAAACAAATATTAAATAATTGTCTATTTAGATATATCTGAACCTTTATTGATTTGTAATTTTTTATCTTCACCACCACTTATAATACCAATTTGAGAATCCCAGCAAACATCGAATATTTTAGCATTAGTAGATCCATCTTCTCTTGTTATGGTGTATAAAGATTTTTCGGCTCTAACATCCCATACTTTAACAGTACCGTCATGTGATGAAGAAGCAAACATGTTGACATTATGTGGAGAAGCAGTTAAACCAACCACGAAATTGGTATGTCCAACCAACTTGTTGATAGTTTGTTCATTGGCATTTGTTGACATTCTTGGATCATGTAAGTTTATATGACGAGCAGAAGAACCAGTAGCAATAAGATTGACATCAGGTAATTGCAACACTGATAATAAAGAATATCCTGTAGTTCTAGTATCCACACATCTTGAGGTAACCAAATCCCAAGTTTTAATAGTATGATCTTGAGACACAGAGTAACCAACTGTGGAATCATTACTATCGAAAATGACCCCTTCAACAGGTTCACTATGACCAGTTAATAACTGTAATGGAGAACGACGTCTAATAGTTGAATCTTGAACTGCCATCTTTCTTCTCTTTTTGGAACTGGAAGAAATCACATTTGAATCGTATTCCAAAGGTTGAATAGTTTGCATGTCTTTGTAATTAGTAGACCAGAAACCAACATTATGATCATAACCTGCAGATAATATTCTATTAGAAGTGTAATCAATAGATAAATCAACAACAGGAGCCTTATGGCCTTCTAAAATGGCTAAAGTTTTCCCGTCTTCAACTTCATCATCTTCATCTTCATCTATAACATTGCCTTCACCATATGATGTTTTCCATAATCTTACTTGTCTATCATTGCCGGCAGATACAATTCTAGTAGGAGTGATCCATTTGACAGATCTAATTGGAGCAGAATGTCCAACGTATTGTTTTTCAACTTTTCCTGACATGTTATAAGTTCTTACAATCCCATCATAAGATCCAGATAATATTTTTGGTTGTGATATAGTTAATTGTGAGCTTTTGACTGCTTTACTGTTAGAATTTATGGCATCAATAGAGGAGATCCAATCATCACTATTGAAAGAAGCTAAAAATGAAGGTGGTAAAATGGCTCTAGTATATTCTAAATTAAGGAATGCTTCATTGGATAAACCATGTTTAGTCAAATATTCTTCAATTGAAGTACGTAATAAAACACCATCTATAAGAAAATCAAATGGGATTGGTTTTTTATCCTCATCTTCAGATGATTGGAAATTTCCTAATAAATGATTCACAACTTCAGATAAACCAAATCTTTTAAGAGTGACAGGAACATAAAGTGGAGAATCAGATACTTGTAATGATTCATCTTCTTCATTGGTAAAGAATTTAATCTTTATTTGATTTTTATTCTCTGAAGGTGTAGTCATATTGATGTGGTGATTGTTGATTAGTATTTCACTCTATAAGCGATGCTCTTTTTTTAGTTTTTTTTTTTTTTTTTTCTTTTATTTATTTAAAAAATCTGTACTAATCTCATCGCAGTAGGATTCTCTTTTTTTTTTTCCTTCTCTTTTTACTACGTGTGGTAGACCTATTCTAGGTCGTGGCACTAGACCGAGAGATTGTCTTGATTTTGCAGCTTCTACGGAAGTATCAAAATGAAAACATATACTATTGTCCTAGCTTAAAACCTATTTAAAATCTCACACTGATATCAACACCTGGACTAGTGACGGTTCTTGAAGCACGTAATCCTTTTTTTAAACCTGGCATGGTGAATTTTGTAGCTTTTCTGCCAATCATTCTAGCAAATCTTAACCCACGATTAGCCCGTTTTACAACACCTTTTCTTTCAGTGTTGACAAAGCGATAAGTAAATCTAGTTCTTCTTATTTTACTAATTGAATAATGGTTCTTTTGACATCGTTTGTAGAAGACCGTAAAATCGGATATATACCCCTTTTCAAATAAACTTTTCAAAGCACGTTTGATTCGTTTCCATCTTCTTGCTCGAGTAATTCTTGGTGGTGGTAGGGATCTCATTTCCCAACTACTTTAACGACGTACCAAGAAATTCGATATAATACAGAAACTAAGAAAATAACTGTGAGAAACACTTTGGATACTGAATGGAGGTATTGCTAGGGATATAAAGTGGAACTAGTTGAAACTAACTTTGACTGATAATGGCAAAAAAAAAAAGATAAAGATAAGAGAATTAGGAGCGTTTCTTCCGAATATATGTTTTGTTGATTTATTGTGTGCATCATAACAATAATCATTTAATATTCCGTCGGAAGGCGAGATATTTACATTTAGATTTAATCAAAAATCAGAAGAAAATAAACAGAACTTACTTAGTAGTCTTAGATCTTCCTGATTGAGCAAATCAAGTAAAAAATCTGAAATTAACAATACTACAATCTCTCTGAAATACCAATTACTGTATCAATAATAGTCTACTGTTATTGAGTCACCGCTACCAATTGAAGAAGTCAAAAAACAGAAATACGAAATAATTTTTGTTGCAATTATTCTTTTTTTCTCCTTTTACTCCAAGTCTCAACGACAACGACATCAACGAGTAAGAAAAAAAAAAAAAAAAAACCGATGAGCTGAGCTGTGTGATACTCAGACAGAGAGGAAAAAAAAATTGAAAAAAAATATAACCTCTTCTTATCCCATTCTTGGTTTTCTTTCTTTCTTTCGGTGGTTTACCATTTAAAAGACACCCCAAAAACAAATAGATAATCACTATAATATAATGAGTGCTAACATTGACGATGTCCCAATCGAAGTTTCCAAAGTCTTCGATACCATTTTGGTTTTGGATTTTGGTTCTCAATACTCCCATTTAATCACCCGTCGTTTGAGAGAATTCAACGTTTATGCTGAAATGTTGCCATGTACTCAAAAAATCGCCGAATTATCATGGAAACCAAAAGGTATCATTTTATCCGGTGGTCCATACTCAGTTTATGCTGAAGATGCTCCTCATGTTGACCATGATGTTTTCAAATTAGGTGTTCCAATCTTGGGTATATGTTACGGTATGCAAGAATTGGCATGGATTAACGGTAAAGGTGTTGCCAGAGGCGACAAAAGAGAATACGGTCCAGCTACTTTGAATGTCGAAGATCCTGAATGTTCTTTATTCAAGGGTGTTGATCACTCTCAAGTTTGGATGTCCCATGGTGATAAATTACATGCCTTGCCAACCGGTTTCAAAGTTGTTGCCACTTCTGACAACTCTCCATACTGTGGTATTTCCAACGAAGCTGAAAGAATCTACGGTATTCAATTCCACCCAGAAGTTACCCACACTGCTGAAGGTAAGAAATTGTTGAAAAACTTTGCTGTTGACATTTGTCAAGCCAACACTAACTGGAGTATGGAAAACTTCATTGATACTGAAATTGCCAGAATTAGAAAATTGGTCGGTCCAACTGCTGAAGTTATTGGTGCCGTTTCTGGTGGTGTTGACTCCACTGTTGGTGCTAAAATCATGAAAGAAGCTATTGGTGATCGTTTCCACGCCATTTACGTTGACAATGGTGTTATGAGAAAGAATGAAACCGAAAGTGTCAAGAAGACCTTGGACGATGGTTTGGGTATTAACTTGACTGTTGTTGATGCCAGTGAATTGTTCTTGGGCAGATTGAAAGGTGTCACTGATCCAGAAAAGAAGAGAAAGATCATTGGTAACACTTTTATCCACGTTTTTGAAGAAGAAGCTGCCAAGATTAAGCCACACGATGGTTCTGAAATTGAATTCCTTTTACAAGGTACTTTATACCCAGATGTCATTGAATCCATCTCTTTCAAAGGTCCATCCCAAACCATTAAAACCCATCACAATGTTGGTGGTTTGTTGGAAGACATGAAATTGAAATTGATTGAACCATTGAGAGAATTGTTCAAAGACGAAGTTCGTCATTTGGGTGAATTGTTAGGTGTTCCAGAAGATTTGGTTTGGAGACACCCATTCCCAGGTCCAGGTTTAGCTATCAGAGTCTTGGGTGAAGTCACCAAAGAACAAGTTAAGATTGCTCGTGAAGCTGATGCTATCTTCCTTGAAGAAATCAAAAAAGCTGGTTTGTACAGACAAATTTCCCAAGCTTTTGCCGCTTTATTGCCAGTCAAATCCGTTGGTGTTATGGGTGATCAAAGAACTTACGAACAAGTTATTGCTTTGAGAGCTATTGAAACTGTCGATTTCATGACTGCTGATTGGTTTGTTTTTGAAGCTGCTTTCTTAAAGAAGGTTGCCTCAAGAATTGTTAACGAAGTTGATGGTGTTGCTCGTGTTACTTATGATATCACTTCCAAACCACCAGCCACCGTCGAATGGGAATAGGCGAATAGAATGATGCAGACACATATATATATAAAAGAGAAAGAGGGGTGTTGTTTTTGTTGTATTAATAATATTTATCGTATAGTTTCATTATGATGTTCATTATACACACGATTTACAGTAGATCTATTACTCTTTGTCGTAGAACAGTTGCAATGATAAGAGAATCATCGTGAGAAATGCTTAGATGAAATTCCTCATCTCGGAGCCCATAGTTATCATTCCAAATAAATGGTTTCCCGTTTGGGTCATGATATCGATACCATTGATTAAAACTAAACTTTTTTTGATCTTCAATGTCTAATGTCTTAAAAACAGCTTCTTTAGCTGCCCATGATCCAGTTAGGAATTGTACTTGCCGCAGATTAGTCATTGATTCAAATCGAGGTAGTTCATGTTTGGGATGTAATATTCTTTTCGATAATCTTTGGGAAAAAGATGTTGTTTTGGAAGTTAATAATCGTTGAAATCTTGATGAATTGATAATATCAACACCTAAACCTAATGTAATTCCTAATTTTTTCATTGGCTTCACGTGGTATGATAAGGCTATATCAATCAGATAAAGTGTAATTTTTTTAGTCCAGAAAAAATTTTTCTTTACCAATTTAGGGTGTGAGTAATCTCCAATTTTGGACCTAGCAAAAAATTTACAGAAACAAAGGAAAAGTATCAGATTGTGATCTTTCTTCAAAATTGTAGACTCTTTCCCACCATACCCCACTTTAAACATTAATATCAACAAAGAGAAAGAAAAAAAATGGCATCTTCAGTCCCTGGTCCAGTTAATTTACCTCATTCCAAATATGATTTATCTACTTATTGGGGTAGAGTCAAGCATTGTGCTGAAATTTCTGATCCAACGATGTTGTTAAACACCACTAGTGATATTGAAAATGCCAAAAGAATGGTTTGGGATTATAAGAATGGTGTTACTTCCAAGATGACCCCTGAATTATGGAGAGCTAAGAAAATATTGGATTCAACTTTGCATCCAGATACCGGGGAAACAGTTTTCTTGCCATTTAGAATGTCTTCTTGTGTTTTATCCAATCTTGTAGTTACTGCAGGTATGTTAACACCAAACTTGGGAACAGCTGGTACTTTATTCTGGCAAATTGCTAATCAATCATTGAATGTGGCTATAAATACTGCTAATGCTAACAAGTCTCATCCATTAACCACCAAACAAATCATCACTAATTATACATTGGCAGTTACTGCTTCATGTTCTGTGGCATTGGGATTAAACTCCTTGGTTCCTAGATTGAAGTCATTAAAGCCAAACACAAGAATGATTCTTGGTAGATTAGTGCCATTCGCTGCTGTTGTTTCTGCAGGTATTGTTAATGTCTTTTTAATGAGAAGTGAAGAGTTGAAGAAGGGAATTACTGTATTTGATAAAAAAGGAGACGAAGTTGGTACTTCTAAAACCGCAGCTTGGTACGCTGTTGGTGAAACTGCTGCCAGTAGAGTCATAAATGCCACACCAATTATGGTTATCCCACCATTGATCTTGGTTAGATTGCAAAGATCTAAATTCTTGAAAGGTAAACCTAAAGGAGTTGAAATTTTAACAAACATAGGATTAATTTTTGCTACATCATTAGTTGCCTTGCCATTTGCCTTGGGTGTTTTCCCACAAAGAAGAATTTTACCAGTAACTAAATTGGAACCAAAATTCCAAGATTTGAAAGACAAAGAAGGAAACAAAATCACTGAATTGGAATTCAATAGAGGTATTTAAGCCAGTGAAAAAGAAAAGAAGTCTTTCATTTTGTAATATTAATTATGCTTTGTTTTTTGTTGAATTAAAAGAGATAAAGAACTTGTATATAGGTGAAATTACATTCTATTAGTTTAAAGTGAAAAAAAAAAAAAAAATTTGTAAACTCAATTACCAAAATTTCCATTCTTTAACATTTGTCATTCCTAATACAGCCTCAATAGCAGCACGATCAGGGTAATCACAGAATACAGTTTGTGAAAATTTGCTGTTATCAGAAACATCGTCATTGTATAGCACTCCAACACCTTTACCACCTAAAGAAGTTTCAAAACTATCGTATCCTTCACTTTCAAATTCCTTGATGGCTTCTTGTATGACCGATTCTTCAACATTATCATTGACTAAAGTGATGGCGCAACCACCACCACCAGCTCCAGTTAATTTAGTAGCACCTATTTGATGTTTATCTCCAATGATTTTGACAGTTTCTAGAGCAGGGTGGGAAACACCTAACGCTACCAAAAGACCATGGTTCATATTGACCAATTTACGCAAAATTGTAGTTTCATCTTTACCAAATCCTGGCGTAATCATGACTTTATATGCTTCTTGTGCTAAATGTTCCATCGCAGCTAAGACAGATGTTGTTATCAGATTGAATTCAGAATTCAATTGTCCCACACCGGCAACTAAAGCAGCAGTACTCTTTGGAACCTTTGTATTTGTAAGCAAAAGTTTAATAGCTGGAAAGTTTCTCATATTTGTTCTAATTGAAGGTTGTTCAGGAGCAGAATTTCTTTGAAACATAACTGCCCCTCCGAATGTTGCAACAGCATTATCAATACCCGATGGATTTCCATGAAAACATTTTTCACCCATTAAGGACCATTTATCAACAAATTCCAAGTCCGGTATATCTTCACTAAGAAATTTGTCATCAGCAGAAATAGAAGGTTTATTTATCCAGCCACCTAACAATGCTAATGCAGATGATAAACAAACAGATGTAGAAGCAGAAGATCCCAAACCTGCCCCAATTGGTAAAGTCGATCTTACTACGAAAGTAGCTCCAGGAGTTTTAGAATCACATAAATTAACAAACAAATAAAGAAAACAGAAACAAGCGTAGTAATGCATTTTATTATCAAAGGCAGTTAACAACCCAGATAATTTATCAACAATTTCCGGAACCAATTCTGGTGGAACTAATGGTTTATTATTGGAGTCATATTTAATGAATGGCTTGATTTCCTCCCAAGGAATATCATTGATGTTCCATGAATGATCCAATTCAATATCTGGAAATTTCAATGTTATTGTATTTGCATCAACTGATGGTGAGACAAGTAGATAACATCTTAAACTTAAAGCTGCTGCAATGGCTGGTTTCCCATAAACTGCTGAGTGTTCACCAAAGATAATTACTTTACCAGGGGCACTGACAATGAAAGGGGAGACTGACATGTATGTGAAAGAAAATGTGTGTGGTAGTAATCAGATGTTTGAATATCAGAAATGATTTGAAAAATTTAGAAAAATAAACGATCTGCCAAACAAAGGAAAAAAAGAAAAAAAAAAGCACAACAACAACAAGAAGAACAAGAAGAACAGAAGCGAGAAACAAAAACAGACCTTCATTTCACTTCTCACTTTCAACACAACTCGAAAATTTTTACTGCTCAAGATCTGCGCAAACCAAAGAGACAAAAAAAAAAAACAACCATCAACAAGACAACCATTACAAGCACCACAGTCAAACATTCGCCCACAATCATGTCTACATCATTGGTTGAATTAAGTAAACCGTCAGAAAAACTCGAGAAGAGTAAGGACAAGTTACCTTTGAAGCCAATCCAACCTACCCAATATTGGACTTTTGATAATGTTTTGACTTTATTAAAAGACTGTCAAGATCCTTACTTGTCTGATGCATTGGATGAATTTTTACTATTAAACAGCAAGGTATTTTTAGATCCATCCCCATTTACATCACAACTGGATAATGAGACCTTGAATGATGATACCAAAGATATATCACTTAGAAGTGTTTTATATACCAATATAACTCCACAAATCATCAAAGATGCAAAGATCATTTCTACCACTTTGCATTTGGAACTTAAAGAAGTAGTAAGAGTCATATGTCAAACCAACAAAAAGATTCCCACAAGAACCACCACTTGGGAATTGGAAGCCATTAAAAGCAAATTGCACGATGAAAAGTATTATGAAAACAAGAGATTACAATTGTACATTGCCAAAATTTTAAGAGAAAGAAGAATTGTCTTGAGAGTTGTCATTGAACTTTTGAGTAATAAAACAAACAATTATGCATCATCTGTAATACAAAATTTAGGAAAAGATGTCTTCTTATCCAAAGACTATATCAAATCCCTCATTGAATCTATTGCAAAGACTACACAGCAATTAGTCAGAAAGAGCTTCACAACCGGAATTTCCAAAGATATCGACAATACTATCCTCAATGAAACTATATTGTTTTGTATAGAAGCAAGTAAAGTTTTAATCGAATTGTCTGTTCAGAATCCAAATGTAACAGGTCCAATTGTACAAGAATGGTTCAAATTAATGAAAGATACAAATTTTGCCCTTGTTTTAGGACCTTCAATTAAGTACCATGAGTCTTTTGCCATGGTTCATGGGTTATTCACCATATTGTGTGTACAATACTTGGACTTGACTAACAGTTTTGATAATGTCAATCAGAATGCAAGTGATGAAACCATGATGGCTAATATTGGAATCTTTAAATACATTAATGATGCCATCGCCAATACATCCAACACTAATCCTGTTGTTTTATACAGTTGGTCCATTATATTGTTGAGAAAATTTTATTTTTTACAAGAGTATCCTTCCTTGCCAGCTTCGACAACTTTCCTTAAGGAATTCAGTTTTGATCATTTGGAGAATCTCATAAACATCATCAACCAAAAATGTTCTGATTTGGAAATTTTTGTTTCCCTAAGGAAATTAAACGAATTGTTGAAATTTGATAAATTATACTCAGGAATTTTGTCTTCCTTGATAATTGCATGTATGCCATTGGTTACTCTTTCGCCAGATGTCACGGAAGCTATATCAAGTGTCATTGGCAATTGCCCAAATCACATTATCGAAGGATTTTTTGAAAACAAAGCCACCACCAATGCCATAATTATTGCCCGTACCAAATTCCCATTGATGTTAAACCCATACATACAATTGGCTTCTATTAACGGTAATTTTGCTTTGCATGAGTTCAATGATTTAAAATCATATATTCAAGTTTTCAAGAAGGGCGAATTTGACAAAATGTACCAGATCGATGATCAAAACACTGAATTAGTCAAGACTACACAATTCATTGATGTATACCCTCCATTTGAAACCAACAAGAAATTGTCTTTAGTTTTAAGCGCAGGTACAAAAGCTAAATTATTACCTTCTGCTGATCCAAATGAAGTCTTGGTCACCTTTTTGTATAATTACAATGGATGGGCATTTCTTGGAAGAGTCTTACAAAATGTTTCTAAAATTTTTAACAATTCAGATGTCGTTGCAATTGATTTGGTTCTTAATATTTTGAATTTGTTGAACAAAGTTGTACTCGACAATGGTATTGATGATACGAAATTGGTTTTAGAGGCCATGTCTGCTTATACTGATGATTCAGATATTCTCGAAGTGATTTTACGACTCTTGGAACAAGGATTGCATTTGAGAAACGTCAAGATCTTAGTGGCTGTTGTTGACTTATTAACCAAATTAATGCCATTTCTTTCATACAGAATCTGGCCATATTTATCCAAGTCTGCTTTATTGGCAACCAATGGAAAAGAAGGTTTAGCTGCGGTTATATTTGGTGCCGTTGAAATGGTCAACGGAGATTATAGCTTCACAGTTTCGTTAATCAAATTGGCAGAAGCATTAACACAGAATTGCTTGTCATTGGACCAGGACTACCCTAAAAAATCCAAGAGCGTAATCATGCGTAAATTTGTGGGTCACTTGATGGATTTATTTGAAACTTTTGCTTATTGTAGGTATGAACAACCATATGAGAAGTTGGAAATTGGTGTTTTGGTATTAGATGTACTCTCAACTATTCTTGCAAGCGTTTATGGTGTTGATGAAGGAGTTCCTGCTCATGAAAAGGCTACCAAAGTTTTTGCTGAATCTGCCCAGTATATTTTGGATGCATTCTTAATACCAGATGAAACATGCTCACGTGCTGGTGCCCCAATAATTACAATGATTGAAAATCTTTCAAAGGATTTGGAATTGTACGAGTTGACTGATGTGTCATCCTTTTGGCATGATAACTGGATCCGTTGTGCCTTTTCCTTTTCTCAACTCATCATCACTATAAGATCATCTTTGAATTTTAAGCCACTGTCATTTGAAAAGAAATTGTTTACCAAAGCACCAGAGTTGGTTTTGTCGTATTCTAGATATGAATCAGTCAGAAAAGAAATCTTAGATCTTTTGACTTGTTTGACTAATGGTAATTGGGGAACTGAATCTCCTCCTTCTTTATTATCACACTTGGGTAACTTCAACGCACAAGTGTTGTTGCATTCCTTGGCTGCAGACCTAGACAATTCTTTTGATGATTACAAGATGAAGATTTCTTTGTATGATTTTATTTGCGCTGTAATGAATGGCAAACAAGAAGGTCTTGCTGTATTGTTCATCACAGGAAGAGATGTTTTCGGTGATTTTACTAAAAAAGATGAAAATACAAAGATTGAAACCAAAGTGTCATTATTGCAAATTTTGAAGAAGAATATTAGAGATATGAAATACTACCCAAATTCAGTTAGCATCCATTTGGTTGACGCTATTTCTTTGGCATGTAATTCATGGACCACTGTGAAGGAAAGCCAACATGACGAGGATTTCATCAAAACTTTGATTAGCCGTGTGAAATTACAAATATTAGATCCCCCAGATTCATCAGAAAGCTTCATCAGTAGATGTTATGAATTGAAACTTGTATCTAAAATTGCCGAGATTTTGGCACTTTATCTATTCTCCACACGAAATGAATCCTGTAAGAAAGAGATTCTCAATTTTGTCAATTCCGACGAGTTTATTGATCTTGCCAGAAATAAGTTTTCCATCACCAATTATCAACCTAATTTGGATTATAACTTGCAGATAGCGTTTGAAAACGCTTTCACTGGATTTAAATTATCACAATTCACCAGTGGCTTGACGAAGAGAAATAGATTTGGTATTACTTCTGTATATAACTTAGCACTCATGGACTCATTATTTAAAAATGAACCGGAATGGCCGCAAATTAGAGAACAGATTATTGCATCTAGTATCAATTTTCAGTACTTAAACTCCCAATTTGCTAGCGCCAAATCATTTGGTGCTCTCATTACAAGTTTCTGCAGAAGATATGAAGGTGCATTGCATGCGAGAGTTTTAGATTTTATTAATGACTTGTTGAAATTGAATATCAATGAAGGAATACCAACCGACACATTTAACTCAATTTATTGTGAAAGAATTGAATTGGCATTCTTTTTGATGTACACTTACTTTTCGAAAACAAAATCACAAGATGCTGATGACAGGAAAATATTTGAGATTATTAAAAGCAGTTCAACTTTGTTATCTTCGAGTAGTATGGATTTCTTTGCAAATTTGGCTGAATCTAAAGGATACTATAAACCATTATTGAAGCTTTTATATTGTGCCTTAAATTTAATCAAGAGTGATTCAAAAATCTTAGCTGAATATTTGAGTTTGTTCAGGGATTTGTTTAACAATATTGTTATAAAGGGGACAAAGGTGTTGCTTATTGAAATACAGAATGATGCATACCGTTCAAGAAGTCAAAGAGCATTTAAGTCAACCAAAATGAATGATAGAATCGATGACTTAATGATTATATTGTCTATCTTGAAGGTATTTGTCAAAGCAAAAGCTGGATCCATGTTGCATGAGGAAATGGCTGTCTCGATTGATCAACACGGAACTATAAAATCATTATTGAATCTTTATTCATTCTCCCATTCAATTGAAGTTAATGATGAATTTATATTTGCACAATTAAGTTTGATGTATTTATTGGAATTAATGTCAATTCAAGTGATTGCAGAAAAGATTGTCTCATCCGGATTATTTGTGGTTTTGTTGGAAAGTCCAATTTCACAACCAATCAGAGCTGGTGGTGTTTCAATAAGTCATGGTGCTCCATATCATAGACTTTGGATTAATGGCATATTGCCAATTATTATTACTAGTTTGTTCAAATTGGGATCCTCGATTGTGCCAGAAGTATGCGTTGCTTTACAATTATTTGGAAAACAAACTCAATATGGCATTGATAGTTGGGCACAGGATGCGTCCAGTATTAAAATATCCACCGGGTTGGTTGCAGAAACAAGCGAAATATTGTTGATTTACGATTTACTTAAATCAATGGATGTCACTTCTTATTTGAGAAGTATTCACGCAGCTCATGGAGGTCTCACCACCACAACTGCAACAGACGATTCTACTGATTTAAGGGTTTTGCCAGGATTGGATTCTGATGCTAAAAGGGATGACTTTATTGTGTGTATTGAGAACTTATTGAAACACCCAAAGTATTTGAGTTCTAAAATAAGTCCAAGTTCTATTGAAGAACAGCATATCATCCAACAAGGGGGTGACGTGTTTGATAAGTTTGTTCAAACGGTCGTTGACGAAATTAGAGATTTCAAAGATTATTTCAATTAATCAACGGTGTTTAGATTGATATACATTAATATATATTGTAGAAAATAGACATTCCGTTTCAGTCGGTCTTTATGAAGTAGTTTTGCTCGACATCTATTGGAATGACGGCATTGGTCTTGGCTGGTGTGTGCAATTGCACATCAATGTTAGAAACAAACCCAGGCAGCTCTTTGATACTAGTGTTTGTAATGTTTGGTGTTTTCTCACTCTTGATTTGTCCATTGATCAACTGTTGCCAGCTTTCATGACATTGCTGGATGATTTCAATGGTTTCATCAGCAGTCTTGTACTCGCCATTAAATGCAAACTCGTTCTGTGGCTTTCCATCAGCCAACTTATAGTCTCTGAACCATTGCCTAGTGGTATCCAACAAGCCGGGACACTTCTCATCTAAGTCGCAAATATCGTTCACTTGCTTTGCCAAAGGATCGTCAACATTCACAACAATCACTTTCCAATCCAATTCACCATCGTCAATCAAGGCCAAAGAACCTAGGATTTTAACTCGTTTAATGTCTCCGGTAGATAAAATCCTTGATCCAACCTCACACACATCAACAGGGTCATTGTCACCAAACAACCCATGGTGTTTAGTGGTTGGATCTTCCCAGGTTTGTGGGAATGCTCCATAGTTGTGGATATATCCATGGTGGGGGAATAGGTTCTTAACAAATCGTACTTTCCCGTTCTTTGTATCTTGAACAATGGGGTTTCCTGCTAATTTAGTATTGATTTCAAATTTGGCATTGGTCCAACGTGGGATTTCTATAACTATATTGGCCTCTTTGGTTTCTTTGTTGAGGTCTAACGCAATATCATGAAAATAGGAAACAACTTTGCCGTGGGAAGTGGTTGCGTAATTAGCATAATCTGGGGTATATTTGGTACCTTGGTTATAAGGAATGATATCCGGAAGTTGTTGTGACGAAGAAGAAGAGGAGGAACATCTGGATGTGAATAAATGTTGATTGGTTAATGCTAATCTGCCTAAAGCAGTGCCAAATGATGGTGATGACAGTTTCATTAAAGTTATCAATAACGACATTCTAAAACACAGGGAAAACAGAAAAAAAAAAACGAAATGAACGGATAAGGATCTGTGTGAATCTGTTCGTAATAGAAATTAGTCAAAGAGAATTAAACTACAATTTGCTGTACCTCGGCATATGATAAATGGAGAAAAAAAGGAAAAAAAAAAACATAATCGATGCTCAATCTGGCGGTAGGTCTCGCACGACTTGGTTTGAACCTTCCCCACATTTATGTTTCTCTATCTGTTTATATTATCGTCAACCTATATACTCTAGTTTGGAGGTTTCCCAAGGAACACGATCTTCCCTTTGCTGTTGAATGTAGCATTATCTGTGCTGATATCAACAATCGGAGACAATTGTTCGATTTCAATTTCACTTAATCCCATTGGATCGGCGGGGAACCAAACACCAGGACACTTGGCAGAAATAGCAGGCGCATCATAAGCATGTTTATTGTCCACCACAACAGGCTCAACGTTAAATACAGCAGGAACTAGTTTCTTGACGTACCGGAAATTCAAAAACACGTCTGGTCTGATGAATCGGACAATGGGGTTATTGAAGACAGTAGACTTGAAGTCACGGTCTGCTAGCAAGGGCACGACACATGTGGAATCGAGTGCCAGTTCTTGATCATTGTCGGACTCCAATTGCAATTTCAACTCTGCTTTAAGTTTATCTTCCTCTTCCTGCTCCTCCTGGTACGCCTTGTCAAAAGCAGTACGCTTCTTCTTCCTGTTCAACACCTTTGCCTCGTACTCGGTTGGGCCAGTAAATGAAGATGTATTGGAAACACCGTCCAATGGTCTCATGACGTCAATTGGAACAACACGGAGCAAGTGATCAAATGCCCACCCGAGATGAATGTGCGCAAATACAGTGCCCAACAACACAATAAGTTGCAACACCACTGGACCCCATCCTTTACCGACTGCAAGGATACCCAAGAGAACAACCTCGCTCAAGTACAACCCACAGAATGACTGGAAAAGTGCTCGGGGGTAGTGGCTGCCGTACGCATCTGGACCTTCAACAAAACAGTATGTGATATTGTGTGCATACGCAACGTAAATCAAGAAAAACGAGGCACAAGCAAAGACAAGAATCAAAGGCGAGATGATTGAATAAGCCAACGTGATGGACGCCAATTGCGTGAAAATTGGGAACACGGTACCCCAAGAGACACTTCCCAACCCGCTGAACCTGGCCCATTTCTTTCGAACGGTGTTATCAAAAATGGAACCCAAAACGTAGTACAAAAAGAGACCAACAATCTGGAACAACGAACCTCCTGCTATGGAGAAACCTTGAAGAACAATATAGGATATGTAGAAATTCGATGACAAGGGTAATTTGTTGGCTAAGATACTCATTGCGGATGTGGGTTTCTCGACGATTTCGGTGACCGTGGCCGTGGCCGACGACGCCAACGCGGTAACCAAAAACCCGTTGACCATCAAGAAGGCAAAGTACGCATTCTGTGTCCACAATTCGACTCCAACTGTTGACACCTCGCCGGAAATCCTAGCAAGAACTCGGATGATCATGGGCAAAACAAACATCAACAACGAAAGCAAAACGGTCGGCAACAAACCAGTGACCAAACCCAACAATGCATGCGGCATCTTCAAAATCCATCTCAACCATGGCAATTTATTGGTCAAGAAAGTGATATTGGAAATGGTACCGACGGCGGCCACTGGGATGGCCCAGAACACAACCAACGCTGTCACCGCCGCAAACGCCAAAAACCTTCTTGTTATTCTTTCCCACCAAAACATTCTCAAGTTTGCGTGAATAATTTCCTTTGGTGAAAGACCGATGAATGCTGGCGACATTCTCATCGGACTGTGGTGTACCGTGGACTGGTACGCAATTTGGGCATAATACTGACTTTCGAATTCAACGAAAATAGAATTCAACGGCATCGAGTGTCTGAATTTCTTCTGGAGTGCTTTCACCTCTTTATCCAATATTGGAATCTTTTCTTGACAGAATCGAATGGTGTCCACTTTGGAAGAGAAGAACCCCTTTTCCTTGGTCTTGGGTCTGTGCTTCTCACTGACATATGAACTAATTTCGTCAACGGGCTCCAATAGAATACCCTTCTTGTCGGCCTTCATTTTGCTTTTAACCGCCAACTTCATTAATTTGTTCTCTGCGTTCTCAAGCTTGGTAACCATGGCTGCTCTTTCCTCGACCTTGTGTTCCAACTCTCTCGATGTTCTGGCAACATACACCCTCTTGACACCGTTGAAAATCTTGAACGCTTGCTTCTCATCCAACAACGCATCGGGAACACTTTGGAAAAGCACAGTTCGACAGGAAAGACTTTTTGCATACTTGGGAGAAGCCAACACCACATTCTTGATTGAGTTGTAAAAAAACAACTCACGGTAGATAACGAAGATTGTCACGAAATTGAAAATGAACCCGACGACAACATGGGCGTAGTACCGCTTTGGAGCAGTGACATTTGCAATGGAAAGCTTGTCAAACCCTTTGTTGTTGTTCCCGTGCGTGGCATTTATAGGCAACAAAATGATATAGGAAGTCAACGCAAACAAAAACAACAATCCAAACGTTTTCAAGTACCGTAAAAACACTAGTCCATCAAGTCCGGCTTGTTGTAAGAAAAACGAATCCGGCTTACTCAACAAAACAAATATCCATCGAATTGGGTCCTTGGGAAGTGGTTCGGGTTTCTTTTCCTCGGGAACAAGATCAAATGATGATTTGGGACTATAGATACGTTTGAATTTTAATCGCAATAGTACGAAGCCGCCAACAAAAGCACCAAATAACGCCAAGTTCGCAACTAGTGTTGATATAATTGTCGATGTCGAGACACTGCTTGGCGCAACAGTCATTGTGATTCGGTGAATATATGAATCTGGGGAGAAGTTGTGATTGTGCTAACAAAATAAAATAAAATTAAAAAAAAAAAAATAATCAAAACACCTTTTAGAAAAAAAAATTTCTCCTTACATTAACATCATTGAAAGGGAACACGAAATTAGTATGAGAAATCAGACCTGGAATTGACACACAAAATCGAACAAGGGAACAACAGAAGAAAAAAAAAAAAAGAAACAAAAGAATTTTCACTCTGTTATGCCTAACTTTTGATGTCATGTCGCAGGGCAACGAAATGAAAAGGAAGTGTCCCGTGGTCCTGTGGTGCTCCAACGATGGTTTTGCTATGGTCCCAAGACGTTCATCAATTGCAATTTATAAAACTTGTGGTGGTGGACCAATTTCCAATTTGCCCAACATGATGTCAGCAGAAGAAATTGATGTGCAATGAGTACAGCCGTAGGTCTAGCACTCAGTTGTAACGAGAAAGAATGGACTTCCAGATGCAGTATTTTGATGAAACGAGGTAAGCTTAAACTTTTCTTTGTTGGCTGCTCGTAATACAGTTATTTAACTTTCACTCCTTGGAAAAACAAGACAGTGTTAGGGTACTCCTCTTTCGCTAGAAACCGGTGTTACTGAACAGACTATGCGACTGTCTTCGCTGTGGTTGACTAAAGATTTAAGTACATCACACATGCTTCATTTCAGCATTCAGTATTTAATGACAGCCACAATTTAGACCGCACATACAATAATCATTTCATCACGATTAACTATTCAATGATGAATGGTATCCTTTGAGTCACCTTCTGTGTTGACAACTTCTTGATAGTTGAGTCTATGCTCAGTCATCAATCTGCATAACTTTTGGATTCGTAACTTGATCTCTTTTTGGGCATGATCAATTATTTTTTTCTCTCATTCTCCTCCTTTTTACCCAAAAATCAACACCAAAATTGTACAAAAACCCCGAAAACTACCAAAACATTGCCAACATCGATATGACTATTGCAGAAGATGAGTTCATGTAAACACTCACAAAGGCAACAGCTTTTGGTTAGTCTAGCTTAACGCATACACGCTGCTGAGTAATCTCCGTTTAACTGCGTGACACACGGCATCAAAATCAGTGCGGAGTCCCGAAAATCGGGGCCAACCGCCAAAAGATCGTTTAGATAAATATAAATAAAAAAAAACTTTTTCCTTTGTCTTTTTGATCTGGTTTAAGTTTTTGTTTCTTTTACTATCACATACAATACCCGTCTACTACATCATGGCTGTTACGTTTGAGGAGTACTTCTCCATCCAGACCTTCTTGGTTGTATTGAGAGAGACACTTGAGTCGGCAATTATCATTTCGGTGCTACTCTCTTTTGTTCACCAGACATTCAACGATACCCAACTGAAAACACAAGCTACTAGACACCATAACCAAACATACCTGAGTATAGAAGGCACGTCATCTGCGCCAACTACTAGTACAACAACGGAAGAAGAAGAGACAGAATTCGAGAAAGACGAAAGCAAGCTTTGTCGATACTTGCAATTCCAGATCTGGCTCGGTGGATTACTCGGATTGGTTGTCTGTCTCATCATAGGGTCCATCATTCTTGGGATTTTCTACATCATTGGCAGCGACTTGTGGTCCAAGGCGGAGCATTACTGGGAAGGTACGTTCTCCATCTTGGCCAGCATAATCATCTCAGTCATGGGGGTCAAGATTCTCCGTGTGAACAAAATGCAAGCCAAATGGAAATCCAAGCTTGGAAAGATCTTGCAGTCGTCTGGGTATTTGAATAACCCACACAACAAGAAATCCTTTGACCGTGCCGGTACAACATGGGCGAACAAGGTGGAGCTCTGGTCTGAGAAGTACAATATGTTTATTTTGCCGTTTGTCACCACCTTGAGAGAAGGGTTGGAGGCAATTGCGTTGATTGGTGGGATCGGTATCAATGAGAACACCACGGCGATTGCGTTGGTGAACTCAGCTGTGTTGGCTGTGGTGATTGGTTCGTTGATCGGGGTCGCATTGTACAAGTATGGGAACACCATGTCGTTAAAGGTGTTCTTAATCACATCCACTTGTTTCTTGTACCTCGTGGCTGCTGGGTTGTTTTCCAAGGGTGTGTGGAACTTTGAGTTACAGAGGTTCATCGACCAATGTGGAGGCATGGATGTGAGTGAAACTGGCCATGGACCTGGTTCGTATGATATAGCCGTTTCCGTGTGGCACGTCAACTGTTGTAATGGTGAGTTGCAAGACGACGGAGTGTTCTGGATGTTGTTCACGGCCATTCTTGGATGGACCAATTCTGCCACCATTGGAAGTGTTGTCAGTTACAATGTATACTGGGTGGTGGTAATAGCTGTGTTCTGGGCGTTGATACACGAGGAGAAACACGGCTTCTTACCGGTCATCCCAATATCATGGCAGTTGAAGAGAATAGAAAAGAGAAAGAACTTGTACCAGCCATTAGATGCTCCAGAGATCGGTGTTTTGGAGGAGGTGAGAGATAGCATGGACTCGTTGAATTCACAGACTCCACTCCAACAGAGCTAGAATACTAGTAGCTAAGTAGTTAAGTAGTATAAAGAGAAATTTTTGATTGGCCCGTAAATGTTCGATAGTGGAATGTTCTCTAGCTCGTAATTGTTCGGATATTGTTGAGCTTTTCCGGTCAACTGATCCCCCAAAAAATTATGCAGCCTGACCGGATATTCATCTTACTTATTTTTTTTTTTGGCCCATTGTTTTCCTTATTCATTGTACGATCAATAGATAGATCCCTTGTTGTTGAATATATTTTTTTTCTTAGGTACCACTTGTGCCGTCTTACCTAATCCATTCGCCACAACCTAGATGCCAAAATCCAAAAGAGGTCGAAGACCAGTCAAAAGATGTTCCAGTTGCAAACGGCTAAAAATTAAAGTATGTTATTTCCCCAGGCTGATAACTCAATTTTTTATTTTTCTTGTCCAGCCGAAATTACTAACCTGTACACCACAGTGTGATCAACGACAACCATGTGAATATTGCAAAGACCGGAGAAAAGAATGTGTATATGAGCCAGAAGTTCCAACAAGTGCTCTGTCCAGTGAGTCACCAGAGTCACAGGAAACTGCATTATCGGGGTATCATCCAACCACGGACCTTGTATTGACACAAACCAGTTCACAATTGTCAATGAGCCAGCAGGACGTCGAGCTCTTGAACTTCTTTGAACAGAAGGCTAAATCCACGGTGTTCTACAACAACCATGTCTTTGATGACGCCTTCAAAACTGAAGTCAATCCCTTATTCCGACACAACTCAGCCGTGCGGTATACGTTGTTAGCTGTGTCGGCAATCATTCAACTGAATGTTCTCCTGGTGGGGAGCAACGATGGTGCAATAGTGAAAAGTAATCAGCTACTACAAACTGGAATGGATTACTTCCAGAAAGCATTGACATTCCAACAAAACCTTGTTTCGCTGGTCGAAAACCCGAACAATGTTCAGGATGGTGCCATTAAAGAATTGCTATCCTCATGCTTGCTTCAGATGGGATACTTTGTGGTCAATGTCGGCAGAGTGATGCCACTCCTATCACTAGACCGTAGCCAAATTGATCTCATAACTCTCCTGGGTGCTCATAGATTCATAATAGAGAAATACTTGCCAAAAGTGGCCAATTCCAAAATTCCGTTACTATTTCCTTCTGATTCAGTCTTGCCTAGTGATTTTGACGAGAGATATTATCTCTCTGATTCATTGCGCAGAGATCTAAATGATGTTTACGGCGAATCCAATCCCGAAGTTAAAGCAGTTCTAGAAGGAGCCATCGTTGTTATTGAAAGAGCGATATATCGAACGATGCAACATGGATTACCGTACCCACTTATTGCCATGATCGTTCAACTCAGCAACAACGAGTTTAGATCCTACTTGTATCAAGCTAACGAGTTTGCATTAAGAATACTATTCGTTTGTGCGGTTTTGTGTGCCATGTCTAAATTCTGTACACGAAGGTTCGATAATATTTACTATGACTACGTGGCATGGTACAAAGAACGGCAGTTCACTAACAGAAACCAATTTGAATACCTACTAGATGATAAATTGTACTTTTTAGCCCTGCAGACTGACTTTGAACCTGAGTTCAGCAGTATTGGAGAGTTCAATCCAATCGAGATTGCAAAAGGTTATGAGTCGTCTGAATAGTTGTGTAATCTTGTGCCCTAGCGAGCATGGAAATCAGTAGACCAGAATAAATAAACAATGCATTTTTCATTAAATACAAAACAACAAAAACAAATAACTAAATAAAATGAAAACCTGCAAAGACACAACTACTTACTCCACATCAAACGCTGCCACCAGGACAACGTCTCTTGTTGACCGTCTTTCTCTGTCTTACCAGAATCATCAGGAATAACAACTCCAGCAACATTCTCTTTACCAAATACCGTTGGTGTTTTCACTGTGGTAGGTTGGGCTACTGAGAACGGACCCACAGCCGCTTGTCCCTTTCTCTCTTCCTCCGCCTTCTTTTCGTATTCTGCAATAGCTTTACTGAACTGGTCTGTCTCATCAACCCAGAGGTTAACACCAATCACTGTCAACAATACCAAACCACTGGTAGCCAAAAGTGATCTCACTACACGGAATGCTTTTCCAGCACCATCATCGTTGTTGACCAACACCAAGTACTTCTTATCCCCTTCGACTCTGCTACCAATAACCTTCCAGTTACGCGATTGCATGTCTTTGACGGCCTCACTGGCTTGTGCAAGCTCCTCCTTAGTAAACTTGTTCAATGCCTTGAAAATATCCTCCTTGGGCAACGCACCCAACGCTTGTTCACTAATAGGCATGACTTCACCGTCAAGTGTCAAAATGCAGTACTTTGACTCGATTCTCTTAGCACGCTTGGAATTGGCCTCTGCCCTCTTGCTCCACTCAAATGCCTCTCTCTCGCGGAGTTTACTTTCCTCTTGTTTCTTGGCCTCTTGCAAATACTTCTCCAACTTAGACTTGTCCACCTCGTGTGACGTGTCACTCAAATGCTTCACTGGTTTCATAATCTTTGGTTTTGCTTCATCTTTGGCGTCGGCACTACGAGAAGCAACAACAGGCTTGGGCAGAGTTTCAAATGCAGAATGCACTGCCAGTCTGACAGCCTCAAAATCGGCACTGCTGCTCTGATTATCCAAGTCAGATATTAACCTCTCAGAGTCATTGTACTGGATCTTGGCTCCACCAAAATCACCAATGTCAAACTTGCTTTCGACAGATGTTGTGTCTTGCACAACCTTCTCCTCGTTGGTAGCAATCTCACGCAAGCTTCTCACCAAGTCTTCATAGAACGTCTCCAACTCGTACGACGTCATTGGCAAATCACCAAAACTGTTGGTGCCATACACACACACCAAGAATGCTGGGTAGAATTCGATCTTGGAGTTGTACGTCTTCAACTGGTCCAATACACTCTTGACAAACAAATAGGAAGACGCAGATTCATCCAAGGACCGCCCATACCGATCAACCATCTCGTTGAACTCTTCTGCTGAAACATTATGGACATCTTTTCTAAACAACAATTCAGAGAACCTCAAGAAGTCCCCCAAAACTTCAAATTCATTTCCTGTCAATAATGTTTCCTGTTTCGCAATAGCACTCTCTGGTTTCTGTTCAGCAACAACTCGTCCATTCTTCTTTAACGATTCAAATGAATCAAACACCAGCTGGCTATTGAGAACAACATCCAACACTTCCGTGTTGTTGCCATTTATGCCAAACAACCGGTTCAATTTTCTTTTCAATCTTAGGAAGTTGAATACGTCTGATGTGTTTGATGCAAGCAAGCTGGAACGTGTGCCACTGGCAGTAAACGAATTTTCAATTTCGGTGTCCAAAACATTAAGAATCTCTTCAGCACTGACTTGCTTGAAAGGTCTTCCCAAAATGCCCTTGAGAATAGCCAACTCTGCGGAAAACTCGTGTATCTTGAGATCGTCTGGAATCTGGACATATGGTTGTGCTTCTGTGTCGACCGTATCTGGTTGGACGACAAGATTCTCTTGTTCTGAAACTGTATCACTGGGAGCCGTGGCAGTGTCAGTGGCGGCAGATTTTCTTGCAAGTTCTTGTTCAAATCTACTGAATGCACTATGGTTGAGTAAAACCGTCTCCAATATTTTGAAACATTCATTGCTGTTGTTCTGTGCAAATTCTTTTAATTTGCTTCTCAACTTCAAGAAACTCTCAATGTCGACATCCGGGAAGTACTCTTCATATTCAAGCATACTCTTCAGTAAGTTATCAAGAGAACTCAACACGTAGCTCTTATCACTAAAATCACCCAACTCCTCCTTCAAGAATCTGATTTCATAAACGTGGTTCTCCAATTCGAGCCAATCGGGAATTTGTTTGTAGAATGAGTTATTCTTGATCTTTGGTGTGATGTGTCGCTTGGAGTCATTGTAGCGAACAATGAGTTCATCCAACGCAACTAAATTGTCACCAAAATAGCGGGAAGCTTCAACAATATTTGAACACACCTGATCGTAGTCTGAACTCAATTCCTTGATTGACAGAACCAACTCAGATGCACTGTTAAACGACTCAAACAGTTCGCCTAGCTCGTCTCTAATTTGTTGCAACACAGGTGCATCCTCAAATGCAGCGGTATCAGTAGGAACACTTGGATAGTTACAGAACCTCTTATACTCTCTCTCCAACACAGGGTCACTGAAGATTTTCTCTGTTAATTCTGGAGTTTGAACAAGTAGATCAAAAAATGTCAAATCACACTGTTTGGAGCTAGGGGTTGGTCCCATGGTAATTTGGTTTTTGGTATCTTCCCAGCTTCTGTTACTAGTCAACATAAAATTCAAGACAAAATTGGTGAGCTTGTCATCAGAAATGTTGTACTTAGGGTTAAACTCGAATTCATTAATGTAAGCTCCTAAATGTACTGGATTAAGAACTTCTTGTTCAGTCAAGGTACGCAAAAGTTCAGAAGCAGCGTTCCCATAAATAGAATTTTCCTTTGATAATTTATACAATTTAGGCGCAAGTTCATAGTAATTATTGGATTCAGGAACAGCACCCATATCAATCAAAAAGTTGTACAAGAAGCAATTTGTCTGAAAACGCAGCTGAGACTTCCAATCAACTTCACCAGTTAACTCATACCAATATTCTTCAACTTGAGATACGTTGTTATCAAACGATAGATCTTGTATTATCTTTTTAATATCATTCAAATTATAACCTTTCAATGACTTTAACTTCTCATTCAAAGCTTTGTAACGTATACATTGAATCAAAATTTTAAAAAATGTTTCGTTAATCTCAGCATTAGAAGACAAAAATTCCTCAAAGCGACCCATTGTTCTTTCAATTTGTTCCGTCAATTCCTTGATTGATGGAAATTTCTCAAAATCAAATTCTTTGTCCAAAGACTCCAATTCCTTCTCAAACATATATAAACCATTTGCAAAGAATATCTTTACTTTCTCAAAATATTCTACCATTGGAATCAATTGTTTTGCTAATCTCTGAGGAAAATCCGGAATGTCACTCAAAAAGTTAATGAATTCATTTTCCATGTCACGGTAATTGTGAACCTTCTCTTTATTCACTTCTTTATATTTTGCATAAAAATCTTGAAACTGACACATATCATTGATAACCTCAGATGCACTTAAATAATCTAAACTTATATTCTTATTGTTGTATTTCCTCTGAATAAATTCTTGAAAATCCTTCAATTCTGGATAAAAATTAAATGTAAAGGTAAGCAGATCATAAATTGATTCATTGTGGATTGCATTAATATTAGCGTCAAATCTTTGCCTATATTCGCCGTAAAGAACATCATCAAGTCTAATACAGTCCAGATTAGGATCAACTAATTCTATAGTTGGAAATAGCTTTTTGAAATCATTGGCCATCTTCAAAAATTCTTTCTTGTCATTATTATCATCTCTGTGAACTGGGGTCTTCTTCATGGTGACAAAATCGATATCATATCTTTCCAGATTTGAAGTAGCCATTGGTCTCCCCAAGTGGACATTATTCTGACTTGATAATCCCACGAATGTAGCAGCATAGTAGACCAAAGGTATCTGCGGTTTATATCTCATAAACCTGGTTGTTTTTTTAATTATATGTCTCAGAAGCATTGTCCTTTATCAACTGTTGGTAAAAAAGAGAGAGAATCAATAGTAAGGGGGAAGATAAGAAAATTGAGGAGTTCAAATATTATCTTTTGTTGCTTTGTACGTGCGTCTGAATTTTTTATCGTGCATTTGGTTGTTTCACAGAATTACACAAACATTCTTAATCAAGTACAATTTACCGCATTCCGCCCCTTCCCTTTCATGATTGTTTGTACAGGGATATGGGGTATGTAATATTTTTTTTTTTTTAAAATCTAAATATCATATTTTCTACGAATGACTCTTCAGAGTTAGTCCGTTAATTGAGCTCAGATACTTTGAGCGGTTTCTACATTAAATGCAAATTTCTACTATCACAGCCTATTCAGAACTAGCTTCTTTTAATTTCTTCAACCTAATCATTTCTTCGTTGTGTTTTCGTTTCTTGATTCCTTCTTCATTCTTTCTATGACGTCGACTTTGGATATGTACATTCCAGCTATGGTCACCAACAGCTACTAGTGGTTTGCCTTGCTTGTCTTTACATATTTCACAAGTGTAATGTTTCCAGTTTTCTTGTGACTCCAAGACTCTGTTACTTTGATTTGTACTTTTCTTAGTGAAAAATTCATGCAATTCTGGAGGAGCTTGTGGTAAAGTTACACCATTGGCACCATTTGATAAAAACTCTTTAGCGATTTGAATTCCAATATCATCAACATTTTGATGCCATACATTCAAGTCAGTTGCATTCAAAATATACAATTTCCCACCATTGACATAATCAAATGCCGACTCCTTATCTAGTTCTGTGATCAATGACTTTTTAATCCATTTTACTTGATATTTAGCGTACTGTCTAGTTCTAATTTTCATTCTCTCAATACCTTCTTTGAATTGTTTTTCATCAACTTGGTTGTTTTCTAGCCATGGAAGAAACTCTTTAAATCCAATGACTTGCCATATGCCTGATGTACACGACGATTCATCTTTCTTGTTATCTTTATAAAAATCATACATCTCTTTAATTTCATCAATTGCTCCTTGTGCCATCATTTTATCAACTCTAACATCCAATCTCTCGTTTAAAACATCAGGATCACAATAAACCCAGAAGAATAAAGTATTATATTTTAAAGAACTTGATTCTAATTCATCTAATTTCTGTTCATGGTAGATCTCAGATGGTTTCTCTCCTCTAGTATAATAGATCTCCAATGCTCTTCTCAATTTTCTATGATCTTGGGGATGAAATTTCTTTGCAACAATAGGATCAACTTCTTCCAAAGTTTTAAACAAAACATCCACTGGTCCATCTAAAATATCCAATTGTTCTTTGGTCAATTCTTTTAAAGTTTTATTTGAATCATCTAATGTTTTATTGTTAAATAATAAAGTTTGCAAATAATAATGAGTTCCACCAATTACAATTGGTACTTTTCCTCGATTATGAATATCATCAATTGATTTTTGAGCATCTTGACTAAACTTATGAATATGATAATCTTCATCCCATGAAACATAATCCATTATATAATGAGGTATTCCACTACGTTCTTCTAAAGGATGTTTATTTGTGATTTGATCAAGCTTTTTGTAAATTTGCATAGAATCTGCATTTATGATCTCTCCGTTAATAGCTTTCGCTAAATCTATGCTGAATTGGGATTTTCCAACCCCTGTTGTACCAACAATGCTTATTATTGGTTTTGACGTCATTCTTCTTAGCATATGTGTCGAAGCAATTGATGATGTGATGTATATCTGATGGATTTTATTTTTTTTTTTTTTCACGTTAACTACGCGCGGTATAAATTCAATATATCTAAATTTCTATATATTTGAAGTCAATGAGGTATATATACTAAATTAACCTAACCAAATTTAATATCGGAATTAGGATTCCATATTCCTGGTTTACTTGTTCTTGGAGAAATCAAATTTGAATCAGAATCATTACTATGACTAACTGGAATATCTATCAGCTGACGTTGTTCATTGGTGACTTTTGCAGCTTGAAATGAATTATTAATTGCCAACTCCAAATCTCTACTTTCAATTCGTCTTTTGTATAAGTACTCTTCACATTCTCGTAATACGTTTGTACCCTTTTCTATAAAATCAGAATAGAATTTAGATCCTTCATTTAAATTGACAATAATCTGCAAGAATTTTTCGTATCCATCCTCTAGAATTTGCAACTTTGATTGCCTTTTCTCTTGTGATGCATTCTTAACTTTGTTGAATTCATGGATAAATTTATTGTTGGCAATATCTATCTTTTGTTCCAAATTTACCTGGAAGTCTCTAGTCTCAGAAATATAATGCAAATCAGAGTCAAATAACTTTAAATGTCTTTCATACACTGGTTCAAAACAATTTGGTTTGAAATCCCCTTGATCACTGTACACTTCTGATCTGTGAGTGTTATACTCTTGTACCAACTTTGACAAGATGTTATTATCTCGACTCTTTATTTCCAAATTGTGGATAAAATCTTTTCTTTCGGACTCCACGGTACTCACTTGACTTAAATGAGCACGCAATTCATTGATCACACTGGATAAACTTTCTGGTAATGCAATATACTGTGAATTTGGAATATGTCTTGATAAAGAATCGAAACCACCCGAGTACACTTCCAAAATTGGTTTTATTTCAACATATTTTTGATAAACAATCTCATCACCGTTTTTGGCTTGTTCAAGATATTGCCTCATTTTTTCTGTTTTGGTAATGAGTTCACTTGCTGCTTCATCAGTAGAAGCTCTGTTCCATCTTGCTGTTCCTTGTCTATCTCTTAACATTTGATCTTCATTTCTGTCCAAATTTATTCTTGTTCTACACTCTTGCAATAAATGATTACATTCAAAGTTTAAATTCTGAATTTCCTTAAAAGACTTTTCAATAAACAGTAAGCCACCGTTTTTCAAGATTTCTTGCGAATGTTGAATTATAGAATCAGGGATATTTTCTGGTTGTTGTATTGAATCAATGGAGGCAGGCAAACCACGTTCATTTAAAAATTTAGTTAACATATTATCCAAACCTTGAATTGGTTCATGAAATTTTGTTCTAATAAAATCATCTTGTCTTTCTCTCATTGCTTGTGCAACATTGATAATGATGTAAGGTAAAAGCTCATTGAATACTGGATGATCAGATGGTGTAGTAATCAATTTCTCTGATTCAAGTGGCTTTACCATGGACACACCCACGATTGGTTTTAATTCATTTTGATTTGGCACAATCTTCAAATATATCAAGTCATTATCCTTTTCAGCTGTTCGCAAACGGGTTTTAATAACTTCAGTTAGACCCAGTAAATCTTCCATAACTAATGAATTCACATACTTTTTACTCTTCAAAGCTTGATCCACAGCCAGTTCTGCAGCTCGTAAATGCGCGACTTGTTCACCATATTGAGCAGCATCTGCAGCAATGGTACTGCTTCTAAAATGAGCCGCCGCTAAGAAATGAAACCTTTTAACTTTCATATGATTTATCCATTCCAATTTAATCAAATCAGATGAGTTTCCATAAACCAATGCTTGCGAGTAGAATTCCGAAGTTTGATACGACAATCTAGATATTACAGAATCCTTCATAGTTGCATTGTTTATCGCCTTTTGCCATATCGTTTTCTTGTGCTTGAGCCAACATAAGGAATTTCAAACATTGAATGGTTTCCATTTGAAAACTTTTAGGTATTTGTAAAATCACAGGATTCTTATCTGCTTCAAGTTCATTTTTCAAATGGCTAATGATGAATTCAAAACAACCCGATGACAACTGATAGTATTGACATGCCTTCTTCAAACCCAAATCTGTATATCTCAGTTCTAAAATAGCTAGTTGTGAATATAAACAAGCTAATTGGAATACAGTGTTTAGTTTTTCAATTTTAAAAGATCGATATGGGAAAGGACCCTTTGGACCATAGCCCAATGTATCATACCACGCAAACTCAATGCAATCATCTGGGAACTTAGACTGAATAGGTTTGATGACGTCATAATATTCAAATAATACTGATTCATAGTCTGAGTTGTATTCTTGTTGCTCAACAATATCTTTGATGTTGGTAATTTTGTTTCGTAACTTTGTCAAACGAACCAAATCTGCTTCAAATACTGATGGTGGTTGAAAATAATTCTTGGTTATAACCTCACTCAATTCATGGCCCAAATCAATAGGACGAGATTGTTTCAATGGTATAAAAAGAAGATTTGAATTCATGATGAATCATTAATGGTTTATCAATTCAGTTCTGCTGGTTTGTGGCAATGTGTCCAGTAAATCGCACGCCGAACGATAAATAATTGATGTCGTTCTTTACAGATTCTTTTTTTTTTTAATTTTTTCTTGTCTTTGTTTCTGAGACAAGTTACTGCGATTTAACATACGAAAATCGACTTGATGGGACGTAAACTTTTACTACACCACTATGTACTTGTACTTGAACTTGAAAGCCCAGTCATTCGTTTATCCAATTCAGCTATTTTATTAACAATATTTTGCATCTCTTTGTCAATTGCATGGTTTTCAATCTCTGATTTCTTCATTTCAATAGTCAATTCCAAATCAACATCTCTTAATTCTTTCACCAACGATTGGAATTCTTGTATCTTTTGTTGTCGTTGATCTTCATAATTAGATGGAAAAATCATTTGACTTGACAAGACTTCATTTCTCTTGTGAAGCGTATGCAACGTTTGGATAGCAGATTCTGCTACTTCAAAATTTTTCGGTAGTTCATAGGCACTATTAGATCCTCCAACTTTTCTATCAATGTTCTTTAATTCTAGGTCAATCTCCTTGATTACTTTATTGTACAATTCTGGATCTAGTTGTTTTACAATTGGAGCATCGAACATATCATCCTCATATTTCTTATAATCAGATTTGATTAACTTGTAACATTCTTCGACAACACCCTTCTCTATGGTACCCATCAAGTCTATTTCATCAAGCTTTCTCAAATTTGCAGGGTTTGGTATTGGCAATGATCTTTGAACAACCTCTGATTTATACAACTCCAGGCCCTGGTCATAGATATTTTGAATACTGTCTGTTTCTTCAGTTCTCTCATGGCTGATGTCATTCGTTACATCACTTGCAAATGTTGGCAATACCTTTCCTCGTTGGTGTTTTGGAGCTGGCAATTTTTCAAATAAAGACTTCACTAATTTAGCAATTTCGGGACGGCTCTTTTTTTGTTCTTTTGGCAAATCCGAAATCGATAAATTTAATTTTCTGCGTTTAGTACTATCTTGTTGATCTACCAATTCCTCTTCTGCTTCAATAACTCTCTTATTGCTGGTGAATTTCTTTTCCCGTTCCTTTCTTCGTTTAGACTCTTCTTTGGCTATTCTGTCGTCTATCTCTTTCATGCTGATTCCCTTAGTTGAAACTTCTCGAGTAAACTTATATTGCTCCAATTGATTATCTCGCGTCTCATCAGTAATATCATAAGGACCTTCAATTGGTTTAATTTCCTGATATATATCAGCATTATAATCAAATTCTTTTCTTTTCTTTTTATTCCTGGTAGTCAACTTTACATTAATACCTGCGGCTTTCATTTCTCTTCTTTTCTGTAATAATGCTATACGTTTACTCTCCTCTAACATTCTTTCACGAGCTTTTCTTTTTGCCTTCTTACCTTGGATATTACCCAATCTTGCTTTAGCTTCAGCCAACATTTCACGTTCCTCATCTGGCAACTCTTCATCATCCGGCATCGCGGGCTTACTTTCTGGATTGAAATTAATTTCCCCTGCTTTGATAGGTCCACTAGACCCGCCAACTGCTGGTAATGTTTCAATACCAGGTCCAGATAACCCTAAATTCTCTTCGTCATCTTTCCGCTGATATCCCGAAACATCATCTATCAATTTCTGGTATCTTTCAACACATTGCACTGCAGTTCTATTCATTGCATTGGATATACTTCTCCATTGGTTAGGGAATATCTTATGTAAGCTTAACAATTTTTCATCTTCTTCTTGTGTCCAATCAGTTTTGTTGATGGTTGGTGATAAATATTCAACCCATCTTGCCTTAACTTGTTTGGCTGATTTCTTAGGTAGTAAGGATGCTATACGCTCCCATTGATAAAGACCATATTTCAGCACAGCTGCTTTCAAGATCTCATCTTCAACATTGGTCCAAACACCTCCTTTCACGTATAATGGTGGTGCCATTGTTGCTGTAATATCGCAATATCTGTACAAACTATGCAATGATTTATTCTTGATATTTTTCTGTGCTGCCGTACAAGAGATTATCGCGGAAAGGTCAAAAAAATAAAATGGAATACGTGTACGGCACAAATTCTCGATGCTGTCAGCGCACAATTCATATAGGGTTCGAGTATTCCTTACCCTTGAAACAAGTGTATCTCGATAATATTAATGTTGCTAGTTTATCTCACATGTAGAATGAAATATTGTTAGTAGCTGTATGACACATAAAAATTTGACATTTCAACATCATAACCTGGTCATATCATAGCAAGTGTTTAACCAGAGAGAAGAAGTCGTATCATTTGTATACTCTTGTTGCATGTGCTATAAACGCAATTTGTACATTTCAATGATAGTGGGTTCATCTAAAATTGACGGTAGATGGTCACCATCTTGAATGTAATTAAACAAGTAGATACTCCAGGTAAAGGTGACTACATATTGGAATCGTTAAATGTAACTTTGCCTAAACTACTGTATTCATTGATCATGGAAAATAGAGTTAATAAAGATCGGCGTTTTGCGACATTTGATGGCTGTAAGATTTTTGAGCTCATTTTTTTTTTTTTCGTGTTTTCTTTTTGGTTAACATCTGGTGCAAGTTGTCCCTCACGAGAATATTTCTTAATTAAGTTAAAAGTTTTTCTCTCTATGATTATGATTATTTCATTGTCTTGCGATTTTCGAACATTCTCCACATTAAGTAAATCTTGTTAGTCGAGGATGGTAAAGAGGTTACTCAATGCATTACACACAAGAAAAGAAATCAGCATGAATCACAATCAATCAAAGTGTTGGTCCATACTGTTTTTTTATTTTCACAGGGGAATGTAGCGTGGTATCCGTGGTAGAGTTTTTCTTTTTTTTTCCATGGCTGCCAATATTATCTCTACAAATCTTGTCGACACTTACTTGATTCAGCAAGTGTGTCGATCTATTAAATCCTTCGGCTGTACTTTTAAGTAGATTAAATAACACTAATTGATGATTTACAGTATGTGGGACGGTGAATTGACAACAGTTAGTCCCACTATAATTTGTCTTTATACGTTTGATCCTCTGATGTAAGATTCACGCTCTTTCTAAATTTTTTTCTTTTCTCTATTAATTTTTTTTTTCTTTCTTTCCTCCTTGTGTTTAATCCAAATAAACAACGAAAAGAAAAAAAAGGGGAATAAAGGAAAATTCACAGTCATAAACTTACAACTATTTCAACAAATCAATGGAAAACATTTTACACAATCTTTAAGTTTTTAATTTTTTTTTTATTTATCATTATTCTTTCTTCTTTTCATTTTATCATAAATTTCCCCTTCTAATTTTAGTTCATTATAGAGATCACGTTGGAATAGTCGATTATATATATATACATATTTTGCTAATCAACTTGCTATTCTTTTTTTTAAAAAAAAAACACGTATCCAATCCAAAATACCCAACATTTCACAGATCTAAATGAATTTATTTCAGCACAAGCATCAGAAATTGATCTTACAGTGCTATCCTGCGGGAAAGGCTACTGACAAGAAACCAAACTCATCCGAGTTGAGTTATTTATTATACTATGCATCCACTAGACGAGTCAAATTAGAAAAAGTCATCAACTTTATCAGAGATAAAACCCAACATGATGTCCATAGAAACCGTACTGGGAATTTACAGGTCACATTAGCTATTGTTCAAGAATTAATTCAAAAGTGTAATGATAACTTAAATGTTTTTGCACTTCAAGTGTGTCAAATTTTGCAGATTATCATTAATACCAAGGAACTCGCTTTATGTAAAAGCGTGGTTAAAACCTTTAGCATCCTTTGTGATAATTTAGATGGTGGTTTGTTTACTGGTGATAAAGAATTTGTCAAGATATTCACGGACGTTTTCCTGATTTTGGCTGGCATTGGAAAAGATAGATCTGGTGTATCTCAATATGACTGGCAAATGATTTCTTTGATGTCCATCAACTATATCTCTAAATGTTTGAGTTACAACCAGACTTGTGGGAAAAAATTCATTGCTTTATCCATCCCAACTTTGATTCAAACAATCGCTACTAACAACTCACAAACTGTTCTTGAGAAGAAAATAAGATCCAATCTTCATGAAGAAGATAATGGTAAGAGATTGTCGCGAGTTCAGCTGCAAAAATCGCAAAGGGTGATAGCACAACAAATTGATGACAATTTTCTTAATGATACATTAACTTTGGTAGATGTCAATGAAGAGGCATTTTCATCCTTGAAGTCATTTTTCAATACTAATACTGCCAGTCAAATATCTGAAGTCACACGTGCAGTTGTACAACATAATATGGTCAATGGAACTGATTTGGAGTGGGGTGTTTTGCTCTTGGAATTGTGTATTACATGGATTCCGGTTCAATTACGTTTTGTCAGTTTATCTACATTGTTGGCTACTTTGGGAAGAATCAATATTGAAGGAAATTCCAAATCTAATTACAACCTGCAATTCCAGTATGCTCGTTATTTATTAGGTTTACTTTCATCTAAAGTCAATATGATTGGTTTGTCTGTATCTGATATTATTCAGCAATTATTAACTTTGCAAACTGATTTGATCTTGAAAACCAGTGATTTAGACAAAAGTGATATTTCAATTTTAACCGATATTTATTCGGATTGTATCTGCAGTTTGACAACACACATTTACTACTACGATCAAGTTCCAGATTCCATCCAAGAAATTTTATTGAAAATGGACTTTGTTTTAGATAGCAGCTTTGTTGACGATACCAATCCCACCATTACAGGTGAACAAATTCATGATGTAATTATCCAATTGTTAGATAACATCTCGAAGATTTTCCTTATTTTAAAAAATAAGACAAGCTCCATTAATCGTAACCATGTTAATTTAGAACATTGGGATATCAGTTTAGGATTGTTGGCTCCTGAGAGTGAATCGGATTTACATGCTAAAACTATTTTGACTACTCATCAACTTATCAGTATTCAAGCTAAATATTTAAAAGTTTTTGATGAGTTTTTGGCAAACGAATTAGTAGTTGGAAAATCTAAACAAAGTTATGATCCAGCATATAGGCAACCACGTTTGGACCCAGGAAGTCTGAACAACGATATTTTACATCATGACAAAGATAGTCAAGAAAAGGGTCATGATTATAGGCAACCAGATGCTAACCAATACATTACCCAGCAACAAAATTTTATTTCCCACTTTCTCATGTACATTGATAAATTCTTTGAAAGCTACGATTCTCCAAACACAGAATTGGTATTGCTTTTGGTTGCAGTGCTGAAACATATGATTAGCATTTTGGGTTTAAACTTTGTGTCCAATTTCATTCCATTTTTCCATCATTGGGTCATGAAGGTGAACAAATCTACTACATTCACACAAAGACAAAAATTCAAAGACACTATTGCCCATATTATCTTGTATTACATTTTGAAAGGATTAGATGAACAATACAGTCATGACTTGCAGAATTATTGTAAGAATTCAAAGTTGTTTAAGCAAATATTAGACGCTGTGGAATATAGAAAATTACATAAATATTGGGTCCATGGTATTGATTCCTCCCCATCTGATTTGGAAAGTACCAAGAGCAACAGAGTTCTTCCAACTGACGTAAATGGTAACCAAATTCCAATTAGGATAAGACCAGAAAATATCGAAGAGTTTGCATGTGGTAACAACTTTTTGATTGTTTGGTTACACCCACAAAAACCATTGCTTACGGAAATTGAGAAATCGCAAATAAGCACTCACATGAGTACATTCAACAATGATTCAAGAAACACCAACAACACTTTTATGGTTGACCAAGGGTCACTGTTTGGATCCGGACCCGGTATGACTGCTAATACGACTGCAAGTGCTGCAGCAGCTGCTTTGGCTCATTCAAGTTCCATAGCAGAAGAAGCTGGTGGACATTTCATACCACCAGCAGATTTCGTTCAACGTTCAGGTTTATCTTCGGATGCCGCCTCATCGAACTCAGAAGCTGGTTTTATACATTGGTTTAGGTTTAGGAACTGCGGGTGATATCACTATGATTCATTCTGAGATTCTTCAATACAGTCAGCATTTCCAAGAAAGAGGATTACCGCATGCAAATGGGCTTACAACCATTTTGAGAACTGTGGATAGTGTTGACTCCACCAATAATGGTTCCATTTATACATATGATAGCAAATACTTTCAATCACCAAGAGTTACAGATTTGAAAGATGCTATGTCGACTCATAGAGGTATAAGGTTAGCAAAACCAAGTTTTGGTGGCTTAAATGGAAATAGTACACATAATGATAATGCTTCTACTACTGCTGGATCCATTCTAAACAGAAATATGACCACTACTGATGTTGATTCTATCTTGCATGGTTTGGAAAGTGAAGATGATGCTGCATTCGTCGTGTAAGGTTATATTTGATTAACTTGGTTTGTTTTCTCCATTTTTTTTTATTTTCAGAGAATTATAATTCATTCTATGTAGAGTAGTAGTTGATATTTATTAAATATATGTTGTGATTAAAACAAAAAGGAATACAATATCAAAACCAATTTGTAATTAAAGAACCAAAACATATTAAAATAATACACTTCTTTAAACAAGACAAAAATAGAAAAGAAAAAAAAAAAATCAAAAAGATATACAATCATACAGACAAATCAATGTCATTCTTTCCTATATTCAAGAATTATGTTGTTTAATTTTTAAAAATGAATATCAAGAAAAGACTTATTCATCATCATCTTCTTCGTCATCATCCAAAGCAGCAAAAGCATTAAAAGCTTTAGTTTGTTTATCTGAAATAATTTCTCTTGGATCAACAGCTTTAGAACTACCCAAATTTTTATTATTTGGTCTAGCTCTAACAGTACCACCATTATTTGAATTTTCTCTAAATTTATTTCTTTCTTCTATACCTTCACCTTCAGCAAAAGAAGTTTTCTTTGGTTTAGCTAAAGTTGCCCAACCATCTTCATCAACAAAAGCTTCTGATTTTTTTCTTAAATTTGGTCTAGCTGAACCAACAGAACCTTTAGATTGTCTTCTTCTATTCATATGATGATATGATCTTTCATGTCCATGTTCATCTATATAAGTATCACCATTATTCCATTTCTTTTGATGTTGATGATGTTGTTCAATAGATTCTTTAACTTCATCAATTAATTTATTGAAAGCTTCCAAAATTGGTGGGTTTGGAATATATGCTTCTGATTTCAATTCAATCAATTGTTCTTCAGTGTATTTAGCCATTGTTTAATACTAGTTGATTATGGGTCTGGTTGTATATGGTTTAGGATTTATATTTCAAAACTAAACTTTTTTTTTTGTATTGTATTGTCTTTGTTAAGAAAGAAAAAAAAAAAATTTTTTTTCTCCTACTTCGCTAAGTTTTCGGATTTTTGGACACGGCGCACACGACTTTAATGGAAATTGTTCCAGTTCAAGGAACATCAATAGTCAGATCATTGCTGGGAGTTAATGTAGGGCTTTGGATACAACAAGAAGGTACAGAGCTGTTGGATTTTAAGGTTGTTAATGTATCTAATATGTCTTGAATATTTTTTACTGTTTTTTTTTGCACACTTTTAATCTGGAAATATTACAAAATTGTTATTAAATTAGTAATAGTTTTGAAGCTACAATCCCATGCTCTTTCCTTGTCACTTATCATTCGCCAATAGACATAGATACAACGCTAAGAGGTTAATTCCTCTGTGCATTTGAAAAGTTAAAACGCGTCACGTGACTTTAATAATAATATGTTTAGGTCGCAATATTTTGGGAAATATTTAAAATTTCAACCTTTGTAAGGTACTACTTGAATCATATACAAACAGTGGTTACTATTTCATAACCTAGATTGTTTATAGTTCTAAGAATTAGTTAAAGCACTGTTCATGTTAAAATCAGTTGAGTATAAAATTGCAAAACAGGAACATAATCACGATATCATATATAGTTATGATACTGTTTTGTTTTTCTCTTTGGCATTGTTTCAAACTTGTTATAAGTAACAAACTTCATGTAAAAGTGAAAGGGTATTTAATTTGGCATGAAATCCCTAGGTTTGTATAAGTTCTTTATTTATTTGTAAATTTAGTCCAGTGGAAGACACATTGACTGTAAGTGTAAAACAAGTTCAATTTAGGAGAATGCTTTTGAGGAATATATTTCGAGGATCTAGTAAACCATTTAAGTTTCAAATATGGAGTCATCCAACATATTATATTGGTGAAATTCAGAGTAATTTTAATTGATATGGACTGTTTCTAATAAGGTCAATGACAACTTGTACTGAAGACAATTCCAGCATCGACCAGGAAGCAATGAAAAATGAAAAAGAGACTGGTCTGATAAATCCCGGAAAGACAAAAGTTAATAAAGATTTACTTGCAATTCTACCACATAGATCATTACATTATCATGTCAAAATACCAAGAGAAATAATTGATAAGGACTTCATTGACAAACTCATCTTGTTTGTAACATTTCCTAAGCATCCAACAACTGGTGTATCTACTTTGACAAAAACCCAAAGGGATATGTTGTCAATGCTGAAATTTGTTTTTAAGTACAATGGACTGTTGAAAGCTTTTGAAGAAGACCTAGCATGTCTGAAGACGAAGAATAAAAAAAAAAAATAAAATAAAAGAAGAATAAAAAGAAGAACAAGAGGAAATTTGACTTAGGAAGTTTAAGTGTAGAAGAATTTCAGATGGGATTCGATCAATATGGAATTCAACCACCAGAATTTGAGGAATTCGGAGAATTCTATGAATTTGAGGATATTTTGGATATTGAGGAATCAGATGAAAGTGAGATACATGCTTGGTGTGAACCACTTGGTGCCTTGAATGATATTCTTGAAAAGAACCCTAAACTTTTAAAAGGGATGTCTAAAAAATTAATTCCAAAAATGAGTTATTGTGATACATTATTGATATTTTTTGAAAACGGGTTTCATTTGTTTTTGGAAGAATTGAAATGGTTAGACAAGGACTATAACTTAAAAAATTTTCATTCAAGAAAGAAGTTTTATAAGAGGCTTGAAAAGAGGATGAGAAAATTGCATAAGTTTATGTCTACTGATATTGAAGTTGATGGCGAAGTTTTCACGAAGTTGATAACATTTGCTCGTTTTGCTTTTATAAAGGATACGATCAAAAGTTCCCACGATATCACTTTGAGAGATATTAGGATAATCTTAAAAGATCATCACTATTCGGCTTATGCTGAGATATTTAAGTCCAACTACAGTGATTATAAAGAAAACTCGTACTGGGATAACAGAATTTCGCTCAAAAATCTGAGATTCTTATACGAATTTTTACTTGAAATGGATTTGGTTCCGCGATTAGCTAGCTATTATGAACTTGCACCATTATTGTTCAAGTTATCAAAAGCAAACAATTTTGCTGCGAAAGCTTCTAAAGAATTTTTGAAACAGTTAACACTTTCAGAAATTGTTGATTCAAAGAATGTCACAAAATGCATAAATATGAATGATTCTTGTTCCAACTATCAAATCTGTGAGGATAAATTCACCAATTTTGTCTTGAACTTTATGTTGACTACTAACAGAAGCTGGGAAGATACCAAAAACCAAATTACCATGGGACCAAACCCTAGCTCCAAACAGTGTGATTTGACATTTTTTGATCTACTTGTTCGAACTCCAGAATTAACAGAGAAAATTTTCAGTGACCCTGCATTGGAGAGAGAGTATAACAGGTTCTGGAACTATCCAAGTGTTCCTACTGATACCGCTGCATTTGAGGATGCACCTGTGTTGCAACAAATTAGAGACGAGCTAGGTGAACTGTTTGAGTCGTTTAATAGTGCATCTGAGTTGGTTCTGTCAATCAAGGAATTGAGTTCAGACTACGATCAGGTGTGTTCAAATATTGTTGAAGCTTCCCGCTATTTTGGTGACAATTTAGTTGCGTTGGATGAACTCATTATTCGCTATCATGAAGTCAATAAACTGGAAAATGAAAGTATTATTAATACCGAATAAATAGTCAATAAAATATCGTTTATTTAGTTTGGTTATCTATTATGTAGTGGACATGTATTACTTCATTTCAACTTCTTGGGTTGGGAATTCTGTCATATCTTTGGAAATTCGTATAAATTTCATAACTGTAGTAGCACCAGTAGTTCCATTCCAATCTCTTACTCTTTCAACAGTTAATTTATCACTTATATCAGGAATTTTAAACCCAGTTTTATAAACATCTAAATCATGTTTTAATTTTTCTTCTAATAAATTTTGTCTATTTGTTGGAGGTCTACCTTTTCTTCTTTCAGATTTTAATTTTTCTAATTCTTCGTTATTTTGATTAATAAAATCTTCAATAATGGTTTTCATTTCATCAATTGAATATTCTTCTTTGGTGGAATCATCTTTAAGAATATTTTGAATGAAAAATACAATACTTAATTCATTTGATTTTCTTTCTAAAGATTCTAATTTTTTCAGTTGAATTTTTTTCTCCCTTAATGTTGCACGATTTAATTGCTTGAATTTACGTCCTTTAACATGGATGGCACCTGTTGATTTAGATACATTTTTCGTAACTTTACTAAGATTATGTGCTAATGGCATGGTGTGTAATATAAGTAGATATTAAGAAATGATATTGATAAGCGATGAGGTTTTAGAATTTTTTTTTTTTTTGTTTTTCGCTCTATAATTTTATTTTTTGTTCCCTTGAGATGGGATTTGATTTTGTACACATATTAAGGTAAGGCTGGATTTGAAGATAAACATTCAAAACGAAATTAAAGCACATAATCGGTGAGTGAATTAGAGACACCGTTTCAAAGTAGGCAGTTTCAAAGGGTTAACCGATCTATCTGCCGTGGGTATGCAAGTGTTTAAACCACAATGTTGTAGATGAGATCGAGTTGGTGATGCAGTTCTGAATCTAGATTTGTGATGAAATTCAAAACGATATATTCAAGATGAAACAGTTAAAATACAGTTCCTGAAATTAATCTTCAGGTTTGAACAACTACGACAACGTGAGATATTATCGTTATAATATTTGAAACACGCTATTCGGAAATGTAAGGAAGCAAAAGAAAAAAATAATAATATAAGGTAATAAATTATATTCCCCTCATAACCGCCTTATGGCTGGTAAATCTAGAAATAGCATTGAGCCATAATCCGTAGATGTTAGTCGAATCAGTGAAAAAAAAAAAAAAACAAAAAGAAAACGTTTTCCTCAGGTAGGAACGCAAATTGATGACAATAGTAAGATGATTAATATGCTATTAGTTTATGCGTAATGAAACGTTTTGTTCAAGAGGCTCATAAACTTTAATTTATATTGCCCAGTGAAACATTCTTGATGCAAATCAACATAAAAAAATTTAAAGGTGGAGGAAGTTAGTTTCCACTTTTTCCGATCGAATGTTCAAATAAAAGGTTGTAAAACCACATAATGTAAGGTGAATAAAAAAAAAAAGAAATAAACAGAAGGTTAAATTAAGCGCAAACCCTCGAAGTGGTAAATATAACTAGCCGATCTAATATCTGAATAACATTCTTCATCTCAATTGCAAAATGGTCAAATTTTCAACAACAACAAAAAAAACAAAGTTCCATTCCTGGTGTGTGTACCAATTTCCTTAATAACAAACCTGTGGTTACGGACTTGCATGAAGAATTTAGTAGGGACTAAAAAGAAAATTGTTTGTTTTCCTTTCGCTCCTAATGTAGAAAAAAAAAAGTGAAATGTTGGTCAATTATATCCGACACCTTCTACTACATCATCTTCTTCTACTTCTTCCATGCATAATAGTTTTTTTTAAAAAATATTATAGAAGATTCTTGTGGAATATTAACTGTAGTCTAAAACGAAATTAATGCAGATTGCACTGGCTATAACTTCATCGAAAATTTTTTTTTTTATTTTGTTTTTACTTGTCCTTCTCGATGATGAAGAAAAGCTAGCAATCAGAAGAAATTGATCTCCATAAATTAGTCATAAATAAAAGGTAACAAAAATTAACCACTGACAGCTACCCTTGTTGAACGGGACAACAGACACTAAACTGTGGTGGTTATCTCCTTCAACCGATTGCGTCATATACTAAGCCTGTCTAATTTTCTTCAAGGAGATTTAGACCTTAGAGATCTTAATTAACAACAACAAGCAATAACAAACAACCATCAAGTAAAACAACAAAAAATAAAAAAAAACCACGCTATATTTACATATAAGAATAAAGTTACGGTGTCCCCCACCGTGGCGGACAATTACGGCCGATTACCCTCAAGTCCAGTCCCCTATCATTGAGAAAGAGAGACAGGAAAAAAAAAGCACGCAATTCCTCTGTCGAAAGGCTTAAAAATATATGAAAAAAATTGCTGTGGGTTCATACGAAATGTGGTACAATAAATCAAAAAAGTGACTTTATTTTATTTCTGTTTTTTTTTGCTTTCCATGTGCCTGCCCTTCTTTTTATTCGTCTTGTTGTTTGTTTCATTTCTTCTTTCCCCCCTTTTCCCCCCATTTTCTATGCGATTTATCACCCAATACAATATACATTTATTGCCCTTGATACTATAAATTCGGAATTCTTGATTGATTCTACGTTGGTGTTATCTCCGTACTGCACACAAACTCACACACACATATACTAAAAATTTATAGGTGTGGTAGTTCACAAACCAAAAACAGGAGTAACTTAGTGAAATATACAAAAACTAAAAAAAGAATGACCACTTTAATCTAGTTACACAAAAACCCGTTCCCACCCAACAACGTCGTGTACAGTGGCAAAATAAACGGTTACGTTAAACAGGAAAGAAGAAAGAAAGAAAAAAAAAAAAGAAAGAAAAAAAAAAGAAACCAATGTTGATAAAAACTGCAAATACTTTAAACTAAAAAAACAAAAATTGAAAGAAAAAAAAAATTTATAATTTATATATTATTTCATTTTTATTCCCTTGATTCTTTGTTGTTTTTTTTTTTCAATTATTTATATATATATATTCTTGATCCTATTCATCTATTTTTATTTTGTTTATTATTTTATTATGACAAACAATCAACTTGATTCAGGTAATTCACCAATAATGACAACAGCTTCACCTCCACCATACATAGTATCTCCAAAAACATACTATGCCAAATCACGACATCCAAACTATTCATCACTAGACCAAACAATACAATCACAACCACAATCTCGAACAGCCACACCGTCAAGATCATCATCACCTGTCCCTCCCGTCGAAGAATTAGTATATGACTGTTTTTTACATTCAATAGGGAAATTACAAGACCCAAATAGAATCAAAATGACTCAAGCATTCACCGATTATGTTTCAAAAACCCACATCACAGAAAACTTGGATTTTCTAGTAAATTTACTCAAATACCAACATTGGTTAGAACAAATTCATGAAGCAAGCCAGCTTTACTATCACAAATTGGTCAACAGTTTAAGCGACTTAAATATATCCCACCAGATTTCTCAAGAGATTATTGCCTCTGAAGATAAGAGTCCTATGGTTTTTGCAAAAGCAAGAAAGCAAGTTATGCAACTTTTAATGGAAAATTGTACAGAATTCGGCTCATATGTAAGAAAGCAACTAAGAGAAGAATTACGTACTCCTCAAGATTCACCAAATTTATCTCCTATTTCACCACCATTCTCACCGACATTTTCCCCTACTGAACTCCGAAACAATCCCGTTGTACCATCCAATATACCGAGATCAAAGCCTAGGAATATAACCACAGTTTCCAATGGCACAAAAAGTGCACTCAACAGCAACCAAACCAGTGCAGAGGTGTCATCCAACTCATCATCTGTTTCATCCACAACATCATTCTTGGGTCAATTAAAAATTGGCAAAGAAGCAACAGCTACAACTTCAAGTTCATCTTCCTTAAAATTTTGGTCAAGGAAGAAGTAACCATGCTTGTAATATATTACTATTATTATTATTATTATTATTAGAGATTTTATAGACTTATTTTTTAATACATTTAATGAATCAATTGAATGTTTAAATTGATTTTTCGGGACGATAGTTACATGTAATCAAGTGTTTAGATTTGTTTTATCGATATACCTAATTACCAATGATTAACAACGGGAATCGCACGATACCATAATGCTTGTTGAGCCAATCATAGGTGACTAGCTATTGGTCGTGCATCAACCGTTTCCTAATGTTAAAATTCTAGAGATAAAGTGATTGCTTTCTCAAATACACACACACCGCCTCCTCTCCTATATATCACAAATAAGTTGCTTACAGAAACTAACTTATGATACTCTCTTGTTAGAAAAGTGCAAAAAATGAATATCGAGGTAGTATGATGTTTTATCTTGTAATTGCTGACAATAGAAACTCTATTAATAATAAGCTCACTTTAACCAGCATAACAAACATTAAACCAAAAATAGATATAGAGGAGGGAGGAAAGAGGGAGAATGGTTATGTAATAATTTCCCTTTGTTGTAATATTAAACTGGTTGGATGGATATTGCTTGTCGTTTCCCATTATGTCATTGCTTTTAACTTTAGCAATGAGGAATAGAAATTTAAGGAGCTGGCTCTATCATAGTGTAAATATGAAACTTAGTTGGGTTTCCACAATCGCCTAAACTTGTAGCAACCCGCATTATTTCCAAAATATGCCGAAAACGAAATTCTCCACAAAAAGCACATCTCCCATCTATCAGTAGCTAGGTTAACTGTGCATTCTGCTATAACTACATCATACTTTGTTGTATCAGGTGCTTAGTTATCGTCTCATTTCACCTTACCATCACAACCTTAACCACGCTTAAAATAAGAAATCAAATAAAAGAATAAAAAAAGAAAAAGGAAAACTTTCTAACCGGTTATATCCACAAAAACATAAAATTACCTCAATTAAGATCCCCCCCTATCAATTTCTTTCCTTTCCCTTTGTTCTCTCCCTTGACTATCCCCAGGTTTCATTTCTCTTTTTTTTGATAGTCATATTTCGATTATTATTAATTCTTTTTTTTTTTTATTACTTTCTTTTTTTTTTGGTTATCTATATTTTTTTTTTTGGTTGGTGATAACTATGACAACACAAAGACAAGTCTCAAACGAACCCAATCAGGGCAGGAAAACTAAAATGGCTACAAGTCATAATAGAAATATGAATAATGATACAAATGATAGTCAATCCACACCACCACCATCACCACCACCATCATGTCAAAATCCCTCTACAACGTTTGTTCCACAGAATGAACAACATGCAACAGCTGTGTCGTCTTCATCTTCATCGTCATCGTCAAATCCACTACCTTGCGAGGAGATAAAGAGAAATACCCCGATGACAAATGAACCACACATTACCAATTTGAGAGTATCTGAAAGTGTTACTAGTGATACATTAACAGAGTCCCGGTCACAAGGTGTACAATTATCATATTATCGATCGTTATCGGCAACACCTCCGAATGTCTCCGTACAAAAACGACAAAAGTTAAACCGATTAGGAGAGTCCGGAAGTAATGCCGGATTTAATTCAAATTTCCAACTACCTAATGATATACTCAAGAATCTTACACCAGTGATGAAATCAACTCCAAGAGATAAACTAGCGCCTAATCAACGTAAACAAGAGTTGTTGCAAAAAATTAGACTAAAATTACTGGAGAAATCAAGCAGAATATCGAAGAAAATAATTGAACTACAAAGAAAACGACAACTAACCCAGAAGTACAAATCCAAAAAGTTGAATGACGAATTGGATCAAGCTAATATGAGAAGAAATCAGTATTTAAACATGGTGAGACAACGTGCAGCAAGATTTTATAAAGAAGTTCAAATTAGCGAAACAAGTAGTAAAAGTTTTACCTTGCAACCATCACCACCAGCCACAACAACAATAACAACAACCACAGCAGATAAAACTACAACTCATGTATGTTTACCACATGACTTTAATGAAGAGTTGATAAAACCAGTACAAAAATTGGCTGCCAGATTTCTATATTACAAGTATTTGAAAATAATTAGGAAATCCCAATTTCTTGATAACTTCCAAGCAATGTCATTCAATCAAATTCTACAATTTTCCAATAGTAATAGTGAAATAAGAACAGGAATTGCCTTTATTCTAAAATATCTCCAAGTTCCTCATTTAATGGGTCAAGAATACAAATCATTTTTTTATTGCTTTATTATGATTGTTGAATTTAATGATTGCATGAATTATGACAAACATAAAACTGCCTCTAGCAGCCATCACCATCACCACCACCATCACAATCACCATAAAACAAGTAGTCACAATAATTATCATCCAGGATTTAATGTCAACACTAGTGCTGAAGATGAAAAGGATATGTTTTATAATAATTGTATTTGGTTGATGGTTTATAAGTATGGAAATTACGTCATAAATGAGTTCAAGAAAACTGTCCAAATTACCAGTTTTCAAGTATCATCGAGTTTCCTAAAATATTGGCATGAATACAATTTTGTATTCAAGGTTTTCAAATGGAACCATTATAAGAATCTCAAGTGTTTACTAATGGATTCAATAAATATTGTAAATAAGCAAATCAAAGCTTTGAATCATTTGAATGACGATAGTGTGATTAATGATTTGGGAGATCAGCACAAGAAATTGAATGAAGAATTATTATTATTGAACCGATATCAATTGGAAGAATTGAAAACTTTTAATAGTAGTACTGAAGTTGAGTCATTTGTTAGCTCATTCAATTCCTATGTCAATGATGCTTATTTTGCAAGTCCAAGAATTTCACGGGAACCATATATCCAGAATAAACCCACATTTATTTGTTATAACAATATTAAATTTTATATTCCTAATGTTTTTCCCGTTATGAATTGGCGAAGGTATTGGTTTCATAAGTTTTTGCAACTTGAAATAAATAGAAATAATAATGACTATAAATTTCCCACTAGGATCAAAAGTGGTCATTTTTATAACTTACCAGAAGGGTATATCGGGGAACAAGAGGTTGATATCAATGAGATACAAAATATTGATTTCAAATCAATTCCTATCAAAGATACTTATACAAATTTACTAAACTATTTCTTGGATTTTACTGGATCCTACTACGAAATTAGAGAGGAAGAAATTATAGTGACGGATGAATCTGATTTGTCCTTTTTGAAAAGCATGCTGCATCTAGTACAAAGACACGAGTTGGTTAGCGGGTCTGTCAACTACAACAACATTTTACTTCAACTTATAGAGAAAAGCATTTCAGATTTGAATTCTCCGTTTTATAATGAATCAATTGGAGAATTAGGTAAATTCATATATAAATTGTACATTAAGAAATGCCAATTCACCAATACTGGTTTCAATCAATTCCGTAAATTTGAAAACTTGTTTATTTTATTGAATAACTGTCAAAATTTTTCCAATTTGAAATTTAATATTTATACATTTAATCCAAGCTTGATTTTCCCTCAATTTTATCAATCCGTTGTTGTTAAGAATCATGAATTAAATTTAAATCAAAGCAAGTCAATAATATCTTCGAGTCTCAAAACATCAATTGGTCGAGTAATCACTCCCAGTTACAGTTCGTCCAGCTGCAAATTTTATACTGATGTTCTTTTGGAAGAGATCATATCTGGGGACATCACCATTCACGAACTCAGTCTGGTTTATGTATCGGATCTTCAAGAATATCATAGAAAATTACATCAATTTGTTGATATTAATTGCTTGGGAGTTATGTATGAATATTTTCAAGGTGAAAAACTAGCCAATGTTCATTTATTTTACCAAAACTTGAATAATCATCACGAATATATCAACAATTTGCCATTCATAACATATTATAATAACAATAAAGATCGAATTAAAAATGTGCTACTTGATAAAGTAAAGACAATTTTGATTGATCGAGATGAAATTCAAGCTTGTAGTATATTTAAATATTATCAAGTTGAAATGATTGAATTAATGAATGAGATTTTAAATTATCTTGCATTTATTTATAAAGTATATAATCCTATTTTAAATTGGATTTATTTTGAATTAGGAAAAGAAGATGAACATTAATTTATGAACTTTTTTTTTATAGACCACTTTATATGTATATACAATTTTTGATCCAAGTAACGAACGTAGACTGACATTAAAGAAGAATATGATTGGTTTGATCTAAAAGTTGCAAATTCAACTCAGGAATAAATGAAATTCGCGTTCGTCCCAATTGGGAAATATCCGATCCCCCAATCTTTGAACCAACTCCACTTTCTATTGAGCTAATTATTATTTTTTTTTTTTTTTGGAATTCCCCCGTTTTCAGTCTACATTATATAAATGTGAATAGATACGCAACTATATGATTGATATGTAAATTTATTCCTTTTTCTTTACTTCAATAAATAATCCATATTATGGCACCAACAGCATCCACAACAACTAAAACCTCTTCTAAAGGATATAAATTTGGTGAAAGAGGAAGTCATCATATAGTTCTTGGAGGAGATGGCACCCATCCATATAGTTATCCAAAATTTACTACTAAACAAGAAGAACGTAAATTTATTCTTGAACATACTGCATGTACATTTCGAGTATTTGCATCACGAGGATATTCCGAAGGAGAAGCAGGACATTGTTCAGTAAGAGATCCAATTGATAAAGATACTTTTTGGATAAATCCATTAGGTTTACATTTTGCTTTAATTAGAGCTGAAGATTTAGTTCATGTTGACGAATCAGGTAATATATTACCTGATGGAAATCAAGCACCTATAAATGCTGCAGGTTTTGCTATTCATAGTTCATTGCATAAAGCAAGACCAGATGTAAATGCAGCTTGTCATACACATTCAATCTATGGTAGAGCTTATAGTTCATTTGGTAAACCTTTGGAAATGATTAATCAAGATGCCTGTATTTTTTATAATAACCAAGCAGTTTATAAAAATTTTGGTGGTGTTGCTTTAGAAAAAGATGAAGGTAAAGCAATTGCTGAAGCTGCTGGTGATGCAAGAGCAGTGATTTTACAAAATCATGGCTTATTAACTATGGGTAAAACTATTGATGAAGCAGCTTATTTGTTTACTTTAATGGAAAATACTTGTCATGCTCAATTGTTGGCTGATGCTGCTGAATCTAAAGATAAACCAATACAAATAATCCCTGATGATGAAGCTGAGTATAGTGCTTATGTTACTAATGATCCTGATACTTTATATGCTAGTTTTCAACCAGAGTATATGTTGCAAGAAAGATTAACCAAAGGTGACTTTAAATTCCAAGATTGATCTCCATCTGGTGATATTTTAGTCGTTGATCAAGATTGTGTATTTCATAATTGAAATGAATTTTTCTTTGATCGAATGTTATATGACTCATTATTTTGTACTACCGACACGCCCTGTGTCACGTGTAAGTTACTGATTTCACATCGCGGTTAACTCAAAAAAAAATTACTCTTTTTGAACGAAAGAAAAATTTTTTTTTTCCTTTCTTAATACATAAGATATAATCAATTACATTAATTTCCCCCTAATCTCAACAAATAAAAATTTGAAGAAAAAAAATTTTTTTCACTTTTCGTTTACTTTTTTTTTCACTTTTTTCTTTAAGTTATTATTCGTTTTTCTTTATTCCATTCTGTCTTTGATTTGTGGTCTTGAATATTTGTATTATTATCATGATTAGACAAGTCAATAAGAAAGCTCTTGCAAATAACCTTCTCAAGAGATTATCTGCCGTTGGTGCAGCCACAACTGCTGGTTTTAGTATCACTAAACATTCATATCCTACAAGTACTACTGCTGTTTCAAATCCAAGTTATTCAAGAAACATTCGTTTCTACTCCACTAAATCTACTGTTATCCAATTATTAAACAATATTGGTTCCAAACGTGAAGTTGAACAATACTTGAAGTACTTCACTTCTGTTTCTCAACAACAGTTTGCTGTCATTAAAGTTGGTGGTGCTATTATTACTCAACAATTGAATGAATTGGCTTCTTGTTTAGCTTTCTTATACCATGTTGGTTTATACCCAATTGTTTTACACGGTACTGGTCCACAAATCAACGAATTGTTGGAAAATGAAGGCGTTGAACCTGAATATATCGATGGGATTAGAATAACAAATCCAAAAACCATGGAAGTTGTCCGTAAATGTTTCTTGGAACAAAACTTGCGTTTGGTTACAGCATTAGAAAAAATTGGTGTTCATGCTCGTCCAATCACTGCGGGGGTTTTCGAGGCTGAATATTTAGATCAAGATAAATATCAATTAGTTGGTAAAATCACCAATGTTAACAAATCTCCTATTGAAGCTGCGATTAATAGTGGGTATTTGCCAATTTTGACTTCTTTGGCTGAAACTCCTCTGGGTCAATTATTAAATGTTAATGCTGATGTTGCTGCTGGTGAATTGGCTCGTCAATTTGAACCTTTGAAAATCGTTTACTTGAATGAAAAAGGTGGTATTGTTAATGGTAACACCGGAGAAATCATCTCTGTTATTAACTTGGATGAAGAATATGACGACTTGTTGAAAGAAAGTTGGGTTAAATATGGTACTAAATTGAAGATCAAGGAAATCCATGATTTGTTACAACACTTGCCAAGATCTTCTTCTGTTGCTATTATTGATGTTGATGATTTACAAAAAGAATTGTTCACTGATTCAGGTGCTGGTACTTTAATCAGAAGAGGTTACAGATTAATCAACAGAAACTCATTGAGAGAATTTGGAAACCCAGATTTGTTAAGAAATGCCTTGTTGAGAGATCCAGAAATCAAATCTGGTAAATTGTCTGTTGCTTCATACTTGAAATTCTTGGACTCTGTTGAATTTAAAAGTTATGGTGATGAACCATTGGAAGTCTTGGCTATTGTTATCAAACAAGATGAAAAAGTTCCTAAATTGGATAAATTCTTGTCTTCCAAGACTGGTTGGTTGAATAATGTTACTGACAATATCTTCAATGCTATCAAGAAGGATTACACTCAATTATGTTGGGTTGTTAGCGAAAACGATGATAACTTACCATGGTACTTTTCTAAATCTGACGGTTCTTTTGCTAAGAATGGTCAAATCTTATTCTGGTACGGTTTAAATATCGATGAAGCCGGTGATTTGATCAAACAATTTGATTCTGACGCAATTGGTTCTTCTTTATCTTCTGGTAAAGAATCTGGTGTTTTCACTTCTCCGCAACAAAAACGTGGTTTACATTCCAAAACTAATCTTCCATTAACTAAAGGTACTACTACTGATAAAAAGAAAGTTGCTTTGATTGGTGCTAGAGGTTACACTGGTCAAAACTTGGTTAAATTGATTGATGACCATCCATATCTTGAAATTTCCCATGCTTCTTCTCGTGAGTTTGAAGGTCAAAAATTGCCAGGTTACAACAAAGACAATGTGATATATTCTAATTTACAAGTTGAAGATATTAAAGACTTAGAAGAAAACGGTGAAGTTGATGTTTGGATCATGGCCTTACCAAATGGTGTTTCCAAACCATTTGTTGAAACTATTGATTCTGCTAAAAACTCTAAATCTACCATTGTTGATTTGTCTGCTGATTACCGTTTTGATACTACTGGAACTTGGGCTTATGGTTTACCTGAATTGAATGATAGAAAGAAAATTGCCCAATCCAGACGTATTTCCAACCCAGGTTGTTATGCCACTGGTTCTCAAGTTGCTTTGGCTCCACTTAGAGAATTTATCAATGGTACCCCAACTGTTTTCGGTGTTAGTGGTTATTCTGGTGCTGGTACTAAACCAAGTCCAAAAAATGATGTTACATTATTGGAAAATAACATGATTCCATATTCACTTACAGATCATATTCATGAACGTGAAATTTCTAAACATTGTACACCAGTTTCTTTTGTTCCACATGTTGGTGCTTGGTTCCAAGGTATTTCACTTACTATTAATGTACCAATTTCTCAAGGTTTAACATCAAGAGACATTAGACATTTATATCAAGATTATTATTCTGCTGAAGAATTGGTTAAAATCAGTGGTGATATTCCATTAGTTAAATCAATTGCTGGTAAAAATTGGATTGATGTTGGTGGATTTGCTGTTAATAGTGCCGGTGATAGAGTTGTTATTGTTGCAACCATTGATAATTTATTAAAAGGTGCTGCTACTCAAGCTTTACAAAATATTAACTTGACTCAAGGTTTTAGTGAATATGAAGGTATCACCACTGCTTAATCTAGTAGTCTACATATTTAGATGATAAACTTACATATATATATATATATATTATTGTGTCTGATGCAATTTGAATTTTAATTTGATTTCCCCGTTTATGTTATTGATAATATACTATGGTTTCTTTTGAATATTTACTGGCACTCTTATATGCGCAACATCACCATTAAACAAGGTAATATTGAACTTGATATGATATAATCTACTCATATAACAAGTTTGAAAATCAGGTAAGAAATTAAACCTATTATACGATTTAAGTGAAGCAGGTAAAGTATGTAAATTTTTGAAAGATAATGATTCTAAATTAACCCCAACCATAATTGATGTATTTAGGTTCCCATTTCCAATATCTTTCCATTTCATTGTATTTTTGTTTAAAGTTTCATCATTAATTTTCATATTACATATATATAAATCATTTGTTTTATATTGCAATTGAACAATTGATTTAATATCTTCAACTAATTGTTTCTCAACTTGAAAATTTTGTTTCCCTAAAACTCCTAGAAGTTGATATAATTCCAATGAATATTCTTTAAAAGGTTTAATGAAATTTTGTTTTATTGGATCTTCCGAAATATTCTGTTCATATATTAAGTCATGATTGAATTCTATTGGAATACGATGTTTTGGTGATTTGATTGTAAGTATAACAAATTGTGCAGTTATGGATTTAATTAAATGATGCGTTATATGATTATGGTTATGATTATGATTGGAAGTTCCTGATATGTATGTTAAATCCAATGGGATTTGAAGATTCCAAGTTTTTGATAGGTTATCAATTGATAATGATTCACGATATTTTTCAGGTGGAATATATGATATTGAATAAACTGTTTTTGGAGTTGATATCTTAAATGCACCCAAGTTTTTGTATCCACCTGTTAGGTTCTTCTTGATTACTGGTAAAACAGATTGATAATTTGGTTCAAGATTTATACTTCTGTTAGTTCTTGCTTTATAAAGTTGTCTTAATTTTTGTAATTCAAGTTCTGAATCAGTAAAATATTTGGTCATATCTATGTTACTATCATATTCGAGTCCTTCTATTGATTGAACTAATTCAATGCCAATATCTATTTTCTCTTTGATTCTCAGTATTAGATTGTTCAATATAACTCTGTTTTCTAATAATTTCATTGATCTTTCATCTTCAGTTGGGATATATGAATCGTTTACAAGTCGAATACAACTGGTTAATTCTTTAAATACAATAAACTGATCCTTGGTAGAATCTAGTGATTCTTTTGTGGCTCTAGATAATTCAATGGTTCCAAACTTTTCCTCTAGTTTAAGTTTCCTGGCAATAAATCTAGCAGATATTCCATAATAATTACTTGTGTCTGGTAATGAAAAATCATCAAATGATTCATCAAGTTCAATTGTAGAACTGATATTCTTCCAATTTGATTTACCAATTGTTGGAGGCAATCCAATATGCCTACTCAATCCATGTGAATTACATTCTGAATCTAGTAAACAATTAGGTATTTTAAAAGTAAAAAACCTCTTGTACTTTCTATTGGGTAAAAGTAATCTTTTGTTTCCTAATGAAACATAATAACCATCTCTTGGATCAAATCTTTGAGGACATACATGCACATTGTCACTTTCAGAAGCTAACCTATTAATAGTCGCTTCTGTCCAACTAGTTGAAAATTCAAAAATATCTAAAAACTTGTGTAATTTTACTGGTGTCGTATTCTCATGATTTTTTGAATCTGTAATCATAAAAATACCTTCAAAATGGACAATAAACATTTCATATTGTATTGTAACTTTTGATGTATTTTCAATTGTGATATAACCATTAATTGTATCTCCTCGTTTGTATTCGTGTATGGATGGATCAACATATTCTGGTTTTTTATTGATCTCGCCAATGTCTTTGGTGAAATAAATCTCTAGTTTGACGATATCAGAAATCTTACTCTCGGAGTTCACAATTCGTGGAAGACGATGAATATTATCAAGTAGTGAATCTTCAGTATGAGGTTCATTATTCTCATATAAATTCTCATATGACCCCGGAGTGTTGATTCCGGGTGATGCTGTGGCATATTCACTTGAAGGGCTTACTAGTTGTGATAATGATGATTGAGGGGATACTAAATGATCAAAATTTAAAGTATGCCCTGGCCAATTTCTTGTATAACTTGGAGGTTCACGATCTTGATTCTGTATTTGTACTGCAGTATTCATATTTAGACCCACAGTTGAAGTGTACATCATGTACGACGGTAGGATCGCTCCGATGGTATCCTCTGTTGAATGATAACTCTGTGAATGCATGTTCAAACTTTGTCATAGAATTTGATACTAAAGCACTATTAAAAACAAGAAAACCAAAAATAAAATTAAAGTGCAAATGTGGTTAGGTTATACACCAATGAAAAAAAAATTCTTCAACCGGTTTTATAATCTTACCCCTAAAATGACTCAAGTTAAAATACACAGATCCGTATTTCCGACGAAAGGATGCGACTGTCCGATCTATTGAAGGGCATGGGTTTATTCAACTTTTGTGTAATACAGCCGTTATTTCTCTTTCTCCTAGATTCTTAAACAATCTACTCGCTTAATGTTCAGTCCAGTTTATGGAAGTTAGATGCGTGATAAGATAATGTATCCTACATTGAAAAAGGTGGGGATAACAAGAAAGTTAAAGTCATATTAGTATAGTGTTTGATGATTTTTCAAAGTGCAATAGTGCATAGGTCGGGGGTAACCACGGTTATCTGAAACCACGTAAAGCAAGGCATGTAAAATGGGATCCATTCAGATATAAGTCCCGTTTTTACCGTAATTGTCTTACTTAATGGAATGATAGGTGTGACGCTCTCCGTTACCGGATTTCCTGTTTGATCCGTAAGGTTCTTCACAACGGACTTCCACATATCATTGTTAAACTTGATTCCTTTTAAGGCCACTGTCTTTCCAATACTTTTGGAAATACGATAGAATCACTATCAACTATCCCTGTGATTTCCATTTCTTAGTATGAGTCCCGTTGGTAGTGTTGGTAATATCAGATCTAACAAAAAATTCGCGTACACACGACTTATTAGTAGAGAAGAAGAAGAAGAAAAAAAAAAGAAAAATCTGTTCCCTTGTTCAAAATATTTGATCCATTATCTATCTATCCCCCTCCTGGACTTTATCAACACACAACACCACCACACATTCAATACTTATGCTAGTACCACCAGAAAATTTTGGAATAGTTGAAACAGGTATTTATAGAAGTACCAAATTAGAAAGTGAGAATTTTCCGTTCCTACAAACTTTGGATCTAAAATCAATTATCATTCTAGATACAGAGAAACCACCACGATCATTGAGTAATTTTCTTGAAAATAATCCAAGTCTTCAATTTTTTAATCTTGGTGGATTGAAGATATCCAATCATCAACATACTGGTATCACATCAAAAGTAGATCAAGAAGATATTGATCGGGATGTTGAGTTGAGAATTAATAATTTTTCATTCAATACTCCGAAAACTTTTGCTAGTACGATATCATTGACACGTAAAGATCAATGGATGCTAATTGAAAAGAATATTGTATTGAAAACTTTTGAAATTATGTTTAATAAAAAGAACTATCCAATGCTTGTGATTGATAGTTCAGCTACTTTGATTGGAATATTACGAAAAATTCAAAAATGGAACTTCAATTCTATCTTGAATGAATATAGAATTTATTCAGGAATGTCAACGAAAAACAATTATTATGCTGAAACTTTCCTTGAATTGGTACAAGTGGAATTGATACCTTATGAGCATCAAAGTAGAAGCAGACGAAATTCACGGGGTAATACTAATATGTATCTGAGAACGAATTCTATTGATCTAGAGAATGGAGAGATTTCAGAAGCCAGTGATGCTAATACTTTGGATGAAGACTATGAAGCAGTAGCCGATGATGATGAGGATGATGATTTTTACGACGATTTAGATGATGATTTGCTTTCGGCATCTCCACAAATCCCAGCGAATTTATTAAAATTAGTTGAACAAGGAAATAATAATAGTAATAACAATTCAAGAGATCAAAGAAAAAGATTAAATTCTATGGATGGGAAAAGAAGTTCGTTTCATAGAACTAACAGTTTCCATAATTCGCCATCTATGAGTGGCGAACATTTCTTGAGTATGAGAGTTAACAATTCCAATCATAACAGACGAAGATCATCTACACATGAAAACAGTTTCAATATGTACAAGAATATGAAATTTAGAAATACTAATACCAAATCTCCTTCTGCTTCTGCTTCAGGTATTGGAGAAGCTACTAGTACGTCACCAATTTTGAGAAGAAGATTATCCTTATCAAGAAGTAACAGTCATGTTGAATTCAATACTTTGGTTGATTTTAAATACTATCATAACCTTCAAAAGTACCCTAAAACCTTTCAAAATGTTAGTGTTTTGAAGATTAAATTACCCGCAGAGTACAAGTTGCCAGAATGGTTTATTGCTGGTCGAAACCTTTGGGAACGAGAGTACCAAAGATTGAATAGCTAGTAATAATATATGTATATATTGTCATTATATAGTAATTCATTTACATCTCTAGCGATTAGAGTTCCATGTATTAGCAGTTCTGTATCCTTGTCCAGGTACAGTCTGTTGACGTGATTTATTGTATAAATCTTGTAAACGACTTGACGACCGCTGATAACCAGCACTTGGTCTCTCGGGACTAGGTGTTTCTTGTTGTTGTTGTTGCTGTTGCTGTTGATATTGTTGTTGTTGTTGTCTTGCTGAATAGCTATTATTGTAAGAGTTGTCATGGCGTACTGGTTGGAATTTAGATTGTGAATAATCTTGTTGTTGCTGTTGATATTGATTACCATAACCTTGTTGTAGTTGTTGCTGACTTTGGAAAGTTTTAACACCTAACCAATCTGGATATGGTAAACCTTTAGAATCATAGTATTTAACAAATGCATTATGTATCAATGTGTCATCTGCAGAAGACCCGTCTTTCTCTGAATATGCACCTCCTGATATGGATAAGTTTGCTAATTTGCTACTATAATTCTCCTTTATCTTAGAAAAGAATCCTCCTCCAGCACTTGAATGTTGCATTATTATTAGTGATTATGTTTTGTTGATTCTATAAGAAAAATGAAAATATTAAAAAAAAAGAAACAAATTCCCAAATATCTTGTTGTATCCAATGAACAGAAAGATTATGGTATCTAGAATGTAATTAATGTTAGTATTTTTTATAGAGGTGAGGTTTTTTTACTTCTTTTATTGATTGTTCATTTATTTTGTTCGTTTGTCATTATGGGAATTTTAAGGACAGACTTCCTAATTTGGAAAGACGGTTACATCATCGCGTGTATTTACTGGGTTGTCAGTTGAGGATACAATAGAATTTTAAGAACCAATATGCACATGGTCAACATCACACAGACACACCGTTATGTTTATTTTTAGCATATATCACTATTCAACACTATCAATTATCACCATTATTTATCTAATCATTTGGAATCACTCTATTCGGGCGGGAATGTTGGATTGTTGTAAGGTTTTGAATCGATCAACTGCCACGAGACAACCGAGCTGTTCATTTTCCCTTACACTAAAATTGTCTCGTTTCGCGCAATAAATACTGGCGGGGCGATAATCAAAATTTATTTTAGGCTATCTGTTACACACAACAAACACAGAAAAAAAAAAAAAGAAAGTAGAACCCTATCAATACTAATCAAACAGATTTTAGTATCCTTTTTATTTATATATATATATATTATCAGAGATCTTACAACTTATTCTTGATCAAATGATATTTATACTAGACTTGGTAGCTGAGAGATCTGTGCTAAGGGAATCATTAAAAGGTATGTGTTTTTTTTTTTATCGTTACAGGAGTTTGCGATTCGAAGGTTATGATTTGTACTAACTTCTATATTCAATAGGAATCATATGGACCATATTTTTTAATCGATTGTTTGGACCCATAACACCAGTTACGAATGAGTTTATGAATGTTACATATCCACTGGCAAGCAATCTACCAGATTTGGATTCATTGATTGATGAAAAGATTAACAAGTTGATACATAGTTTGAAAGAACCACCTAACCGCGGCAAGATTGAGATCCAATTTTTAGGCAAAAGCAACACCAGTAGTGGTAACAAGAATAATAACAAAAAGAAATCTGGATGGTTCAGTAATAGTACTTATATTGAAAAAGAAGAATTGAAAACTTGGGAAGTGTGGCGTATAGAAATTGAAGTGTTGCCACTAGATCAAACCAATAAGAATATTAACACGTCAATTCGAAGCTTTGAAGGTAATATGGGGAAAATATATGATATAATTGACAAGTATAAAGAACATATTCCCCCTATAACGTCCCTTGATAGTGCTCCATTCCCTTATAGGATACTTATACCAAGTTTAAGCGGCAGCACTTCAGACCAAAGTACACAAACACTTGAAGGTGAAGAAGGTTGGGGGACGTACATCAAGAAGATACTAGATTAATAGGAATGATCAAAAGAATATATTTAAATTTTTAAGTATATCGTTTTCAGTTCTGTAAATAGTTTTTATATATATATTACATATAATATTAAAGTAATTTACAAGTTTGCAGATATCATGCCTTCTTCTCCTCTAACTAAAATACATTCATCTTCATGAACAACTTTATCAAATTCACCAATCTTTTCTGCCAATTCCAAAACCGTTTGGTCATAACTTCCTGGTTGAAACCACAATCCTTTGATAACTTTGTCATAACCTTCAATTTTACTAATTTCTTCTAAAGTTTTAGCAGTAATAGCAGGTGGAGTTAAGAACGAAATGCTCAACCCATCAGCTTGTGAAGTTTTATAAGACAAAATATCTTTATGATTTTCAATTGCATTAATGATTTGGGTAACATTGGAGACAACTTCTTTACCTAAAATCTCTTGTTCTTTAGGATTGATTGGAATAACTGGCAAATCGTGCAAAATGTACCAATTTAAAATTTTGTAACCAAACTTTGAAGGATTGTTACTGGCACCAGCAACAGCATATTGTCTACTGGAACTAAAGAATGATATGATCTTGGATTTCATCGACATCTGGTTGGGTTAATCTACTTGTTTAAAAGTGAACTAAGTTAGAAAAGAAAAAAGAAAAAGGAAGTATCCAAATAAAAAAAAGTAAAAAAAAAATTATTCAAGATAGTTCCTCTGTGGTTGGTAGATGTTCTTGTGATAAAAAGAATGGGGTATGAATGTTTGATCTAAAAGAATTTAAAAACTGTGGATTACGTAATCACTGACTCGGTACCCGAGTGGAAATAAGAAGAAAAGAAAAAAAAAACAGGAACAGAGAAAAACTGAAGATCAATAAAATATGGGTGAAATCGGAAAGAAACTACAAGGTTGATTTTAAAAACAAATACAAAATAGACATATTGGATATATATATATATAATTACATAAAGACTGACATTTTTAAAAGGAAAATGGCACCAAAAGAAGAGAGGAAAGATAAAAGAACCAAACCTTGTTGTAATTGTAAAAGATCAAAAGTGAAATGTGTCTACACAAACAGTTTACCATGTCAGCGATGTATTAAAACAGGTCAAGGGGAAACATGTCAGTTTGTTGCCAAATTACCATCCTTGAAATTTCCATCATTAGTTTCAAGTAAAGATATTTTACATCTACCGTCAACATCAGCTACGGTGTCATCATCATCATCAGCACCACCACCACCAACAACGACAACAACTACCTCGTTTTCTTCGTCTTCTCCATTGCATAATCCAGTACCATTACCAACACGAGGGTTGAACATTACAATCCCACAACTAATACCAGCAAATACAATGCTAAATCACACTCCAAATCATAATCATAATCATAATCAATCTATTCCTAATCATCATCCACATGCATCACAAGTGCATTTCAATTCACAAACAAGCCCGCCTAATTTGCATACTTCTTCAGACCCAGGGTGGAAATCACTGATTGAACAAAGATTAAGTACATTTGATAACAAAATTGATAGTTTGGTAGAGTTATTAAAGATTAACCAACAAGTCATGATGAATAACCAACTTCAGTTTATGCAACAACAACAACAGCAGCAGCAGCAACATCATCATCAACAACAACAGCAGCAACAACACTATGCCCATGAATCAGTATATTCCACTGTAAATGGCCATAGTATAAGCTACCCATCTTCTAGATCATATTCTCCAGAAAGTCGTCCTGATTCGCATGAGAGTATTAGTGAATACGTTAAGCCAAAACGTCCTGGTGAATCTGAACCTCCATCTAAAACTAAAAAGAGAAAGTCAAACAATGACGCAAGTCCTTATCTGTTTGATTTTCGTGATGGTTTCTTAAGCAAACTGGAAGCTCATGAATTATTCCAATTTTTTGATGCCAATATTTCCCAACAATTATTTGGATTTGAAATATCAAAATTTAATGTCGAAGAAATATGGGATAATTGTCCGATTTTAGTATGTGCTATTAGTACTATTGCATCTATACACCATCCAACATTATCATCTAAATCCAATCAATTGAAAACGTGTTTGCATAACTTGTGTGGAACAATACTATTAGAACGACCAAAAAGTGAAAAAGATGCTTATAATACCATCGTTGCTTTGATATTATGCAGTTTCTGGTTGACTGACTCACAGATGTTTACTGGGTTAGCGTTGCAGTTAGCTAAAGAGTATGGATTAAATCGTCCAAATCTGAAAAACAAGGACAAATTGAAATTATGGTACTTATTGTATGTCCTTGATGGCCAACAAAGTTTAACATTCAATAGACAACCATTGTTAAATTCACAGGAATATTCATTGAAACATAGTAAAGAGTTGTTACTCGAAGATAAAAACAGTAAATTGTTTGAGAATAAAAAGAAGGAATTGTTTTTGAATGACAAACAAGAAACTACAGTTATGTTGCCAAATGATGAAGAAATTTCAAAATTAGTAGCCAAGCAAAGATTCACAGATATGAGATTGGTTTCCCAAGTTGAATATAATCAAGCATTAAATGAAGCATTTAAGGGGAATGCATGGGATTTATTATCACCATCTTCATTTGGTATGCCTTCAAAGTCTAATTTGGAATTAGATAAATGGATGGTCTCTTGGACAGTTTTATTATCACCGGGAAATTTTGGAGCTGTTTGGTCTACAAAGTCAACTTTAATTTATTATAATTTTGCTAAAATGCATATCAATTCCACAGCAGTTAGAAAATTGACCATTGATCCAAATAGAGGTAAATTTCCTAAATGGGAGTCGACTCCTACAACTACAAATACCACCCCGGCAAGGACGTTCACAAGTAAACAAATAACACCAGATACAGAAGACTCTGAAGACTCCTCTGAAGATGAATATGACGATGACGATTTTATATCAAATAAAGAATTAGTATCTCCCGATGAAGCAGTAATTAATGCTAATATTGCTTTGAATGCAGCTCATACTGTTTTGAATTTAGTTATTAATGATAAAGATATCTTGGATAATTTGAAATATGTTCCTGTCCATATTCATATAATGTTGTATTATGCTGCTTTGTTATTGATTAATCCACCTTCTAAATCCAACAATCAAACTATTGAAATTGATGAGTTTAAGTATTATGATAAATTGTTGGATAATTTAAAAGTTATTCATGTTTTACAACGTAAGATTTATATGAATTTACCTATTGATGCAAAATTTGGAAACAGATTGATTAAAAATTTACAAGATGTAACAATGGATAAACTTAAAGAGATTCAATTATTTGTTGATGCATTGTCTGATGCACAAGAAGAAAAATTAGAACTTGGTAAGAAAATAAGTGCCTTATTGGACTCAAATGATAATAAATTTGAAGAAATTGTGGATTATGATATCAATAGTGATGGAAGTAGTAAAAGTGGTACACCATTACCCGAGAAAATATCTGCCTGGCCTGGTTCTAATCATGGTCATCCATAAAGAAGTTGAAAAAAAAAAAAAGAATCATAAAGCTTCGTTTATTTATAGATCTGTAATATATATGTGTATATATAATCTAACTTGATATTATAATTATAGAATAAATGGCATTGATAATAAATCACGGGCATCTGATCTTTCAGAAGGTTCTAATATAAACATTTTCTGCAAAAATTGAAGCAATTTCTGTTTTTGAGTTGATGTCAAATGAACTTTATTTAATTCCATTTGTGTTTCTAGTGTTTTTGAAGAAACCTTAAATTGTTTCTTGAAGGATGTAGTACTTGAATCATTACAATATTGTTGCAAATTGTGTAAATTCAATTTCCCGGTATGATCAAATATCTTGTAAAGTAAAGATTTCTTATATTTTTTATTCAGCACCAATGAAGTAGTTGTTGGGGTACTGGTTATAGCATCATTCAAAGCCAACAGAACTTGGTTATTCTTCCTTGTCAATTTTTGTCTCATTCTCAAAATTGTGGTTGGTTTCGGAGGTCCAAATAATTCCACTATGTAGCCCACTTGTTCGAATTCATTCTTACCTGGTAAAAGTGGATATCCAGTAAACATTTCGACAAGTAGACATCCTAATGACCAAATGTCTATCTTTTGATCATACGTAGCGCCAAATAACACTTCCGGTGCACGATAAAATCTTGATTGAATATACTGGAAACTAGTCTCATTGGTAAAACAAGATGAACCAAAATCTATAATCTTGACAATGAAATCAGACGAGTTTGGTGATGACGGAAGTTTAAGCATAACATTCTCAGGTTTTATATCACAATGGATAATATTGCAACTATGAATAGCTTGTAAACCTAACAATAATTGCTGAGCAATACTCTGAATCACACTGTATCCTAATCCTTTAAAGTTTGTCAACTCAAGCAAGGAATACATATTTATGGATAATAATTCTGAAATTATGCACATATGACTTCTGAAACTGAAATGATCGACTATGGTGATAAATCTAAACTTTTCTGGATCATATCTATCATTCAATGTTTTTAACATCTTGATTTCATTTATCGATTGCTGAAGCGATCCATTAACTTTGTTATTTATGATTTTGACCGCCACCAAAGTTGATGACTTGTGATCTTTTGCTTGGATAACGTTCCCAAAAGAGCCGGTTCCTAGGTTTGATTGTATTTCGTATCTATAGTTAACGTGGTCCTTGGGTATGATAATATAATTACCGTTTTCATCATCAAATCCAAAATTAGTTCCATGATTACTAATGTTTATATTTCGAAGATTGTCTTCCGGCAAATAATATACTTCTTTGGTTCGTATTATCTCTCCACGCTCATACTCATTTAACTTATCCAAAGGAAGATCTTCAACATCATACGGTAGATTAAATTGATGCTCTCTAGAAAGTGCATCAGAAAATAGATTAGGACATTTGGAGAACACAATTTGATACAACTGTTGTAATGAATCTATTTTAAAATGATAGTTTATCTTTGGAGATGATGATTGTTGTTTGGGTTGTTTTGGTGCAGGCAACTTCGTGGTTGAGGGGCTCGAATATAATCTATCAAATACATTTGGTAGTGGTTGTGTGACATGTCTTCGAGGTTTAGATGGAGAGTCATCGATTACCATGTTATCATCTTTATCATAATCTATAAATCTCACGGGAGATGGCTCCAAAGAATCAAGTTTCCCTTTATCGTCGTCACTGTCGGTATTACTGTGGAATTGAGATATATTTGGAGATGTGTTACTATGCCTTGAGCTATGTCTCTTGGTTCTTTGTGACAATTGACGTGCATATTCTAAACGTTTCTTTGTGGATGATGACGTGGTTGTTGGTGACTTGCTAAGAATCCGAGTACTTGTATTGGCAGGTGTGATGGCTTGCTTTTTTTGTAGGGATGAAGTTGTATCTCTCATAAATGAAAATTGATACTCCTGTTTCAGTGAGGAATTATCTGACATCGGACAACTTAGCACACGTTCTCTCGCAGGAGTATTGAAACCGTTGGTACTACTAAATGATGAATCTCTTGATCGTGAAACTCTTGTATTGCCACTCATAAGTCTATTTGGTGTCGTAGGGGTTTTTACAAGATTGGGAGTTTTGAGAACACGAATGTTTCCTGTTCCACTGTTGCCAATTGATTCCGAATAAGATATCGTACTTCCAGGGTTCTGAGGAGGATACAAATGCTGAGGGTATAACAATTTCTTTCTTTTGGTTGGAGATAGTTTCTTATCAAGATTCATTCTATGATTTAGTTCGATCTGTGAGAATTTATTCTCAAATAATGCAATGTTTTCATTTGACATAATGAAAGTACGAAATTAATAGCTCGTTTGCCAAATAGAAAAATATCTCTAGTCCTCTAGGGAAAGATTGAGCTATTAAAGATTCAAAATCGTGATGGCGGCGTACTGAAATAATACAGCAAAATTGAGGTCTTTAATTCACACACTGATTGGGTTCTCGTGGTAGCAGTAACTAGTTGTATAAAAAAGAATGGTAATGGTGATTCAGGTTGTATCAAAACACGTATGTTAAAGTTTGTTTTTAAATGAAACTAAAAAAGAAGAAAGTGTGCGAAGAAGTAAAAAAAAAAAAAAGAAATGAAATTTCATGTCAGTTCTCCTTTTCTCCTGGCAACTTATCTAACTATCAATATATCCATACAATTGAACCAGATATCCTTATAAAGAAATACATCTTTCCGTTTCCCATCATGAGTGTTTCCGATCCATCTAATTATTCTTCAAGACAAGTATTACTTTTGGCCCAACTTCTACATTCCAGTAGCATAAGTTCATTAAAAAAACTCAAAGCAACAAATGAAAACAAATTACAATCGATAATCCAACAGTGGAAACTGCATAAGATTAACGGACTTGATGGTGCTACATTGAATAATACAGATACAACAATCAAACTCAATACCAACAACCAACTTATTGAATTGTATGGGAAATTGTTGCGTAAATATGAAGCAAGCAATACCGAAGAGCTAGCTGATGCTGCTTATTTTAAAAGAATTGAAGAACTAGAAGACATCATAAACAAAGATAAACAACTGTTTACAAATATACTACAGAAGTGATGAGTGCATTCATCTCTTGAATGTATAAAAATTGAATGTCTTGGATATTGTTGTAGAAATCAAATTTGATCTCTGGTACACGCTCTTTTAATTTTTTTTTTTTCTGTGATTTTTAGACACATTTGCACACAAAAGTTAATTGTATGTGTAATGTAACCGATAATGAATTTAGTGCAAAGTGTGGGGAGGGAGGGAAAACCAAAATCTCACGCTCATTCATTTTTTTCCCTCCCCCCTCCTGTTTATACCAAGTTTTCCGTCCTCCCGTCATTGAGAATTCAAAGACAAACAGAACGAAAGAAGGAAAGAAAGAAAGAGCAAAATAAAAAACAAGCATTGATTTCACTTTTCACATTTTATTTACATTTTGAATTATCATTTTTTGATTCCTTGATTATTATTTTTTTTTTTTTGAAACATCAGAATGTCTGTGGAGAATGCAAAACTACAGAGGAATTCATTGGCTGTTCTGCTTTTGAAGATCTATAAGTCCAACAGATCATTGTTGTTGAACACGTCATATATTATATTAATTATTGCTGCTTTCACAGGGGCAACTAACACCGGTAGAGGAACATCTTCAAGAACAACTAAACTAGATGCTGTTGATGAACAAGCACTTAAAAAGAAACACCCAAAACTTTCTAGAGAATCGTTTCAAAGATTAAGAAAAGCAATTTTGCCTTCGTTTTTAGATAAAACAATGGTGTACTTTCTTGCGAATTTATCATTATTGGTAGTAAGAGCATTATTGACTCTTCGGGTTGCAACACTTGATGGTCAGTTGGTGGGAGCGTTGGTTTCTAGAAGATTGAAAGTGTTTGCTAAATATTTATTATATTGGATGCTTCTTGGTATTCCTGCTTCATTGACAAATGCCTTGTTGGACTGGACAAAACTGAACTTGAGTAAGAGTATTAGAACCAATTTGAATAATAATATCATGGAAGAATATTTACCAGACAACTTAGATCCAAATTATTACTCGTTAATACATTTGACGGATAACAAGATCAAGGACCCAAATCAAAGAATTACGACTGATACTGCTCGTTTAAGTGATGCATTAGCTAGTTTACCGGGACACATATTGAAACCAACGTTGGATATGGTTTTGTGTGCCCAGCAATTAAGTAAGAGTGGTGTTGGTAATGGTGAAGGTACCTTAGCATTGGGAATTTTGGCCCATTTTTCAACAATGATTATTCGTTTTTTCTCACCACCATTTGCAAAATTGGCAGCTGAAAGAGCGAATCTTGAAGGGAAATTACGTGCAGCACATTCCAAAATTGTTGCCAATAATGAAGAGATTGCATTTTTAGGTGGTCATGATCGTGAATTGGATCACATCGATCATTGTTATTACACATTGGAACGTTTCTCTAAAGGTGAATATTGGAAGAGAGCAATCCATGAAATCACACAAACTTTTATTGTGAAATATTTCTGGGGTGTTGCTGGTTTGGTATTATGTTCAGCACCCGTGTTTCTTACGAAATACTTGGGTGAACCAGAGGACAAGAACGCTGCTGGGAACTTTATTACAAATAGAAGATTATTGATGAGTGCTTCAGATTCATTAGATCGTTTAATTTATTCTAGAAGATATTTACTACAAATTGTGGGTCATGCCACTAGAGTTTCTGATTTCTTGGATACCTTACATGGAGTTGAACAAAGGAAGAAAAGAATCACGTCTAATGTTCAGTTGGATAATAATGAAATTACCTTTGATCATGTTCGATTAATGACTCCAACTGAGGTGACATTGATTGAAGATTTGAACTTTTCCATTAAGCCAGGTGATCATTTATTAATTGTTGGTCCAAATGGTTCTGGTAAGTCGTCGTTGTTTAGAATGTTGGGAGGATTATGGCCAGTTAGATTTGGTACCATTAGAATTCCAAACACTGAAAATATGTTCTACTTGCCACAAAAGGCATATCTTGTGGAAGGGTCGTTTAGAGAGCAAATCATTTACCCACACAACTTGTGTCAGCAAAAGAAAACTGATGAAGAATTAAAGGAAATTTTGAAGGTTTTGAAATTGGAAGATTATTCACTGCAGTTGGATGAAGTAAAGAAATGGACCGAAGAGTTGTCAATTGGTGCACAACAGAGATTGGCTATGGCCAGATTATATTATCATGAACCTAAATTTGCCGTTTTGGATGAATGTACATCTGCTGTTTCACCAGATATGGAACAACTTATGTATCAACATGCACAAGGTTTGGGTATTACACTTTTATCGGTCGCCCATAGACCTGCATTGTGGCATTTCCATAAGTATTTATTGGAATTTGACGGTCAAGGTGGTTATTATTTCGGTACATTGGATGAAAAACATAAAATGAAACTTGAAGAAGAAGAAAGACTCAAGAAAGAGAATGAAAAGAAAAGCGTCGTTAAATAAGTAGGTTTGTCAAATGATAAATAAATATTCACTACAATTGGTGTATAAGAGACCGTGAGCTGATTTTGTGAATAAGTCTTGTTATGCCATATCAATATAGAGGATACTTTTGATACTGATGATTGCGAGTCTCTTTTTGTTCAATTTTTGTTTTCTTACAACAAACAGGATTTCATTTTTGCTTCACTTTTTTTTTTCTCAATCATAATTTTGCAACATTATTTGATCAGATAAACCAATACCTAGTCAGTTAACAATGCAATTCAAAGATGGGGGAATAGATCAGAGATATAAAGAAAGAATGGAACAAAAAGCCAATTTCAAGGCTGCCAATTCTTTTGGATCAACAATTATGAATTCGTGTGCATCAAATCAATTTAAATCAATTAATGCAAAATTTAAAGAAGTTTCTTCAACTTTGGATCCAAATTCTGCATCAATATCAAATAGTTTCAGTCAGAAATCTTCATCCCAACAACAGCAGCATCAACATCAACAACAACAATGGTTTCAATCTGTGTCTGAATTATTGGGAATCAATGTTGATACAATTCAATCAGATCAAGATAATTTTGATACCATAACGGAATTAATCAAGGACTTGAAAAATAACCTTACAGAACAACAAAAAGTCAACTCTAGATTGAACAAAGAGAATAATGAATTAAAAGAAAATAACAAAAACTTAGAAGGAGCTATTTTCAGTCTTCGTAAATGGGGAACAGAAAGAGATGAGGAAATGGAAAGAATGTTGAATACTATATCACAATGTGATCATGATATGGCAATTCATGAACAAGATGCAATTAGTAAAAAAAATGAACTTGAAAAACAAATATATGGATTAAAAACTGAAATTTTCAAATTTAAAGAAACTGAAGTTTGTTTAAAAGAAGAGATTGAAAATTTGAAAAAACTTGAACCTGAATTGGAAAATTCAAAATTAAAAATTGAAGAATTAAATAAGGATATTAAAGTATTGGAAAATAAAAATTTAAATTTAAAGAAAATTGCAAGAGAAAGAGAATTAAAATGTGAAAAATTAGGATCTCAATTATCTTCAACAAGATCGAAATATTCAAATAAATTAAGATCAATTGGTATAGAAACTGGGAAAACTATTGATTCATTATTGGTTGAATTAAAATTAGTTAAAGGAATTAATGAAAAACTTTTAAATAATTCAATCCCATCACCAGAAGAAGTAAATGATCTTCAAACAAAATCATTTGATGAATTGTATAATTATTTTGCTAAAGAAACACCACAACATTATGTTCAAAAAGTATATGAAAATAGATATTTATCGTCATTACTAGCTTTAAAACAAACTACTGATTCAAATGAAATTCATCATACTACTATTGAATCATTATTAAAATTAATTTGTTCATATTTTGATAAATTTCCATCATTGACTCATGAACATGTAGTATATTTCCGTACTTTGGTTAATGAATTTCATAAAAGAAAAATGTTAAAAAATGCAGATATTGATTTCATCAAGAAAATTTTGAATACATATGATCAGATGATGGAAGTAGCTACGGATGAATCTATGCTAGACTGTGTTGCTTCTTAGAGAATACTTAATGTGCTGTTGAGTTATACTTTGTTTTTGTGTGTAGGCACATTTCTTTCTCCGTATATATATATATGCAGATCCTCTTAAAATAGGTTATATAATAAATATAAAATTTCACAAAATCAAGGAAATTTCACATTTGCAATTCTAAAAAAAATAATTGCAGCAATTGCAAATTAGCACTTTATATGTATATATATATATATATATATTAGTAATTAGTCTACAATTTGAATATATACCCCTTATACTTTTAATAGTTTCCATTTATTTTGTAACTGAAGTTTCCACAAAATTACCATCTTGTAACAACCCCGTCAAGACACCAGGCAAGACTTCAACTTGAAAAGCCTCAAATTTGAAGCTTTCCCCATCTACTGAAATATAATGACGACCATGATCTCTAACATTTGGAATCAATCGATAACTTGTAACTTTTGAATGGAATACTTTATCATCATCAATATGTCTACCTTTTTCAACAGCCATTAAAATGGACGCTGTTTTAAATGCTGAACTGGTTGAATCAGTAACAATCATATCCATAGTTCCATCATTTGGTAAGGCAGCTGGGAAAAATTGGGCGTCAGCTGAAACATATGGCATTTTACCAACATACAAGATATTCAAATTATGAGCAATTTGATCAGGAATACGTTTCCAATCTCGAGGAACTGGTTCATTTAATTCAGGACCCTTAACTTGTAAATTTTCTTCGGTGATTTCTGGTAAGCTTTTCCCATCATTACCGGTATTGGTTAAATAATCATTGACATGGTTAATAATTTCCGCCTTGTTGTCTATTTTATAATTCACATACAAATCACATGGATAAGTAGCTCCTGAAAACACCTTTTGTGCAACCCCGATTTCAAATCTAATAGGTCCTAACCAACGTAAATGTTCAGTCCCAATATCTGAATCAGCAATCACACCATAACATTGAGAAAGAAATGATAATTTTGTAGTTTTTGACTCTCCAATACCTTGTGTAACAGCCATCAAATCCAACTTTGCTCTGTGAGCTTTCAACATTTGAAATGTAGCAATTGAGGGATTCCCACTACCATGTGTACTCAAAGATAAGGCATTCCCTGAGCCACATGGTAATTGAGTAACAGCAATCTTGTTAAATGCCAGCACACCTTTATCCGGACGTAAATAAAACCCATTGATAACCTCATGCGGTATACCATCACCAGAACAACAAACAACCAAGTCATACAAATTCACATCCATGTCACGTGCAACTTGAGTCGCATGACCATTAAATTGAGTCTCGACATAAGTCACCTTAACATTAGCAGCTTGCAATACGGGTAAAATTTCATTCTTATATATCGTTTTCGCATGTCCTTTACCACCGTGAGGATTAATTAAAACCAATACAGAAGGGCGGATGATGCTATTTGGGAACGCATTTCCAAGAATAAATTTAGGAATAGATGGAGGCAAGTCGTTTTTATTTTCAATTTCTAGTTTGATCTTCGAGATTCTCAAGTCTTTTTCCAAGTTGCTAAATGGCAATGCATAAGTAATTTCCACCACATTATTATTTTCATCGTCTTCACTATCTGTCTCTGACATTGATACGGGCTCAACATTGAGAATGTATTTAAAAGGGATAATTCTTTCATCAAAACTAGGTGTGTCTTTTCCTTTGCAACAATTGGAAATAGCATCAAATATGCTTTCACTAGGATGAGTATCGGGAGGTAACTGATCTAATAAATGAATTCCATTTTCCAACGTGATATTTGCACGGATAAGGTCTTTCTTGTGATATATTAAACTCTGACTGACCAGGGCTGATTTCGATCGAATATTTACCAGACTTGATTTATTAATACTAGCTGCTGACATCTTTGTTTAGACTCCACTCAAAGATCAATAGCCAAAATTAAGGGGAAATGAATTAAAATAATAAAAATGAAAAACTGAAAAAAAAAGGAAGATAAGAAATTATTATTTACTTATTTATTTACTTATTGAAAAGAAAAAGGAAAATCCAACCATACAATAATCCAAGGGAAAAAACTAAGAAAGGGGAAAAATATTTTCATTCTCAATTTTTTTTTTCTTCTTCTTCTTTTTAAAGTTTCATGATATTCTTTTCTTTCTTATGCATAAACTCTGCAATTTTGTGACGTGTCGCGGATAAAAAACGGCAATGTCCCTTGGCACGTGACATGTTGGCCAATGGTTCATTTTTTTTTGGGAGGGTTGTAAAATAACCAAAATTGCCGGATTTGTTTCTAAATCGCTGGGTAAGATGGAATAATCTTGCATGAGATATCGGGTATAGTTAACATTAGACTGATATACCTCATTATAGCTGCTTTTACAGCAACATGTAGATAGTTTTAAATAACATCAACGCGTTTATCAATCACCTTAGGGTTATGATTACTAATGTGTCTTTGTCCCGACCGGCGAGACAACAACCCAAAAAAAAAAAAAAAAAAAATTCAATGGATGCAAGAAATCCCAATTGTACATGAACTGCTAAAGAACATGGATAGTGATGACGAATACATAGACACGTTTCTTGTGAATCATTTCCCTAATCTACCGGATGATATAATTGTGTCCGTCATAAAACAGTTATCACTTGATTATATAATTGAATGGATTCTCCACGTCCCACAATTGGAAGATATCGTACTACAACAATTTTACAACCAAAATGAAATTCAGTTTTTGATATCCCCAACAAAGAGACCACATTTGAATCATGTACCTCATGATAAACTTGAATTGACTACTTTCAAAGGATACTATCAAATATGTACATTCCTAACTGAAAATGCATCCAAGTTTGTCCCCAAGAAATTAGTCATCATTTGTGGGGGTGATTGGCTGAGTCTTGTATGTTTATTAACTGATTTTGAAATATGGTTATCCAAGATTGAACAATTAGAACTTGTACTTGAAACACATCCCTTGAAATCAAAAGATTTAGAAAATATTCTTGCATTTAAAAACCTATCCAAAATTCACTTTTCCGGTGTTTCCTTGAAAGGATGTTCAAAGTGGTTACGTCAGACTGAAATGCTTGTAAACCACCCCAGCTTGAGTAATATTATATTGTTAAAACATGAAATCATCAATTGGACCGACATTGAATTACCTCGAGGTTTGAAATCGTTGGACTTGTCCTGGGATTCTACTATCAATATCAAGACATTAAAGATTCCTTCTGGAGTTGAGGAGATTTACTTTAATTCCGCTAAAGTTGATACCATTAGTAATATTGATATGAGTTTGTGTGGTGAAAATCTAAACACACTTATGTTGACGTATAACTCACTTACACTGATAAGTTTGAAACATTTACCTCCCAATTTGAAGACTTTAGATTTGTCATGTAATTTGATTTCTGAAATTAAAGACATTGAGTATGGATGGCCCGATTTGGATAATTTACTATTGAGAGATAATAGGTTAGTGGATTATTCCATTTCTCAGGTTACTCAGTGGCCTGAAAATTTAAAAATGTTGGCATTGACAGCAAATGAACTTGAAACTATTTCATATTTAGAAAATTTACCAGATACTATAGAAGTATTGGACTTGTCAAATAATGAGTTTAAATCTTTGCTTGTATCATCAACAGGAGAATCGTTCAAGTTTCCCAAAAATTTGAAGAATTTGCAAATTGCAGGGTGTAAATTGTTGCTTCCTGAAGATGGTGACACAAGCATGTCAAGTTATTTAACTTTTCCACATCAATTGGAAGAGTTGAACCTTTCTGAATGTAACATTACTTCTTTGAATGCATTCAAATTCCCCCTGTCTTTGGTTAAGCTAGCGTTGAGTGGGAATATAATACGTGACTTGTGTTCTTATGACGATCATATATCAAAATCTTGGACAATGTTGAAACATCTTCGTGAACTTGATCTATACTCAAATAATATTAGAAATTTAGAAGGCTGGAAAATTCCTGAAAATTTGAAGTACCTTGACTTGCGAGTGAATTATATTGAGACACTTCTGAGTGATTGGCCAATATTCAATTCCGAATTTAATCAAGATTTACAACTTTCACATTTGAACATCAGTTACTGTCGACTAGAAGCAATAAGTGATAATTTGCAATTACCTAGAAATTTACGAGTTTTAGATCTTTCAAACAATTCTATAGCAGGAACATTTAAGTTACTTGTTTGTTATAAACAACTATTCAGTTTGAATTTATCGATGAATCTAATTAAAGATATTGAAATTGTTGATGATCCAAATGGAGTTTGTAATATTTTTGAATTAGATTTGGGCGAAAACTATATTTGCCATACTAATAGAAATAAAGAATCCATTCAAGAATTCTACCTGAAATTAGAATCAGGTTTACACATCACAATTAAAAATAAGAAATTTAAAGTTAATAGTTTACATAGACTTCGTTAAGAAAAAAAATAATAATAGATGTGAAATATAAGATTTTGAATTTTGAATTTTGATATGGAAGTATTCAACTAGGAACAAAGGACCCCCTTTTTGCCCCTGATGTATTTTCAAAATGTAATATCAGTTTCTTAATTACTCTAGAAACTTGTTCTATATATTGCTACTCAATGATGTTTCTTCTACTACTTCTAATAACAACAATTCAGTCATTTCAAATCCTTCCATATTTAAAACAACCTTATTTAAATTCCAATTTATTATTAAAATACAAATCCACCATGCAAACAGTCAAGTCATATTCCGATATAAATCTTAAAACCATTCATAATAAATCCCAAATATTTAAAATTGAATCAACTAAATCATTTATATTCAATGATGAAATAATATCACAAATATATCCATTTGAAACATCTATAAAAAAATCAAAATTTATAGAAATTTCATATAAAGATTCAAAAAGAAATAATATTACATTTGAATGGATAAAATTTAGTAAATGTATTCCAAATAATTCAAAAAATAGAGCAACTTATAGACAATCTTGGTCAATTGATTTAGGTTCAGGTATAACTTTTAGATTAGATTTTAGTAGTTTTTTAGGTGGAATTGGTCCAACTTTTAAAAATGAAAATAATTTAGATTTTGGTATTGGTGGTTCGATTGTATGTGAAGTTGAACCTGGTCATAATTTACAATTTGCTATATTTATTGAATCTTTTGATATTGAAAATGTTAAATTTAGAGAAGTTAAATTTTCAAAATTAAGATTGAAAAAAAATTATGAAAAAAATACTGAAAAAGGTTGGAAGAAATTTCCTAAATATAAACTGGTTAATAAAAATAATATTCAACTTGCTTGCTTCACTGATCCAGAACTACAAAATTGTTAATCAGGAGAATATACACATTTCTGTTGATTGCTTTTAACTTCTTTTTCTTTTTATATATATTTTTGTCTTTTATTACTGTATGGAAATAAACAGACTATGTAAACATTCTTCTTTTTTTTTCCAAATTTATATTATTTATTCATCATCTTTCAAGTCATCACCACTTAATGTAAATGGTTCAGGTACTGGTGCATCAGTTATATTTAATTGTCTGACCGTTTTAATAAATTCAACTTTTTCTTCAGGTTTGTTATCTTGTAAAACTATTATACCACTGGAACCACGATATTTTCTAACTGGTACAAATCTATCATCTTTAATAAATGAAATGAAATTAGATTGTAATGGCAATACTCTAGACAAGTTTTCAATTTCATATGCTGTTTTAGTATAACGAACAGTAACTGGTTCATCAGATGGTGGTTTCTCTTTCTTTGTTTCTTCTTGTGTTGTAGTCTTTTCTGTCTCCACTTTAGTTTTAGATTCTTCATCGATATCCATTTTGTCTTCCGGTTTAGCAGTCTCTCCTGTTGAAGCACCACCTTCTTTCTGTGATTGTTTTCTCTTGGCTCTAGTTTTAGCCTTTGCAGTGGTCGACAACACAGCGGTGGCCAACTTATCTGGTTGTTTTTCCTTGGTTTCTTCAACTTTTGGTGGATATTGGAAATATTCTGGATTAGCATGACAGTTCAATTTAAATTTAGGAGCCTTCAAATCACTTCCTCTAACACCAATTATCGATGTTGGTGCAAATGATAAAGATAAGAAATGAGCCAATGGGAACCAGTACCATGATTGGACAAACAAAGTTAAACCAACAATGGCTTTAACATTCAAGGTATTAGTTTGAGAGTTTTCTAAATTAATTGTCAGGTTTCTACCACCAGCATCTATTATACCTTGAGCCAAAGTAGCACCGAATTTAGCCAATGCATCTTCATGTTTGTTTTTGATAGTATCAGCATATTGTTTGGTGAACTCTTTAACCTTTGGATAAATAAACTCATTTTGTTGAATTAAAATCATGGAACTGGCCATTAAAGCACCTTGTCTAACAAAATCAACAGCATCTTTAGTTAAAGGTTCCAAGACTTCAATGGCAGCAGGATAAGCTCTTCCGGCACAAGAAATACCCAAAGCCAAAGCAGTACCATATCTAACATGAGGGTTGTGTGATTGGGATAATAGTTTAACAATTTGTGGAGCAGCAGTGTAGTTACGAATCAACAAGAAACCCAAACCCATAACAGCGGCTCTTCTAACATCATCACTTGGGTCAGAAACAGCATAATGTAACAATTTCTTAATGGCACCATTGTTGCTAGTACCAGCATATGCCAAAGCTATGGTAAATGCACCACCATATCTCAAAATTGAAGATTCTTGTTTCATCAAGTTATCAATGGTTTCATTGGCACGTTCTTCACGTCCATAATTCAACAAGGCAATACCAATAGCTAAACTACGGATAATATTTTCATGTTGAGTTTCTAAAGCATAGGTTAACATATCATGAATTGCTTCTTCATTGCCAGATCCCAACATAACCAAACCCATACCTAAGGCAGCAGCTTGGGACGAGATGGCGGAATCTGAGTATAAGACAACCTTTAAAGATTCATATAATTCCTCACTTCTTGAACCCATGCCAGCAACACCAGCACCTAAAGCGGCACCGTGTAATTGAATGTCAATATCGTTGGATCCAGCAGCATTACCATTTTCATCGATAAAAGATTTCAAAGTACCAATGACTTCTCTACCATGACCAGCAAAAATCAAACCAAGAGCAAACAAGGACCCACCTTTAGAGTTTGCAGAACCAGAAGACCCTGGTAAATATGGTTTTAAGATTGTACGACCTTGAGATAAGTTCCCTTTGTGAATAACACCCAATGCGGCAGTAGCGGAAAATTTAGACCAGTTGGTTGCTCTTCCCAACCATTCCAAATTGTCTCTAATAAATGAATCATCAGTAGTACCAGCATGCATGAAAGCATTGGCAAATGTGACTGCAGAATGGAAAATTGAGCTTCTTCCATCTAATGTATTCTTGGTTTTATTCAAAATAGTAACATCGGCATTGTTGTTTTTAAACAAGAAAGTATTATCCAAATCACAAGTTGGAACTCCTGACAAGATATTCAAAATCTTCTTTATGGTGGCTTGTTTGTATTCATCAACATCTACTTCAGCAGAAGATAATTTCTTAATGACAAGATCCAATAATTCTTGAGAGGCAGCATTAACTAAATCAAAAGCTGCTTGGTAAGCAATCAAATCTTCCTTTTGGTTAATCAATTCTTGGAATAATTTAACTGCCAATTCAAAATCATTCAATTGAACAATAATCTTAATGATGGTAAAGAAATCTTGATGTTTTTTCAAAGACAATAACAAGGAAATTAAAGAATTCAAAACTTGGACTCTAAATTCTGAATTTTTAACAGTGCTATTTGAACATACTAAAACATAATTTATCAAACTCAATGCTTGTTCTTCATTAACATTAATTTGTTCTTTCAAAATAGATTCAACTAAATCTAATCTATAACTTTCTAAAGCAATACCCAAAGTCAACTTAATTTCATTGGCATTTAAACACTTCTTTAACATCTTTTCAAAAATTGAAGTTAATCTTGGATCTATTTTAACTAAATCATCAATGAATTTCTTTTGAGATAATGAATTATATAAATTAATACATTGACTAACAATAGTTTCCATGTATTGAGATTGTTCTTCCAAATTAAACTCATCTCCAGCAAGTAAAGCATACTTCACAGATGCTTCAAAATCTCCCAAATTGTAATACACTTTAGAAATAACTAAGGCTGCCAATTCTTTCTTTTCAAATGAATCATCTTCATATAATTCTTCCAATTCAGTTATATTGTTGGCGATTTCTGCCCATAATTGATCTACAACTTGATTTAATGAGGATAAAGCATATGATTTTAAACTAGAATCAGGTTCCCCTAATAAAGCCAAATATGGAGCTGCAGATACCAATGCCATATTTGTATGATTTTGTAATTGTAATTGGTTGTCAGTTGTGGGTTGTAAATAGTTTTCTAAATTGAAACGGAGAATAAAAAAAAAATCGAAAAAAAAAATCGAAAATATGTGTTGCCACCAAATGTCCAACGAGTATGTGGATAGTTGGATTTGTTTGTTTTTTTTGGGACATCTTGCACGACAACGAAATATGTAGAAATTGCAAATAATCAAAATCTATACCAAGATGGTTATGACAATAAAAAATACTTATATTAATAACTCGTTGAAGGGAAAAAGGGGGGTTAGGAAAAAAAAAAACTATAAAGAATAAAAACATTCTATAGACTTAAACAAAAATGAAACAAAAACAAAAAAAATAAAATTAAAATCATTACAAATGGATGTGGTTGGTTTTCATTTTTTACTTTTTAAAAAAGTGGTTGAACACAGTTCTTAAATCAGACACCTAATACAACAAACGGGTAGCGATCTTGTATGGGGTTTGTTCCAATTGTTCATATAATGATTGGATATCACTGATGTCGACATCGGAAATATCAGCCATTAAGTAAGCAATGTCACCTTGAGAATCGGAGAATTGCTTTTCAATATTGTGGTTGGATAAAATATTGTTGACGGTTTTCAAAACACCAGGAACATTGTGATGGATATACAAGACTCTGACAACGTTTTGTTGGTCCAAATCTAATGGTCTCAAAGAAACTTCTGGGAAGTTGACAGCACCTTGAGAGGCACCTTCGTTGATGTATTTAGATAAAGCATTGGCAACTTCAATACCAATAGCAGATTGTGCTTCTTCAGTAGAACCACCAATATGTGGAGTCAAGATAACGTTTCTTAATGAACACAATTCACTAGCCCATTCGTTCAAGCTATCACCGAATAAACCTTCACCATTCTTGGCTGGTTCTTGTGGGTAAACATCCAAAGCGGCACCAGCAATCTTACCAGCTTTCATGGCTTGAACCAAAGCTGGAATATCAACAACAGTACCTCTAGAAGCATTGATAACATAAGCACCATCTTTCATGGCAGCAAATTGTGGAGCACTCAACAAGTTTTTGGTATCTGGAGTGGCTGGGACGTGTAAAGTGACGAAATCGGCTCTCTTTAATAATTCATCCAAAGTTTCAACTTGTTTAGAGTTACCCAAAGACATAATAGTGATGACATCGTAGTAGATAACATTCATACCCATAGCTTCAGCCAAAACGGACAATTGGGAACCAATATGACCGTAACCGATAATACCCAAAGTTTTACCTCTGATTTCCCAACATTTAGCACTGACTTTGTTCCAAGTACCAGTGTGCATTTCAATTGAACGGTCACCCAATTGTCTAGCCAAGGTGATGATTTCAGAAATAACCAATTCAGCAACTGATCTGGAGTTGGAGAATGGAGAGTTGAAAACAGCAATACCGGATTTGGCAGCAAAATCCAAATCAACTTGGTTAGTACCAATACAGAAACAACCAATAACAACCAAGTTTTTAGCAGCTTTCAAAACTTTTTCAGTTAATCTAGTTTTTGATCTGATACCAATTGCATGAACATCTTTGATTTTTTCAATTAATTCTTCTTCTGGTAATGATGATTTGTAGAATTCAACTTGGTAACCTTGGTTTTTGAAAATATTTATAGCAGTAACATTGACATTTTCTAACAACAAGATTTTGATATCACCAGTTTTGAATGGTTTTAAAGCTTTTGTTGGCTTGGATGGAACGTATTGACTTAAAAATGATTGAGTTGGGGAAGTAGAAACAGCATTTGGTGATCCAGACAAGTTCAAAGCTTGTTGGAATGTGCTAGCAATTTGTTGAGGAGATGACATGATCTATAAAAGTCAATGGACAAGTATTGATTATAATAACTTGAAGAAAAAAGAAGAAAAAGGGAGTATGAAGAATAAATATTTTTTTTCTTTTTTCAAGTTCCACTAAAATTTTAATTCGTGGGAAAATTTAATGCTGCTTTACAGCCATTTTTTTTTTTTCTAATGAGTAATTACATGCAAATTCCCCTCGTAATATGAACTCCGAGTGTGGGTTTTGGTGCAAGTCACATGACAATTAGTAATTTTGAAGTGAAAAATTTTTCATCAAATTTAATTGCAATTTAAAAAAATTTCAAAAAGGAAACGTGTTCATTATGAGGATTGAATCAACACACCATAAATATACGATACCAAAGGGGGTTGAATAGTAAAAGAAATATCAATCGAATGATCCAAATCACTATTTGTACGATCAGTTTGTTGATTAGATAAATGATAAACAATTTTGAAACTGCAAACGGTTTTTTTTTAAATATGTTTTGGACTCTGGATTAAATCCTAATCATAGAAAAAATAATATTTGACTCGGATTATGCGATGAGTTGAAAAACGTGATTTTATGTAAGCACAGTAGGCAGATACACTACTTTTCTTCCATACAGGACTGTAAGAATATATTTAAACTTTTTGAATAAGAACAACTTCAAATTTTTGCAAAAGGCAAGTACCACGCCTCAAAATGGTTCCTTTATCTAATCATTCATATAAACGACAAGCAAGTTTGAAGCGGTTGATCATAAGCTCTGTATCCCCTGATTATGCTACACTGCAATAAATATAATTAAGGAATGCAATTAATTTAAGTAGTAAGTTTCTCCGATTGAAATTTTAATTGAATCGAGATTCCAACAGTCAAGAGCAATTTCTTGTCTATTTTGATTGTTTTTTTCTTTTCTTTATTAAATTAGACGAGAATGACAAAGTAAACTCAAAAAGTTTGTTGGATAGTATTTGCTGTGTAATGCTTAGCTGGAACTCTAACCATAGAAGATGGTCGCCCTGGGTTGACTTTTGAGAAAGTTTCAGATGCAAATGAAACTAATTGGTGTGTGGGTGTAACAATTCATTGAAGTGATGTCTAACATTCTCTTTAGAAAACTTATGATCTTTCATTGAGTATTCCAAGGTCAAATCCTAATTAGGCAACCGAAAAGGTACAGAATTTTCATTCATTTCATTTAATTGAGTACCTTAACGCCTTACATTCCCTGAGGAGTAAAAAAGAAAAAAAGAAAGAAAGAAAGAAAGAAAGAAGAATATCTTTTGTTTAGTTAATAATATTGAGTACAATTGGGTAATACTTTACAAAAATATAAAATGACAGACCCTGAAATTTGTTCTTTCATGTAATTGGTTGCCCTTTAACTTTACCCCCTAACCAACTTGTTTTGTAAAAGTTTTGTTCGACGCGTCAATAATAGAATTTGTTCTATTCTCGTCTAATGAAACGGTTTTCTTTTGTTTGTTTGTTTGAGTTTGGAAAACTCATCAACTTAAAAGTAGAATCATCGTCTTTTGTTAGATGAATTTTATAGTGTTTCTCGCTTTATGATGAATTATCGTTTGTTTATTGTAAGACAGCCGATGGGAAGGAATTCACCAAAACAAATGCAAGTAGGGTATACGGAGCGTGCATGTGTGTATATTTTGGGAGTAATCATAGAGAACAAGAGAGATTTTCCAAAAGAGATTTGCAATGAAATTAAGACAATGCATTATGCATTAATTGTTGGTTTGTATTGTGGTTCTTTGTATTTATTCCCAGCCTCTTGAATAAACTTCAGTTGCACTGGTAACAAATCATGTATGTCAAGTACCCATAACCCTTTCAATCGTCCCATTTTATTGGTCAAGATGACTGACGAGAGTTACTCTTGGGTACAATTATAATTATTTCTTTTGCTTAAAAAAATCTGAGTTTGCTATCCAGTTTATTTTCAACAACAACCTGTCAGTTTTCACCTTGATTTATAATGTTTTGATTTTTTATTCAAACATCGATGTGTTATAAAACAAAATTTTCTCCCTCTATTCTGTATTCTATAGTGAATTATAAAGTATTTCATTCAAGGGGAGTGGTATATATGCATAATTAATCCTTATAAATCATACATAAACTATACAGAACAATTAATTCTACTTTGTCACAATATTTTTTTCTTCTTCTTCATGATTAAACCGGCTCAATAAGACACGATAATTTTCATTATTTTTATTTTAGGAAACTTGAAAAAGGAAGCAATCATTGGAGGGAAGGATGTGTGTATTTGGTTTTTGTATGCTTAAACAAAGAATCATACAAAATGCATAGACTCTCATTACATGAATTAATCGGCAGTTTCTTGCAAAACAAGTAAGATACGAAAGGGTGCTCTCATGTATGACCGGAATAAGCAAACTGTTGATTGGGGTTGACTATTCTACCAAAAATAAAATAAAAAAAAAAAACATCGTGCTAATTGTTTCTCCATCACTCACGCACACACACACACACACACATGATTTGTAGTTAACTCAACGCTCATCATTTTGTGATTGATTGATGGATTGATTGACCATGCTAATCCATGAATTGGATGAGTCGGTATTGATTTGTACATCAAATGTTGCGTACGGTAACGAAGAAAAGATTTTCAATGTGAATAAGCAATGGGAGTTAAATTCTATAGTGAAACAACAGTGCATTTGTTTACTGCGCTTACGATTGCATTCAACTGTTTCCCTTTATTTTCAGGGTTTGTCAAACTTGTCCATCATTTAGCTCGTGAGATGAATCTAATTGAAGACTCTTATCTGCTGGTTGTTCTTGAAAATTAATTGGACTGGGGCTGTCTAACTTTTTGGTTGTAAAGGCTATTGAAAGAACAATAGGAAAACTTAGTTTTTTATTTAAGCAAACCAATTTAAGAAAAACAACTTTTTCACTTTGCAACAACAACCACAACAATAATAATAAATTACACAAAACTGAAAAAGGTAAACAATCGTGCAAGAAAAAAAAAAATATAAACAAGATGCCAATACACGCCCCCAGTACACGAAGAAAATTTATATCCTCCTGCATACAATACAATCTTAATTTTTATTTAAACAAAAATAATAACCCATTCTACAATACTGTAATATTATTTTCCCCTGTTTTTTTCAGTTACTTTCAGTTACTTACTTACAAAAAAAAGACACATTTGGGAATTTAATAATCTACTAGTTAACTTATTTAAATATAATTCAATATTATCACTATTTTGTTTCCTTGCCCTTTTTTTATTCTTTCTTTCTTTCTTTCTTTTGGATTTCATTTTCAGCATATCAATTTTCTTCTTTTATTTATTTTTTTGTTTTTTTGGTTCAGAATAAACAAACTACCTACTACTATTACCTCATCCTATCCCATTCGTTTGAGTGTTTCCTATATCAATAAAGATCCGTGTTTTATATACTTCAATTCAGAACAACTACCCTTTTTCCACCTCATTAGACTTTCCTAAATTTTCAACCAACCTACTATCGTGTTTTTTTTTTTCTAATATTTCAGTTTTGTTTCATTTCCTTCTACACATTATCTACATATTAAATCATGTCAAGTACAAGATCATTTGAAGGTGATATAACAACGTCTTCTTCTTCTCATAAAAGTATAGAATACTATGACGATTCAATTCATACAAATACTGTTCCTTCTTCACCGTTTAATTTCCTAACTCCTTCTCAAGCAAGAACTTCAACTTTTTCATTAGATTCTTCTATAACTACTATCAATAATATAAAAGTTATTTGTCGATTTCGACCTGAAAATGACATTGAATTGAATAATGGTGGTAGTTCAATAGTTGAGTTCCCAAATAGTCAAACTGTAACATTACATGGAAAAGATTATACTGGTCAATATACTTTTGATCGAATTTTTCCTCCTGATTCTTCACAATTGGATATTTATCAATTTTCTATTGCTGAAACTGTTGATGATTTAATTAATGGATATAATGGTACTGTCTTAGCTTATGGTCAAACGGGTTCTGGTAAATCTTATACCATGTTGGGAGGTAATAATGCCAATAATAATTTTATGAATGATCCTGAAACGTTTGGTATTGCTCCAAGAATATCTCATGAAATATTTGAAAGAATAACTGCTAATGAAATGGAGTCAAATGAAGTTGAATATACTGTGGAAATTTCATTTATGGAAATTTATTTGGAACAAATTAAAGATTTAATTGATGTCAATAATGATGAAGATTTTACTATTCATGAAGATAAATCAAATGGTATTTATGTTAAAGGATTAACTACTAAAACTGTTACTAATGAATTGGAATTGTTAAATTATCTTGAAAATGGTTTAAAATATCGATCAATTTCTTCAACTCATATGAATCAAGAATCTTCAAGATCACATACTATTTTCCATATTAAATTGACTCAAAAACATGTTGAAACTGAAACTATTAAACGTTCAAATTTATTTTTAGTTGATCTTGCTGGTAGTGAAAAAATTGATAAAACTGGTGCTCAGGGTCAAACGTTACAAGAAGCTAAAAAAATTAATAGTTCGTTATCTGCTTTGGGTAATGTGATTAATGCTTTAACTGATGGTAAATCAACTCATATTCCTTATAGAGATTCAAAATTGACAAGAATTTTACAAGAATCAATTGGTGGTAATTCAAGAACTTCATTGATTATAAATTGTTCACCTTCATCATTTAATGAATTGGAAACTTTATCAACACTTCGGTTTGGTACTAGAGCTAAATGTATTAAGAATAGTGCTCATGTTAACACAGAATTGAGTACTGCTTCTTTGAAGAATAAGATTATTCAATTGGAAAAGATTAATCAAAATAATCAAGCCTATATTAAACAATTGGAAGATGAGTTATCTTCTAGTAGATCAGTGTCATCCCCTCTGATGTTTTCAATGTTGAGAAGTAGTACAACAAGTGCTGCCACGTCAATAGCTACCAAACCAAGTATGGCTACATTTCAATCAAGATTACCAACTATGCCATCATCGGCTTCAGTCATTTCATCTACTGCACCAAGTATCAAATCAACTACATCTCATGTTAATATGAGTGAGGAATTGGATCGTCGAGATAAAAAAATTGAAGAGTTGGAAAATGTTATATTGAATTTAAAAATGGCTAATTTGAAAACATCACATCAAGAGGAGAGTAAATTATTTTCATTGGAGAATTCATTGCATAATATTAGTAATAAATTGAATGAAGTTGAATTGATTAATGTTAATTTAAGAAAACATTTATTGATTAGTGAAAAAATCATTGAAAGCAGAGATAATAAGATTAATAAATTGAAACTTGCTTTGAAGGATCAACAATTGTTAATTGCTAGAGAAACAATGGGATTTAAAAATAGATTGGGAGAGATTCAAATCAAATTGGAAGATTTGAATAAATATAAAGAAGAAGAGATGAGTATTAAAAGAGAAACATTATTATTACAAAGACAACAAAGTGTTTCAAGTTCAAGAGATGTTAGTTCTGCAGCAACTATAAGACCGGATAAGAATCGTTCACCCGAAGATGATTCACAAAGTATTTCTGAAATTAAACCTGATCCAGAATTGATTGATCAATCATTTGATGATTTAGATCATTCCAAAACATTGGTTAATTCATCAAATGAACAATTGAAACGTAGCTATAGTGATGGATCAATGCATGAAGGATTTTCAATATATTCATCTCAAAAATTGGATGATTTAAAACCAATTAATTTTCAACAAGAATATATTTCAATTAGTGATTTTTTAAAAGAAAGTAGAAGAAGATCATTATTAATGGCACCTCCAACAATTGCCAGTGCATCAGAAATTCCATCACCAAAAATTCCTGAATTGAATGATAGTTCAGATACTTCAGGTATGTTTAAAAATGAAGAATATGAAAATAATTTATCACCATCTGGTAAATTACGTAAAAATCGTCGTCGTAATTCAAGTTCAGTTAGTTTGAATAAAAAAATCGTTAGACCTTTAAAAGGAGCTCATTCATTTGGTTTATTCAGTTCATAAGTTATATATTTATATATCAATATAAATTTTACTATACTTTTTTTTTCTCCAACTTCCTTTTCCGGTGGTTGTAAGATTTGTTGGTTGCAAGAATTTTCACTGGTTGTCTTTGAATGGTTGTCTGGGTGGGTTTAGATTTTTTTATTTTTGTCTGTTTTTTTTTTTTTGCAACAGTCATGAATGGAATATCAATATTATTAACAATTGTGGTTTTAACAACATCAAAGATAATTGAACTACCAGAAGTCAATCAATCTCCTAAAGAAATCAAACAACAAGGTAAATTGAAATATTTCTTAGAAGATTCGACAAATGAATATTTAACATATCGATCATTTCCAACAGAATTATCATTTATAACATCAAAATACTATCAACAACAACATAGTAATAATAATAAAAATGATTCATTAATTCATATAAATGAAACTAATTCAACATATTTATTTAGACCAACTATAAATAATCAAGAATTGATTGAAATTAAATTTGATTCTTTTAATTATATAATTGAAAATATTCCAATTTCTGGATGTATGAGAAAGACCAATTCAAGTAGTTCAATAACACTTGTTAGATCAATTGGGATTGGAATTTTTTATTTTCCAAATGATTTATTTATTGGGGGTGATTATTATTTATTAGCAACTAGTTTAGATTTTGGACTTAATGGTATAAATTTAGTTGGATATAATAGTTTTACGATTACTTGTAGAAGTGATATAAATGGAATTATTCAAATGTTTAAAAATGTTAAATTATTGAATATTAAAAGTAAATTTAGAAAAATTATTATTGATAAAAAGAAGAAAAAATTTATGATATTAGAAAGATGGAAACAAATATTGGGGAATTTGAAAAGAAAAGAATTAGGTGTGTTGATGTTTGATTTGAATATGAATCAAGAGTTACCATATTGTGAATCTAGAAAAGAATATTTACAATGTAATGTTATACACTAATGATATACACTAATGAAAGAATAAAATAAAATATCTAATAATAGTGAAAATACATATAGAATTAAAATGAATATAAAAATGAAAATAAAAGTATCAAGAAACGAGAAAAGCAAACAATTAGGAAATCAAACGGATTGGTCATTTGTTTTTCTTATATTAGTCTAACAAGCAGAAGTGTGCAAAACAACCAACTCAAGAACGGCGGTTTTACCAGAATCCAAAACAGTTTCTGAATATAAGGTGGAAGTGGAATAAACACCTGATGGAACATTGATTTTAATTTCGGTGAAATATGGATTACCTACTCTAGTAGTAGCCACAAGGGATTTGGATTTTTCTTCTTCATCAGCATCATCAGTAACTGTAGAGGCAGCAGTGATACTTGGTGCTTCAGAACTTGATTTACTAGTTGTGGTAGTGGCAGTAGCAGTAGCAGAAGCAGAAGCAGAATCAGATTGATTAGCAGAAGTTTCTGCATCAGCTTGGGTTGATTGAGCTGAAGTTTCATCTTGAGCAATAGTAGAACTACTTGAAGATTCAGAAGCAGGAGTTAAAGTGTAAGGACCATATTCAGTAGTTCCATAAACAGTAGTAGTAGTTAAAATACCATTTGTATCGGTGAAAATATATTCAGTACCATAAACATCTTCTTGTAAACCTACAGTAGTAGTTTGTTGTTCAATTGGAGTGGTTGTAACAGTTGTTGTTGCATCATAATCTTCATCTGCTGCTTTAACTATATTTAATAATGATAATAAAATCAATGTATATGTTCTTGAACTGAAACTGACCATTGTGATTAATAATGTCTATAATTTGTTGTTGTTGTTGTTGTTGTTGAAAATATAATGATAGAAATAAATATAAAAAAAAAATGATGCGAAAGAAAACCAAATAAATATAAACAATTATATAATTGAAAAATCTGGTGAGTTTTTTTGTTTTTTTTTATTTTTGTCGTTGTCTTTGTCTTTTACTAAAAGAATTGGAATATAGGACAAACCAAGGAAAGTTTAAAATATATAAATGCTTAAAGAAACTTTTGAATTGCAAGCAGTTACAAAATAATATATACCTTAGATGTGTTCTTGTATATATACTCAAAGAAGAATCAGTGATATATGGGAATACCAAGTGTTGAATGAATTTTTTAGTGTGGACAAAATTATTTGCTCATTATAAATTATATTTCAATTGTACTTTTTTTTTTTTCTTGTTTGTCTCTTTTTGGGTTGCGTTCTGGTTGCAATGATTTTTTGATGGTGCGTGTGTTCATGCAAGGTTTAAAACAAAAATGACAATTTAGTTCTTTTTTCATTTCATATTAATCCCGAACAGTAATAAACCAAACTACAAAACCATACAAAATCTCAAGTATCAAGTACTGTCTAAAAATGTTGAATAAGATCATTCAATTGTTCATCTCTTATTACTGCTTCGTGCGCTGGTTCCGGTTTAACAAAAACCTTTAGACCAAAATAGATGCTTTTTTATCAAAAAAATAAAAGTCTATTCCATGGACTAAGGCTTTTCATGTCTGTGCATTGGTTTATTTCAATTCAGTATAGAATTGTAAGATCAAATATTATATTATAGAGAACTATTTATTTATTTATTACTAATATACTTAAGATGTGTAACTTCCTGTTTAAGCTTCTTTCTATACCTCGTATTATAATTACGTTGTTGTCAGTAGTAGTATTATTATTACTTTCTGTTTATAATACTCCCAAATGAGAAACAATGATTACAACATAATTTTACTTCTATAAATGTACATATACAATTTAGTCAAGTATTTGAAAGTTTCAACTTCTATTCGTTTCATCTGCCATTCACATCATTTAATAGATTGCATTAAACATTCAGGCGTACTTGAGTTATAAATTCAATCAATCCCGCAAGTGAACAAATAAAAAAAAGTAGTGCACATGGTGCATAAAATCTAATGCATGGTTCTTAACTTAACTTAAGTTAACTTGGCAATGAAATAATGAAGAGATCTTTTTTTTTTCTTTCTTTCTCCGGCGTGCATTTCTGTGTCATGATTATATACTTTTGTCAATGACCAATAGCAATATCATGGACATGAATGTAAACAAGCAATGATCTTGTGGACAAATAAGCTTAATTAATTCGGTTGAAATAACCTGGGATTATTTCCAGGCAAATCATAGATCTATATTCTTACAACTCATCTGCCAATATCATAACTATTTGTTTGTTTCAGTTTGTATTTAGATCACCGGAGCAGAAGCAGAACACATGAGCTCATTACTGTATAATTCAATTCTCTATCGATTTGTAAGCCATGCTTTCTTTTGTCCTTTTTTTTTTTTTTTTTGTTATAGTATGTATTGTGATGTTAGCGTGTTATGCATAACTAAAATCGTACCGAATTTCACATTGTTGGCACGATTTGTCAAATATCTATGACATTGATCTGGCGGACAAGGAAGAGGAACTGGAATAGAAGTTGAGTTCATAATCATAGAACTCGTTTCAATTAGTAACAAACCATTTGCTTCAAAAGTATCACAAATATTCTATTTTATTATCATTATTATTACAGTACGCTTATATTGTACAGTAATAACCTTTGTAGAAACCTCTGGGGAGCATAAAGTATATTCTTTATCTCCGAAATCTTCGGATTTGTTATCTACATTTCCTTAACTGTGTCTCATCTCTTCATTGAGATTTCAATTAGAGTTTTGAAGATATGAATTTCTGGGTTGACTAATAGATGGTAAACCCAGCCATCTTATAAACCTCTTCCTTTGTCGTTCTCAATGATACCGTCTTTGTTCAAAAAAAAATAATAATAACAATAACAATAGTAATGGCAATAATAATACCTTAATCTTATCGTATCATCTTCTACTTTCATAACCATTGTACTTATATCGCCAGCCATTTTTATTTTTTTTTTTGGTCGTTTTCGCATTGTTCATCAAACATCTCCATCTCCATCTCGTACTTTTTACTAGATGCAAGCAGAGAATGCTTGCTTAGTATTCTTTTTGTTAATTTGACATAATATGATGAGCATCATCACTAAATTGGTGAAGATGATGATAATGACAGATCTTTTGTGATTTGAATCATACCAACCGTTATACTAATATCTCTTCTATGAATCGGTAATATTTCTGTCATTAATATCACTACGCATAGTAAAATTTTTAAATTTTTCGCGTAGAATCTGTACGAAATTAAAATCAAATTAGGAAACGTACACAAATTTTATTAACGGTTCATTATCAACCATGTATTACTAGTCATTGATAATGGTCAATGAATACTGAATATCGAGGGTTAATTGATTTGCTATTTAAAAGTTTCTACATTTGATCCAACAATTACATTTTCTAAACATTATCAACTGTTCCTCTTTATATTAATCAAATTATAAACTAATGATCCACGAGTTTACTATCCACTTTCAACTATTCCATTAGATAGCCCATTGTTAGTATTATTATTGTTGTTGATAACATTATTAGATCCTGTCTGTTGTTCAACATTTGTTCTTTCAATTATATTATCAACACTATTTGATAACTCTGGAAATTCCAGTTTTAATTTCTCTCCAAATACATTTCTTAATTGTTTAAAACCATTCATTTTCCCTTTTAATCTAGCATTATTTTTAGCATTAACTTCAATAAATTCTCTAGTATAAATATCTGGATTTCTACCATCTTCAATATATGAAATTACATCAATTGGAATTGGATAATCTTTTAATGTTTCATTTAGATTATTTGTTTCATTTAATTGATTAATTAATTGATTTAACTTATTTATTGTTGCTTGATTTGATTGTAATGTACCTTGATTATCATGAATTAATACTCCTAATTCTATAAATGATTCTATTAGATTAGATACACTTTCTGCTGATTTGATTAATGGTTCATTGGATGGTATTTGTGATAATGTCCCTGTTGTCATCTTGTATAATGATCTAATGATAAAATAAGTATAGTTGATAATGGATGAATAAAAGATGGCCCGGTTTAGATGCTTGGTTGTTTCTTTCTCTTTCTCTCTCTCTATCACCTTGTTGGTTGATGTTTCAAAAAAAAAAAAAAAAAAGATTTGTTGAAACTTTGGGCGGTTTTGTTCAGGACACTACCCCGTGAAATAAGACGGGAAGAAATACAAAAAAAAGTATACGCTCAAAAAAAAGAAGTGTAGGAAAATTCGAACTGCAATATTTCTGTCGTTTTTTCCAATATATACTGATAGCATTCACCAATTTATAAACCATGTTAGTTACCTTTAAATATAATAGTGAGAAATACAAAAGACGTTCAGCTTCAACATCTACAAGTTCAACTCCTATAGCTACAGGAAGAACTACAAGACGTTCCTCAATGAATACTAATAATAATAGTAATAACTCCCATAGTACTAGTCTAACAAGTAATATTAATGACGGAGGATTAACTGATCATAATCTTAGGTCTAATTCAACAAATTCAACTCCTTCAAAAATGGTTACATTACAATACAATAATACTTTATTAACTCCAACTTCAAGAAGAACAACAAGAAGACAATCACAAATTTTAAATTCTGCAAATTCAAATAATATTGGATCACCACAAATATCATTAAATTCAAGTCCAATTAAAAAAGGAAATACAAATAAATCATTAACACCTACTCCATCATCACCAATATCAATACCATTAACAAGAACAACACCTACTACTACAACTACTACAACAACATCAATGATTTTAAATTCGAGAATAAAGAATAAATTAGAAAATATTAAAAATTATCAAGATAAATTCAATTTAATTTCAAATAATTCACAATTAAAAGATTCAAATATAATTCAATTTAATCATGACTTAGAAAAATCATGGTTTAATGATATTCACATAATTACAGATCAATTAAATTTCATTAAAGAAACTTACAAAGCAATACAATATTTGAAAAAGAAGAAACAATCTCTTCAACAACAAGATGGTGAAGAAAGTAATAGAAGTACACCTGGATTATTGAGTAGTCCTAATAAAGATACCCTGATGATTGAAGATGAAGATGAAGGTGAAATATTAGATGAAGAAGATGATCATGATGATGATGATGATGAAGAGGAAGAAAATATAGATGAAAATCAATCTTTAATTGAAAGTAGGAGAAATAATAAGAAAAAATCAAACAATACTTCTACCACTACTAGTAATGAAACAGCAAATAGTAGTGGTAATGAAAGTTCAATTGTACAAAATCAGACTTTTATACCATTAGGTAAGAGAACAAGAAGAAAAGTTCAATTTCAATAATTAGATAAGTATATACAGATGAATATAAATTTACAGGTGGGTTTATTTTTTTTAAAAAATTTTTTTGCAGTTTATTTTTTTCATTCGGCGAAAGTTCGTGTACAGTGTTCAAAATTAAATTAACGAAATAAAGACAAAGACAACGAGTGTCACTGCAAAATATTTTCATCACGAAAGTGAACAAATCGTACTACCGCTCTCTCGTAGGGTATAGTACTTAATACATACAATTCTAGAAACTATTGTTTGATCAGAAACCGAACCTGAAACTTGATGAATTCACCACAATTGCCCTTATTAAGCAGCAAAACGCAAGTTTACACTTGCAATGAGAAATAGTCTGGGAACATTCACTTAGAATGTGTGAATATATATATATGACCCGAGGACTAAACCTCTTATTCACAATAAAACACTAATTTATATTCTTAGTTGCCTAAATCTATATAAACTTAACCTCCCATGTTTGGAGGAAATTCCACTAATTTATATTCTTTTGATTTATAAACTATTCTAATTCTCATATTGATTAATTCTTGTAGTTTACACTACCTTCATTGGTCGTGTAAAACGTAGAAAACTTCTTTCACAAAATTTCGCGGTGCCAACGAGTGAGCAAAAAAAAAAAAAAAAAAATTAATTTCATTATCAACATCACCAGTATCAACTATCACTAAACGATATACCAAACAATTCAACAACTCCGTATTAATATCAACAACAACTTGTTTATCGTTATACTAATCAATTAATAAATGAAGCCAGTTGTATCTACATTTCAAGCATATTGTTGTTTTATAACATCATCATTTGCAATTGTTATATTATCAATAATTGGATATCTTTTCAAAGTTAATAATGAATCATTTATGGGATCTATAAATGATCCAGAAGATGGAGAATCAGTTGCTAAGACTATTTTCAGTGCCGTTTTTGTATATTTGGCATTTTTTGTTTTCTGTGGTTTACAAATCTTTTTAATTAAAAGACAAAATAGAATACAATTATAATAGGAGGAGCGAAAAAGGAATTAGAAAAGAATACAGGTATACATTTTGATAATGAAATATATATAAATAAATAAAAACAAGAGTATTTTATTGAGATTTTATAAATTGATTAAAATTTGAAACTAATTGTTTTAAATTATCAAGTTCTTCAATTGTAGAACCAAAATTAATAGCACTTTGATAATATTGTTCAATTATATGAGAATTTGGAATATCTTGAGGAATTATACAAGATATTAAAATTAATGAAGTTTGTTTATAATCCAAAATATCATTAAATGATAATAATGAAGAATATAAATGGTTATTTATAAAATACCATAAATCAGAAGATATTGAAATTAAATTTTTTCTCATATCATTTGAATTTTCATCACCATAAAAATCTTTAAAATATTCGGAACCTTTAAATAAATCATTCATAATTGAATTAATATGAATTGAATCTTGAGAAATTTTCCCATTTATTGTATCTATTCCATTAGAATCTTCTTTTGTTATTGCATTTCTTTTATATCCTAAAGAAAATAAATTCTTCGGTATATTTGAAATTAAAATCATAAATGAATTAATTGATTTAGGCATACCTACAAACATACTTATTTTCAATAACATTTCTCTAATTAAATCAATAATTTCCATTTGTTTCTTAATTATTTCTTTTTCAGTATGATATTTCAATCCTTGTGTAATATTAGGTATTTCTAAATCTGGTAACTCCTCCTCCCCGTTTCCATTTTTAAATAATTCAGAATATTTCTTACTTGAAATTATACAATCTTTTGCAATTTTAATAATCAAATATTTTTCTAAATCTTTATCAAATTCATATAATTGTTGAATTAATACAAAATGTACAATCTTGGGAATTTCTTCAGGTAGATTCAATTCAGTTAAATTTGAAATTATATATAAATACCAAGTATCTTTAAAATCTGAATATCCATATGCTAAATCATATAATATCTCAGGAGTAATTATATCTATATCTATATCTGTATCTATATCTGTCATTTTTGTCGTATCAATCTAAATCATCACTGTTATTTAACTGGGGTAAATTAAGGGGGATTTAGATTTGTTTTTTTTTTTTTTTCTTTAATTCTTTTTCTTAAAAATTGTGTAATTCTTAATCCCCGAGAAATCATACTTTAAATGCTACCACTTTCAACGGAATTTTTTTGTTGGGAGGTAATCAATAAATAATCCATTCTCCATTGAAGCCACATCTTTATGATTACTCCCTCCTTGAAACCTCCTTCAAAGTCACCTGTCTCAACGGTATCATTAATGTTAGTTCCCTTTTTTTTTTATATTGTCGTACACATGGTAGCATATGTTCACGTGATTAGATATTCACACGACCAATTTTTTTTTTTTGTTTATTCTCACCAAAAAAACAAAACCTCTTTGAAAAAAATTTTTTTTTTTACCAAACCAAACCAAAGGAAAAGAGAGAGTGAAAAAAAAGGGAGAACTCAAATACTTTGATCAATACTTTTCAAAACCATATTCTTTATTCATTTATTTATTATTGATTTGTTTATTTTTTTATCATGCCAGTTAAAGCCATACCTAAAGTATCTATAGCACGTAATGGATTAGGAACATATGTTACACCATGTTTTAAAATCACTATACAATATTGTAATTGGGGAGGTTCATCAAATAATCTTCGTAAGATTTTAAGTAATGGAAAATTAAATGAATTTATTAAAAATGATAAAAATGATATATTTTTCGAAATTAAAAAAATTAGAGGTCATCCAAAATTAATATTTAATTATAATAATGGAATTAATAAAGAAATTGAAATTAAAAATTTAAAAGAACATGAAATTTTAAATAAAATTAATGAATTTAGTTCTAGATCAGGTAATGAATTATTCAAATTTAATCATAAAGTTAAATCTATTAATGATTCCGTAAGAGGTATTTGGTCTCCTTTACATACTCCAAAAGATCATAGACATAAGATCTAAATCTAACAAAGGAAGGAAGGAATGAATTTCTTGTAAATAGTTCAAATAGAAATATCTTGAAATAAAATGTGATTTATATATATATATATTGTTAAAAAAGAATCTCTAATGTACATAATAAAACAACTAGTTAGAAAGATATATATATATATATATATATATAAAAGGTGCAAATGAAAATGCTCACTGATAGTCACTAATATTTTCTTGTATTCCCATTAGCATATTGATCTTGATATCCATTCTCATACGGATTTCTTGGTTGGTGTGGATTTCCATTTGTCGGTGGTACCTTAGTTGGTAAATAGGAATATTGTTGTTGTGAATCATAACCTCTGAATGCATTTGATTGTTGTTGACGTTGATAATGTTGCTGTTGTTGAGGTGGTGGTGGTGCTTGTCCATTGTTTCTTGGAATTGTACCACGACTTTGCATTGATCCTTGGCTTGGATAATTTTGTGGTACTGGACGTCCATATTGCTGTGTTTGCTGCTGAGGAGGTGGACCTTGATGTTGTTGTTGCTGTTGTTGTTGGGGAGGTGGAGGTCTGTATCCTTGCGGTATATTATGTGATTGCTGTTGAGGATGTGGTTGGGTACGCATTTGTTGTGGTACATGTTGACCATAAAATTGTTGTTGTGGACGAGGTGGACCTTGCTGTTGAGAACGAGGTTGTCCCTGTTGTTGTGGACGAGGTGGACCTTGTTGTTGTTGTTGAGGAATCATTGGTTTTGGTTTGTTTTGTAATTGGTAACCAAATTGTGGTGGATATCCTTGTTGACCGCTAGATGGATATGGATTCTGATTCAACGGTCTTGCATGATGAGCTTGTGGTTGTGGTTGAGCTTGTTGCTGTTGTTGCTGTTGCTGTTGCTGACTTTGAGGTTGAGCTTGTTGCAAGTAAGCATGTTGTGGTCTTGGTTGTTGAGACAATTGTTTTGGTGGAGATGCCAGATATTGGTTCTGTTGCATTGGTGGTAATGAAGGTAATTTCATGACTTCATTTAAATCATCTGAAGATTTGGTAACTTTATCAAATCGATCAGGAGAAACTGGATATTGCAAATTCTCCTTTTTATTTGGTGCCAATCTTTCTGGTGAAAGTGAAGCACGACTACCATTTTGAGATGAATTTGGTGAAGAAATATATCTTGGTTTTGCAGCTAGTGGTTTTGGGGCCAATGATGGATAAATGTGAATTTCTTCACCATCTTTTGTAAATGATTCTGTAGAAGAACCACTTGTAACTCTTCCAACTTCTGAATGAACTGATGTTTTGCCCGTTGACCCTCTTGTTCCAGCAACTCCCAGAGGTACAGAACTAATATTTCCTTGGAATCCAGGTTTATATTTGGGATCGTGAGCTGGAACTGGTGGTGGTGGTGATGATAAACTATCTTCATCTTCATCGTCATCCTCAAGATCACTGTTATTAGGATATGGGTTTCTCTTTTCAGTCTGTTGCTTATAAGTTTCTTGGAAATCATTAAACTGAGCCATTGGTGACATAACAGAAGAATAACTACCAGTTCTGTCATCAGTTGCATATGGTACTTTCAAGCTTCCCATAGAAGGAGTTGATGGATTATTTTCATTGTTAATACCAATTTTTCTAACATCAATTTTTTCAAATGCTTCGTCCTCTTCTTCTTCTTCTTCTTCTTCTTCTTCGTCATCACTAAACAAACCATCATCATCTTTTGGATAAACATTAGCATTCAAATTCATTTGACGTACACCTGCTGGTAAATCATCTTCAACAATATTCTCTTCTGAACCATTCAACAAAGCATTTCTGTCAAATTTATCGGATGGAGTTTGAATATCAGAATATTTCTGGTAAATTTCAGCCAACTGCACAGATTTGTGATTTTCTCTAGTTTTGTCAACACTTAATGATGATGATGAATTTGGAACACCAATAGATAATTCATTAACATTTTTATTCAATCCTGAAGTGGCTGGTTTTAGTTCTGATTGTGTAGGTGGTTTAACAGGTGGTTGTGGTATTTTCTGTTGTTGAGACAAGGATGAAGATGCCAGTCTGGAAGATGAAGAAATTGTCAGTGAACCTGGGAATCTTGGAGATCCAGATGAAATAACAGGACTATTCATTCCGGAAACAGCTCCTTGATAGCCTCTTTGACTTCCACATCCTTCATAACCACGATCTAATTTACTTTTCAATATTTGTTTGATATTTGTATTCCAAGTTTTCAGGTCCCAATTTAAGAAATCTCCTTTAGTTAATTCCAAAGCATCATCCAATTCTAAATAATGTACTCTTGGCAAAGTAGGTAAACCAAACAATAATGAATCTGGATCACTTCTATTAGCCTTAAGTCTTTTTGGTCTCCCGTATAACCCAAAGGAATCTAATAATGGGATCAAAAATCTAATCAAAGTATCAAATCCTGGAACAGAAGAATGTTGTTCTGGCATTAAATAAATAGATGTATGTTTGAAATCACCCGCAGATTTTTTCGGTATTTTGGTAGATAAACTTGGAGACTCGAAATTGATATAACCTTCCATTTTCAACATTGTCGAATGATCAATTAATAAATGAGATTGAGGATAAATAGCAGAAACGGCAGAAGCATTTGTCACCACAGCCATCAATTGTTTCTTTTTCTTTTGTTCATTTTCAAAAAATAAAATTCTACCAGGAACAAATGATTTTCTTTTGATCGTTGAAGGTTCAATAACAGCAAAACAACGCTTCCATGCCATCCCACTGCCATACCTTATACTAACCCAATCTTCATGATCAAATCTTTTTTCAGCTAAAACAGTTCTAATATCAGATAAACGGGAACCTCTAGCAGATAATAAAGCTCCAGTATAAGCTTCTTGTAAAGATGAATATTCAAAATTGGATAATCTCAAAGCAGAATACCAGTTAGTTAAATCTTTGTATGACTTGAATTGTAAAATATATCTATTTTTCAAAGTTGTTGATACTATGATAACATTGTCCAAATTTTGTTTTGCAGCAGGTAAGACCTTCATGGCATTATACACAGAATCGGTGAAATTTATATAGGCAGGTTTTGAAGAAGTTTCCAATAAAGCGTTTGGATTACTTTTAAATTGGGCCAAATTTGCTGCATCCCAATAAGCCAATTGATTACCTGTCAATATCCCATAAACTTCTTTCCACTCACGATCTGCCGGTTTACCATCACCATTCAAATCATAATAAAGCATAAAGATACCTTCATGATAGCGACGATGAGCTTGAGACGATAATAATGTGACAATAGGGATCAACTCTGGAGAGACACCATCCAAAGAGTTTGAATCTGAGATCGGGGTCTGTTCTTTTGATGTGTCGATCTTGGGAGGTTCCTTGCCGGAACTCATTCTTTTCTTCATAGCATTCATGATGTAAGTGATAAATAAATAGGTAGAATAACAAGATCCTACTAAACAATATGAAATGAAAGGGGATCTGTTATTTGAGTAAAAGAACTATTTTGACTAACTGTTGTCTAGTTGAACTTTTTTTTATATTTTTTTTTTGTTAACCACCGTAAACTTTCCCAGAATGACTTTTTTTTTCTTCTTCTGCTGTTTGCTGTTTGGTGGTAAATCTGTGGATTTGTTTGATTCGATGTGAGCGAGGGAATAACGAGTTTGCCAATAAAAAATTTCTTCAACTTTACTTGATGTTGATGATGTTGTTGAATATGATATGACCAATGAGATTGATGATAGTTTCTAATGTGTCTAATAAGCCAATAGATTTGTTGTTGTCGAATGAAACCAAAAAAAATAAAAATATATGTCCTTTTCCGTTTTAGTAAGCAAAGAAAAGAACAGAAAAAAAAAAGCCAATCAACACTTTAAAAGAAGGACAATAACAAAATGCAAATGCAAAGAAAAGAAAAGGAATATAAAAAACCGAAAATTTTAAATTAAGAACAACGATCAAGTTATAGCACAAAGCAGCTGAGTACGGTTCTTGCTGAATAAAGACAAACAGTAATGATGATTATCAACAGTCAGTGATGGCAATCAACAAGAAAGTATTACTTGGGGGGAAATGGATCTGTTGCAAGAGGTGTATTATTTTTCAACAGCTTGGTGGGAATATTATTCAAGTGAGCAAATCAGGAAATATGATTGATCCTAACTTTGTGTGTATCGGGATAACTGGGGTTGGGTTCTCTTTTTTTTTTATTCAAGTAATATGATGTCAAATGTATTTAACAGAGAATCTACTATGAAGACAGAAAGAGAAAGAATAAGGGGGTGTTGGCGATTAATTAAACGATGGTTTGTACGATTTATACTTTGGTTTCAATCTTTCCTAAACTTACTTTCTTTGGACTCTACAAACAATCTACTGTTGATGTTGTTGTTATTATTGTGATGATTTATTCGCGTAAGGAAATATTTTTGTGTGTCTGTGTATGTGCGTGTTTGTACCAAAAATAATTATTATTTTCTCACACGACCCCCCCCAAACCACACATCTCCAAGATTTATTACTCAGTTTAGTTGAATACTTGTACAGAGGACAATACTTAAAAGTACACCAAGAAAAGCCTCTCTCTCTGTCTCTTGTTGTCATTACTCAGCCTTCTTTGAGCAGGAACACAAGTGAATCTAGTATTGCTACTGGAGTTGAATTCGCCCAATTTTTTTCTACTCTTACTCTGATTCCAATAACAGCGCATCATGTACAATGCGTTAAATATGATTACTCAAATTATCCAACCAAATTAGGAAATCTCTTCAATATTTACTAACCATCGGCTTAACCGACGTCCCCTATCCATGGTTCTGTGCACGTTTTTTTTTTCTTTTCCTCTTCTTTCTACTATTATAACAACCTATTTAGAGAGAACAAACTGTAAACAAGTGATATTGAAAGATTATAACCCTGACTCGTATTATATTCTCTTATGCTTGATCTGGTATTATTATTATGATTATTATTATTATCTTCCCATGTTATAATTTGTTGTAATGTTGATGTGTTTATTTTCAGTTCTCTACGCGAGATTCAGATTCATTTGTTTTTGTTTTCATCTTCATCTTTGAATGCAAAATAATATTCGCCGACATATAGTAATGACGTCACAGTAATTGATGTGAAGTGCAGTATTCATAATCAACATCTACAGCTGTTCTTTCCTCTCAATAAATAAAATAGAAAACCATAGCCTTCATCCAATTCTACGATACTTGTTCTTGTTACAGTTACTGTTCATTTTAGTAGCGTGTTTTGTGTTACAACATGTGTCCAAGACTTTAATCTCTCGAATGTGCACGTGATTCATGCTCTTTTATTTTTTCTTAGCTTAGCTTTACTTAAGTGTAGATGTACACAGAAATAAATCGTGGAGTAATAATAGACTTTGATTATTGATAATTATTCAATTCTGTTTCCAACGATGTCATTGAAATATTCATTATTTGATCTCAGATTTCAGTAGATATGATGTGTATCCACGAAATGTCGACAATCGAATAAAAAAAAAGAGCACAGCCCGATAATCAAATAAACTCAGCCTCTTAATACTCCATCCGCCCAACAGCCTCTTACCTACACACACACACACATACAGAAACGAAGAGGAATTCTCTATTTATTTGAAAAATATACAACAAACTTCTAAACATATGCGGGGGGTAATGTTACATTACCCCCTTACGTATTGCATTGCCCTTTCCTCCTAACCCCTTATAACAGATTTATTCATCTTCTTGTTCTCTTAAAACTCTCAATAATTCTAGACCTTGTGTCAATTGTTTTTCAGCCTCTTTAAAATCCTCAAATTGCAATGCCGATTGTGCAAATTTAGCATGCTTTTGAACTTGAGTAATAGTATCATCTCGATTCAATATTTGTTTAATATTCTCTTTCGTTAACGGAGCATGATGTTTATGAGTAGACGATGATGAAGATGATGGTTTTCTAATACTTGGGTCAGGTTTATTAGTTGATTTATCTGATGGTGTGAATACATGAATAGTTGATGATTTATTTATATGTGTTATATCATCATCTGGTAAGTATTTCGGAGCTCCTGGTAATTTCATTGATTCATCCTCTTCCTCTTGAACATCAGGTGAAATATGTGGTACACCTGGTAATTTAACTGTATCATTATCATCCTCTGGTTGATCTGTTTCTGTTGATTCATCAATGAATCTGGGTGCCAGTGGTAATTCAGGATGTCCTTGGTCATCATTCTCATCAATAAATTTAGGAAGTTCATTAGGAGCACCAGGTAAATTAATCTCCTTATCATTACCTCCGTCTTCTTCATTGTCGTCATTATCATCATCATTATCATTATCATTTCCCACTTGCTCTTCATCTAGTTCTTGTAACTCTTGATCTAATTCTTTTTCCAAATCTTCATCTTTTAATTCATCTTTGAATTCAACTTGGTTTTTTAAAATTCTAGATAATTGAAATTTCAATAATTTGATTTTCTCTTTATTTAATTTATCAAATTCATCCCAATTATTAGCTTTACCACCAGTAATTTGAATCCAATTAATTTCCAGATTTTTGAAAACTTCCAAAACATTTAAAAAATTTAAAGTAGCTTTAAATTTCCCAATTAATTGTAATTTATTATCTTGAGTTATTTCCAGTAATCCTTCTAAACATGAATTGAATAATTTATAACTAAATGAAAATACTAAATTAAATGATAATTGTTTATCATTCAAAATCTTGTGTAAATTTTCATCTGTTTCATCTTTTTTAATTGATTCCGTATCATCTAATAGTTCAATTGTAAATGTTTCAATCTCTTTAGATGTAGTGTGTAATTTATTTGTCAAGATATATTCCAATACATATATCTTACAATAATAACTAACCACAGGATTAGCTTGAGTTAATTCTATTGATCTTATAATATATGGAGTAATTGATTTGTTTGTCTTGAGTTCTTCAGGAATTGATGCTGTAGTAATTGTCATAGTTGGTTGTTGATTGCCATTCGTTTTTGGTTTGACCTCTCAAGTTGTTTTTTTTTTTTTGCGTTGCCTTGCTGTTGATCGTTGATCGTTGGAATGCCTACAATTGATAGTGCCAAATATGACCAAAAAAATACTAATACTATGTATATTTTGAAGATCTATACCTATAAAACATCTTTACATCCATTGATTCAAACTTCTTTTGGCAAATCTTACTTGATAAATGTTGAATACCTTTGGGAACGGATCATTCTTACTCAACACAACCGTTTTATTCATGGTTAATTTTCCTTTAATTAAATTTGAATCAATCAATGTAACTAATAAATTCTCCAAATATAATTCATCATTTTCATGATCATAAATTGGTATTCTTGTGTAATCTAAACTGGCAGGTTTGTTTAATAACAACCATACTTTTTTAACCAAATTTCTATATACTAGAATATCCAATTTATTCATTAGTAATAATAAATTCTTATCTTTCAAATATTGTGAATTCTCATTAATTATTTTTTTAAATGATTGATAATCTCCAGTTTTAACGACTTGTGCTATTTGTTGATAAAGTCCAAAAAATTCAAAATTTAATCCTTTACTCATTAAATAATTAAAATTTGGCTTAATTCCAATTATTAAACTGATTGGAATTAACAATTCAAGTATTAACCTTTGATTTTTCAAACTTGATGTATTTAATAAACACCATTTTAAATTTTCAAAACTTTCTAATAAATGATTTTTAATTAAATAAAATTTAGCCAAATAATATTTATATTTAAGTTGTTGAGTTATTGGATAATCTTTTAATTTTAAACTTGTATTTTGCATATTACTGAAAACATTTTGACAAAGTAATGGATTATCCAATTTGAAATAAATAAAACATAATAAATTACCCAAATATAAAATGATTGAATTTTTAAATAAATTTGAATCATTGATTCTAATATTATTGAAAATTTTTAATATTAAACTAGCCATATAATTCAATCTAAATTTCCCTCCTTGTTCTTTAAAATACATCATTAAATCTAAATTCTTCGCCCATGGGACAATTATTGATGTTGTAGATTGTATAATATTAGATAATAACCATCCATAATTATTATTATTAAATCCAATTGATAAATCATTTAAATAAGCCGCATATAAATCAAATGATTTTAAAATAGACCACGGATCCATCTCATGGCATAATTTAACAAAACTTGTAATTATTAAATTAAAAGCTGACCAATCTTCGTCATATAATGTTGTTATTGATGATGGGATGGATTTAGCATTATAAATTATCGAAATATATTTATTTTCCTGTGGGTTTATTGATAGTAGACGAGTCAATTCTTGGATTTTTAAATTGTTATCTGTTATACTATATGTTTGGTTGATCTCATTTATAAATTTCATCAAACTCATTCTGAATTAGTGTTACCAGTAGCCTGGTTGTCCTTGCTGTTGTTGTTTTTGATTATAACAAAGTTGGTGATAATTTTGAATTTTCCAAAGATGTTTCAAAATTCAACCCAAAAGAAAAAAAAAAATCACCACGAAAAAAAAAGTCAGCAAATTTTTCAATCACCAGTATCAACTAAACACCCCTATAAGGACAAATGGCATCAGTTACACCAAGAAGATCAGGTCCACCTAGTGGGATACTATCCAAGAAG